CAAAATAGTAGTGGTCATGAATAATATAGCACAGCGCCTTGGTACGAGGCTGTAGAAAATTCTAGATATACCTTTAAAAATCGGCGTATAAAATCGGCAACAATAAAAACTGCGACTGCATGCATAATTACTATATACCATGCAATATCATGATGTATACACAAATATGGCTTCATTCAATTTCGCCTTCTTTATTTCATTTCGTCTCGTGTTTTGGCGATTCACACGGATTCACCCAGAATCATTCGTTTTTTCGAATCGCGAGTCCGGTTTCGAATGCTAGAAAAGTCGAATTTTTTTTGACAATCATAATGATTTTTGAGAGTGTGTGTTACGTAACAACGAAAAATATTCCCGTGATCAATAAACTGCCATTTTAGGAATGTTAAAAATACTTCAACGATGAATCATACAGACGCCTTTGTTCTTTGTCTCTCACGAACAGGAATGACATGGGTGTAAAATCGTCGCATCATAAGAGGTCTCCTAGTTTGAGTGCCATCTTTCATTTTTAGGAAACAAGTTGTGAATCGTTAATACATAGCAAAAAGTAATTTCGGCGACATGAAACATGAATTTGAAGTGTGGGCAGTCGTTTATTGTCTGATGATGTGGTCAAATAGAATAATTAGAGAAATTAAGAAATTGAGTAAACTTCTTTGTCATAAATGCATTATATATATTAGCTATGCCAAATGAAAAAAGCAGTGGATCGATTGCAATGTGGGGGTTGGATTCCCGAGCCTCAGTTATGATTTTCAACAATGACTGGCCATTTTTGGCATTATTTTAACGGTGTGGGAACGAATGTGCACAGAATTGAAGAAATGACCTTAAATCATCGATGATGCACTGCCAAGTCCAGACGTCTTTGTACTGAGAACTCATAGACGATGCACTATTAACATTTGATGGCTTGCTAATTCTCATGATACACCCATGTTCATACATCCCTACCCTGAGGGATGACCCTGATCGGTGACTTCGCTGACTTGGCATTTTAGATTGTGACCGGGACATTGAGACAGCAAAAGCGATCTTGTGACCTCGGACACGTTTGCAAATTTATGTTTCATTTCACAGTAAAGATAGCGCTTTGCAAGGATAGACTTGCTCACTGGCAAAACTGACAATATTGATATTATAAGATCCCTAAAAAGATATTATTGCGTCAACGCCACTAGTTCGATCGATGCTGTTCGCTTATTCACATACCAGCTGTAGGCTTGATAGAAATTATTCAGTTGTTTAATCGTGGGTGTAAAAATATGGAGCGAGGAATGTAAATTGAAAAAATTATATATAATTGCTTATAAAATATTGCAATTGCAAAATGCATCGTATATGACGTAAACAGTGTTTATAACTGCTCACAATTGCTAGGCACAGAAAATGCCATAACGAAATGAAATTTTTTACTTATACGTCGAGTGGACTTTATAGCTTGCTAGCCCTTTTCATCGACTGCCCTGATTTCCTTTTAAACAAATCCGGACACGGGAAGTCGTAAAAAGAATTCAATTCTCACTGAACACTAAGTCAATAACCTTTTATTTATCTGGACATGTAAGTATTGCCTTATATCGTAATTTGCTTGCGTGATACACTACCTAAGCTGAGAATACCTAGAAGTTTGGAAATGATGAAATAAGTATTCCATATTATTTCAATGTGGAATTTTACGTACGCATACACAATATTACAAAAAGCATTCAAGGAAAACCACATATTTTCCAGTGCAAATGTTTCTGATATATGAATATTCTCAGTAGTGACGATGCTGGATTTCGTTCATTCCAAATCATTTTCGTATAAATCCAACCAGGGGCGTAGGAAGCATGGGGGAGGTTTAAACATTTGGCCATTTCCGAAGATCTAGAGCAAGCAAATTTCAAAAATTTTCTCGCTGGCGTCTCGTGAGCGTAGCCCTCCTCCAAACACTCAACATCGACCTACGCCCCTCATCCAACGTATTCGAAATACAAGATTATAAATGAGAATCCTTTTGATCAACTGCATGAGTTTTACTTAGGGAATAATTTCATTCAGCCACCATGGCTGGCTCGCAACTCGTAAGTAAGCTGCCTTGCGTGTTGGCTAACACAACGACTTCAAGGAGCACTCTATGAACCACTCATGCACTCCTTTGTTCTGAAAGCTTATTACAATTATAGTAGTAGACTAGTAGTTGCCACGATTCCAAGCATTCACACTCATCGAATACCCAAACCAACCATGCAAGCATAGTACATTTCCTTCCTGCATGAACGGTAAGATTTCATTCAAAAATTCAAATCCTCGTTGGATAAAGAGTTATACCATAATAGAATGCATGAGGGCTTTCTAACAAGACAATTTTGAACTCCTACTATAATTGAGTATAGTGTGAGCAAGCTTTGAAACACCCACTGACCAGGTTTCCTTTCATCTTTAAAAGAGTCTATTGACTAAAATGTGTATGTTGCATTGATGCTGTAAATCAAATTGAACTAAATTATCTGATAAAGTCTTTTTGTCGACACATATAATGTTCTGGTATGCATATTGAACGCCATTAGATGTACATAGCCTTGAGACTATTATCTGTGCTCACTCCTTCTTCCCAACATTGGAAATCAATTAAAAATTAATGTCCAAATATTTAGATGTAAGCCTTTTTAGTGAGCTTTACCCAAAGGCCTAGCTTATATTGTCAGTAATTTAAATGTTGGACAATATCGATTCGCACTATAGACCTTCAGCTGTTCGAGCATTGATGTTGTTTGGTTAATTGATTGTAAATAATTGCCTATGTCATTATTTTAAAGGATGGCTTCACACATTCCACAATCTCAATCACCGTCATCACATCTTCCTGATTCATTTTTTCAAAACGTTGACATCCATCGTGATCAGTTCAATAAATGCTTCATTTATCTGGGCGATGGAATTTTCCAAACAGCGTCGGGCTGGTCACTGCCCTTTACTCATGCAGTGTTGACAAGCGGTGATCGTGCAACAAACCTCGTGACCGGGAAAAGGGGCGGTGCCGGTGAACTGTGGCAAGCAAGCACGAGAGAATCCATCACAAAATCTCAATGCTGCGTTTTCAACGGTCCTAACCCAAAGTGCACACCAGCTTCCCCACAACCGGCAGGTGCTACAGCACACGTTTACGGCTTTACGCTACATTCCAGTTATCCCACCATGATATTAGCTTCATGATACTGCTACCAACATGCCAGGTCTGCAATAATTGGTTAAGATGTAAAGCAGAGGGGATCAACTTTCCTGTGGCTGGTGAACACGCGAATACATTATACACGTTTGCAGACAGCACCCATCCTGCAGTCAAAATTATAATTATTCAAGCAAGCGACGCTACAACAGGTGGAAAAGGAAACGCGGGAAGAGGAAGAGCGTGGAAAGGAAAAGGGGGAAACTACAAGATCAAAGTGGTGCTCCTCCATCTTCGAATGTAATTGGGATTGACACTTGACAACTTGAAAAACTTTGACCTATAGGACGATTATCACCTCATTCGGGTAGAATTAAACATTGAACTAATATAGAGAGAAGACCTCTTGCAACGAGAATTTGAAGCGGAGCTTTTCCGTTAGAAAAGCAACATCCTCTCTGATTGTAAGGGGGGAGGATCTTGATTAATAATAGATGACGTTATTACCTACTAAAGTTATTGACGTTATTACCTACTATCGTATAGTAGCCTGGAATTAGTATGTAGTCCCATCGCATTACTCTATTGCGGACTTTCACTACGACGGATCGGAAACTAACACTAAAGTTGGCAGCGGCGAAGGTGTTCGTAGAACTACATTGCCGATGGAGGTTTGTGGCTCGGGCATTGAGAAAATGACCTGCGACGTACATTTATACATGTATAACACTGCATGCGGTCAAGCCAAATTTGAGCGAGAAAATGTTTGCATAATATCGAAAAATTGCCATGTAAAATCCTGCAAAACCAGTACATGTACATAAGCCCCGTTTACACTACACTCGATATATTGGCACGGCACGGCTAAAATGGGTACCCGTACACCCCACTACCAAGTCAAAGACAGTAAAAACGATTTCGGCAGGCCTATTTATGACCATGTGCATGGCAGTTCCTCAAATTAATTTATCTATAGTTAAAATACCTTTCTATATACAGTATGTATTAAACGGAATGGCGAGGAGACCTATTATACTGTAGTATATCTTAATCATCAGAAAAGCAAAGTTTGGAAGCATATACGAGGACATTCATTTACTTAGGCTTCAGTGTCAACCGACAGTCCAGGCTCGAATCGACAACAGTTCACAAATATAAGTCTAGATTAACTGTCTGGAAACTCGTAAATTGATAACCTACCTTTAACAAAACCAGTTACTCCGATCACCATATACGTTATCCACATATTGGTAACTGCTTGCTGAAACCTTTTAATTAAACTTTTTCGCTGCTGCCTGCTTTTTCCCGGCCATGCGGTGAACAAGAAAATTTCACCACCAAATTTGAATACAAAATGTTTGCCGCCGTTCAGTAGAACACAGAGCTGATTGTTTTCTCGTAACAAAGGAACTGCGCCTAATAGGATGTTTTGCAAATAAATTTAAATTTATACATTTCAATGCCTGTCCAACGACTTGTGCCTTGAATTTAAAATGTCACCAACAATAGAATTGTCCAGTCAGACAGAGGAATATACAAATCACCTTACATGCATGCATGCACCTTTCATACAATCATACTGAATTCAATATTTAGGTTAATTTTAGGGATATTCGGCTGACTATAGCCGCGTTTACATTAGAAGCCTAGATCTGGTCTGGACCAGGTCTAGAACAAGCCTAGGATTATACTATTAAGTTGAAAATTAGTCAAGACTAGGTAAAGCCCGCGTTCACATTACAATAATCAGGCTCCATGCAGTTCAGGTCCATCCAGGCTTGGTACAGGCCACCTTCTTCTGTTCTGGATTTTGTGGCCTAGACCAGGTCCTGGTCTATATAGTGTAAACGCGGCTTAAGTTCTAGTTGCCTAGGGGCATGCATGCAGCCTCCACGGAGAGGAAACCTAAAAAGACAATTTAAGTGTATAGTTTATTTTGAAAAATTTCTATAGAACGAATAAGGACAGTAATGCATTAATTACACTTGTTTATCCTCAACATAAAAGGCAAAATTATCGTTTCATAGAAGGACTATAATTATAAGATTTTTTCACACCACCATAATGCTAGCGCTGGGCAAATAAATAACTAAATAAATGAAAGCGAGGATGATAATGTGTTGCTACACATTATATATAGTGTGTTGGAAATATATCGTGAAATATCGTGTAGTCGTAAGCCATCCACAATACCCAAACTAAATTTGCTTCTGGCTATAATCACAGTACAAATACAGTAAGTACTCCAGACATATGCATGCCTTAGAGATTTATGCCTAATCCTTTCACGTTTTTCTTCAAATTTTCCAGCGAATCTAAAATTCTCATAATATATAATATATATTGTAAAAATTCTCATATATATTGTAAAAATTATATATACCCAAAACTCCTATACAAAAATAAACATTTCTCTTATGGGTCATGATGATTACGTTAAATCATTCAATGCCACGCTGCAAAGTAATTAAACAGCATATTGTGTTATTAATTTGTTATTAATGTTTCTGCGATTATTGAACCGCCAGCAGTAACAGGTCACGACTGCCGTTTTTCTTGAAATTTGGAACTTTCTGGTTCGCAGCAGGTCGAACGAAAATTGTCTTTTCTCTCGAACCGAGAACACAAACAAGTTCATCTTCAACTTTCACGTCCGGTGTCTCGCGCTTTGCTCTGGAAACAAACAATCGCAATCAGAGATTCGTTATGATTGGTTGATGTTTTATAATTAGCGAAACGATTATTGTGATGTCAAAAACTGTTTACTAGCATTATCTGACGAGTTTTAATACGAACTCAATTTTGTTTCCAGATATGTCACCGACAGTTGGTGATGTTAAGGTGGCTGTTGATAACAGCCTAGTCCCAGGCCTTGTAAGCGCGCGCTGTTAATTATGCAGGGGGAGGTGGCCCAAGAGAACTGGGCTCTAAGACAATTTTGGCTACGATTCTATTTGGAAATCACACCACACACTTACTTTCGGCGCTACACACTTACTTTCTCATTCTCTGAAATGCCACACCCAAGGCCTCGGTGACACGATCTTCGTTTCCTGGATTATGGAAGCAAACAACGAGATCGTTTCCAGGAAATTTGAGCACCAATAACTGATCAACGCCACTTGTCAGCGCAATTCCGGTCGCCTAAATATACAAATGATATACTTTGTCTTGTATACTATAGTCTATAGATATTATTGCAGATATTATTAATCTCAATACGTGACATAAAGCAGATCTTAGGTGTGGAGACGACAAATATATATAGCTACTGAAGCCATAAAATGAACACGGTTCATAAAGGCCACAACTCTAAACAGCAGCAACAGAATTTAAAGACCAATATGATAACCATCGCAAGGTTGAACATTCTCACCTCTTGATAGCTCAACTGTTTCAGCACTTTATATTTTGGATTAAGCTTTAAGATGCAGGTATCCGTGAACAGAATGATCCTGTCTGATACTTGGTTGTGCAAGTTCACCTAAGAAACAATGCATTATTATTCAGACGACAAGTAATTTAAAGGTGCATGGGGTGCAGTCCGTAATGTAAACAAACGCTTTGTGTACATTTTGAATCCGTATATTTCGTAAAATATCAAGAACTTTCAGAATATTTGACACGCGGAGGAGGCGAAAATTGGTTCGGGTATAATGAACAAAAGTCTAAAAATTGATGGCATAAATATCAGTATAGGACACTTCTTGAATCAGGTGAATATCGTGTATGATAATGCTACATTATGAGCAACTACTCGGGCAAACCAAAAAAAAGCAAGGAGTAAATCGAACCCGTAAAATTTGGTATAAATGGTATAAATTAGAAATACGAAACTGAAATATAGCTCTGGCGCATGATAGTGATATATGTACTATGGCAGATAAGCGCACCTTTTTGGCCTGTGATGAAAACAAGATTTCCTTGAACTGATATTTCACCCTAAACGTTTCGATCATAAATCGATATTTGGTAGCAGTTCTGTTTTCACTGTCCTATATAAATATACAATAATACAAATTACACAATAAAATACAATATACACAAAATAACACAGCGATTAGTCAACCTGATCAGACACAGGTACGTCTGAATGATAACTCAAAAACACCTTGATACGTACTTGGGACAGATAATCACCCTTCCAACGTCGCTTACATCCCCATTCCTTGCGCCGACCATCAAGCGCTTCAGCTGCCGAGGCTTTCAAGTGAACTTCCTCTCTTTCAGCTTCGGGAATCTTGGATATGACCATCCAAGCTCGCCATCTATAACAAGAATCATCAGTCAATCACCGTATAAGACATTAGCAATTGAAATTCACTTCATTGATTGGTGTTCCTAAGATGTCTTATTCTTACTCTTTCAAAAAAGAGATGATAATTATTGCGTATGCTAGTTTGCCTCTCTGAGATGCAAAGCTCACCGCACGACCCTAGTAAGGCAATAGGATGATGATGATGATGATGATGATGATGATGATGATGATGATGATGATGATGATGATGATGATGTTACCTTCCGTGCACATTCTTCAGTTGATTGATGAATGTTTCGATCGCCTTTGGTGGAGTTGGCCAGGGTACGCTCTTTCCAAGATCAGGCTTCGACCGAACATTTCTGAAATTTACACGAGAAACCAACTGAACGTTCTGTTCTTAAAGAATCCATAAACACAAAACAAACAACCAAATCCTAGTTATTCAATAAACAAAATTTGTCCGAAATATAGTAATTTCGGGGGAACCTCCCTGCTTACATATATACACTTAGCCTTACTATACTTACTTAAATGCTTCGACGATTTTATTTAAATAGACTTTCATTTTCCAATGACGATAGCAAGCTATGATCGTATTCTTGGCGCGTAACTTTCGTACGAACAGCCTGGCAAGTCCACCACGAATGTTCTAAACAGAGAGAATCAAATGGAGTATAAAGTCAGAGTGTGATTATATGAAGGTTGGAAAATGCTATTCAGTCAAATTTCTGTGTGCTAATAAAGTCCAGTGCTAGTGATTTTAACTGAAAGTCTCCCTCATTGAACAAGGACAATGGATCATCAATCACCACAGATGATGATGCAAGTTTTACTAGTCTGCCTAACCCTAACCGTGTGACGTTTGCGATTTAAAAGGCAGCCAGACCACAATCAAATACTAAAGACTACATGATTTTTCTTAAATCTGATACGGCATGTGCATTTTTTGCTAGCGATTTAATAATTCCTGATCATGTTATGCACAAGCTAAGTGTGGATTCTGTCCTATATATTCGCGTTTCGTTGCTCACCCTTTGCAAAAGAAGAACAATTCCAGGAATTTTTTCACTTCTCATTTCCTCCAACGTAGTGATACTCTGGGGCGTGCGGATGAAAATCTTCGTTTTTCCATATTCGCAATCCTGTTCCAAATTTACGTCCTTGAGCAATACCTCAACTCCGCTTTTGTCGTTGCCATTGAAGTTAGGCCAAGTCCGTGGGCAGATCATTTTGTATCTATTATTATAATAGGAAATATTACATCTCACCTGTAATTTATCCAATTAGTAAGCTCGATTTGTACCACGTGATCAGGCAGTTAATTATCACCATTTTATAGAGTACATGTATATAACTTCATGTTATAGTATAAAAATCGAATAAGTCGAGTGCGTGGATGCAGCATACTGCAGCTGCATTAAATACGGTATCGGAATATCAAGAAGAGTTACCTTGTTAGAAACTTGGAATACAACTGTCGATAGGCAAAACCAGCTCTACGAACTCGTACGTTTTCCAGTAGACCCAAATAACTCACCTGAAAATAAAAGTAAATACTGTACCTCGCGGCGACATTCCGTGTTTACCTAGATCAGGGGGGAGGGACACTTCTTTCCCGTAACTAGACTTAATCAAGAACACAGTACAAAGTCTGACCACACAACGACCCGTTTCATGTTATAAACCTCAAAAAAGGTCTTGTTATCATTCAGTTGGCGGACAAGCATGCTTCTGATTGGCTATTGCGTCCAGTTGACCAATCGGGGACAAGCTTCGTCCGCAAAATACGGGTCATCGCGCAGACTTTCTATAAAATGGCCTGTACTCACTTGATGTTTCACCCGATTCTCATCGAACAAGGATGCTGACTTGATATCATTAGGTTTGATACAACGAACATAGTGCGGCTCCTTTAAAAAGAAATGATCGATTTAGAAACAAAAATACTTTATGACCACCTTAAAATATACCACTCACCTTTATCATTAGAATTTCCACAAGAGAAATCATGGAATTTTTGAAGAGTGTAGCAACAGTAGGAGGACGCTTCGTCACCTTAAGATAAACGATATAAATCATAGAAACAAACTTCAAAAATAAGCTTCAGACTTGGTATATCCCAACTTAGAATCTCAGCTTATAGAACTACTTACTGTATATGTATATGTGACTGCAAAAACTAAGAAACATTTATATACCTTTGTGACTGCTTCTTTGCCTTCAGGCCACATTTCTTTAAGAGCTGAATGGTTGCTACGAAGAGATTAAGAGGATTAGCGAAACTTGTGCTAGATGCATGGTTTAAGGTGTAAAAATCTCGACAATCATTCACGACATCGCATGCTGCTTCAACTTTAGGTTCTGAAAGTTGTCCCATGCAGCAGTGCATAGATTGATGTAAACAAGGACGAAATCCAAATTCCAAAGCCAAAGCTGGAAAAAGCGTCTTGTAATGGGTTAAACTGTCAAGCTTGATTCAGTTTGAAATATTTCTTAAACCATAAAGCGGTAATTTTCCTGCATGCATGTGCTTGATAGAAATAGATTTTGCATGACATGTTGTTATCTTGACAGGCCTATATTTTCTGCTTAAAAAATCGGGAGAAGATCTTCTTAGTTTAACTTTTTAAAATTATAAGTTTTCATTTCAGCTGTGGCGTTGCATTTTGTTCTCCCCGTTCAAACTTATAAACTGGCAGTTCAGTGAATTCGTCACATATGCACTTTCAAAGAGCAAATTCTAAACTTCAAAAATATGATCCCAACATTCCTATTACCAAGGAAAAGATAGTGCTCACCAATTAAACAATAATCTTTTAAAATCTTGAAATAGTGTGTCCTTGTTCTTGTCCAAAAACCCGTCAACTTTATACCTAAACATTTTTTTAAAAATACACAATTTCATGCATGTGGTACTTGCAAAATTTCAAAAAATTTAGGTTGAATACGAGTCGCATGCATCAAAGGAAACTCTATTTGAGATTAAGAATTTAGATTCTAAATGAATCAGGTCAGGAATATTCTAAGAATCTTTAAAACTTTTCAAGAAAGTGTTACATATAAAAACAACGGTGGGAATGAGTCTTCATACTTACACCACATCCCCGGCATAATGCTGAATCTTAAAATCCTGATTGTGTGTAAGACTTTTATTGGAGGGTTCAATCTATAGAAAATACCGAGCATATTAAAACACAGAAGGATGATAGCTAGAAACATTTTGCCGGCCGGTGTTTCGCAACATAATGAGTTCTGTTTAGCAATCAGAAGGGGGGAGGCAGGTTAACTTGCACGTTCTTACATGCATGTTTGGTCGTAAAGTGTAATTTATGTGTTCACAATTCGTTACAACATTCGTTAGAAGCTTTACCTGCCGACTTGAGTAATGTTTGTGATCTTTAAGTTTCTGGTCCATCGTGTGTAAAATCATCTTGTAAAGATAGGAAATTGAAGATGTTGAAAATGTTTCTATTTAATATCTTCTCATTAGCCACGTTCTTGCTACGTGAGAGGATACTGCATGTTCACTAAAATCATTCATCCAAAAGATTTTACTTACCTCGTCGGTGACTTTTCCAGCACTGATGATCGCTTCATCCATGATTGATATGATGCCTTTATGATTCAGTTCAACCAAGTCACATATGATTTTATTGTTGAAGTATTGTACCTGCAATTCAAAGAGATTTAATAGGATTTCAGTTCGGAGAAATTTCTCTTCAAGAGATCGGCTAACACTATGCCCATGTGGTCAAAATTTAAAATTGAATTTCAGTTGTACGCTGTTGTCACTTTTTCCGTGTGAGTTTAATTTAGTCTGCTTGTCCAAATGCTTCAAAAATTGACAGTTTGACAAATGAAAAGTGTTCACAAAATCGATGTTGAAATAACAGGAAACCTCTTCCACTTACATCGACCCACTCAATTCCTTCTCGTCTGTATTCTTCTTGTTCCTGCTTCAGTACCAATTCAATAAATAATTGTTGTAATTTCTCGTTACAATAATTGATGCAGAACTGTTCGAATCCATTCACGTCAAATATTTCAAAACCATAGATATCAAGAACACCGATCACGGTACATTTACCGTGTCGAATGTCCTTCACTTCCACGGCATTGTTGATTTTCACAACAATCCACGAAAATAATCTGTCGTACATTGCCTGAAAAACATCAATCATACCACATTTAAAAATAGAATGTATATTTTTATTTTAAAAGGATATAACTTCTCTCATCATTGTTTTTAAATATTTTCACATAAAAGCAATGAGATTTCCGCCATCAGTTTAGCAGTTGTCTACAGACAAAAATATTGCGGGACTGCATACCTTCAAACGCATGGTTATCACAATCGTGATCTCGTACCTTACATAATGCGTCGCGACCATAATAAGCATCATCCAAAGAATGTCCTTTCTCCATGACCTCCCCCCGTGCGGCCACAATGCGATATAATAACGCTTTCTCAATCTCCTCGATTGTGGAATTTAACAAAGTTGCCAAAGTAGATAACAAATCACGATCTTCGATAACAGCTTGGTCTTCCTCAAGTACGAAGTCTAGATTACCCTAAGGTAAGAATGGGTTGTTTGATAGATCAAAATATGCGAATAAAGAATATATCGAGGGTATGCAGGCCTTGTAATTTTCCCAATGCAATGAACAGTAGGAAAATTCTCCCTCAACTCATTCTTGGGTTCCTGTACGGTCATGGATTTCAGTGGGACTGGGTCAATATCCGGACACAATGTAATTGAAATACGTTTTGTTTACTCTGTGGTCGGCTTTGTGATTGATGGCTGGCATATACGGGCAACTTGGGTCCATTCACACATTTCTGTGCAGCATAAACGTACGTTTGTTCTTTTGATAGATGTGAACGAGTGGATTGCTAGGAATGGTGTGATGTTTACGTGTCTTCATTTGAACATTGATAACTAATCCACTCGTTTACATCAATCAAAAGAAAATCGCACCTAAGATCGCCTAAACAGATCTTGAAATAAGACTTAACTCGTTTAAATTATGGCCGAAATGCTCATTGAAACCCAGCAATACTTTGGGTCTTTGCCTCGAAAGGTGATATACCAGCGCCATACTGTTGAGATCTATCAAATTCTCACATGATAAAACATACCAGGTGAATAATGGCGGCCACCACTTTCCATACAGTTTCTCGTTCTCTGTCGGTGAAACCAATCATTTTCATAGCTTTATTCACTACTTCGTAATCTTTCTTGTCGTCGATTGTTTTGACCTGCCGAATGACAAGATCAAGTTTAATTAGAGCTGTGATGTAACAGAAAGAGACGTGTAGGTACTTTGAAATCAACCTTAAGCACTTCATGTACGCTATCTCGTAATGAATGAGCTTTACTCACTGAGTGACTCTCGCCTTGATTAATGTAATGATACTGCGTGGCGTCCCGTACTAGACCATATGATCTTAACAACTCTTCAGGAGCTCCGTATATTAACTGAAAACAAAAGTAAAAATTCGTGTTTAAATTGAAAGATAAAACATTCTCTGAAGTCAAAATGTCAGCCGGAAAAATTGCAGCTCAAACAAAGAAATCATTGTTAACGGTCTTTTTAAGCTCCAATGATCCCATTTTGTCGGATCCAATTCTTTATCACTTCCAATGAATGTTTTATAGTCTGTTGACTTGCAATGTATATGGGCTGGAAATCAGCTAAAGTCGATGCTTTATCAATATCAATATTAGACTGCATTTCATTCGTCATCCGGACAAAATTGGACCGTGTGATTAGTTTCATAGATTTTAGTGGTGGTCAGCTCTAAACAAAGACACGGTAATTGGAGCGAGTTCGGAATGAGTTCTTCACTGAATCTGCTTTGTGCTTGGTTGGCAACACGTGGTTGTAACTTCGTATCAATGCCTCACTGCACACTTGAGTTTTAAATCATCGAAACTTTTTAGGCTGACCATAGCACTCAAGTTATTGACAAAAGTACTTACGCACCAATTAGCTGTATAAATGTGAGGATCTGTATTACTCAACCTTGGATAATCGTAATGAATGGCATACCTGATAAAATGAGTGGAAATTTCTTTCTCCTTGCTGTTGCTTTATTACTCTCGACTATTTAAAAAATCATAAACAATACTGAGACTCATTACAGAGGGAACATCACAACGGAATAATCTCAAACGCAATATGATGGGTCCGCCGCAGCCGTCGACATCACAAATTTCATACAATACGGTGTTTCAAAAAGGACGAAACGAAATTAGAATAATTTTACATGCAAGATATTTTGGATTTAATGCCTTAATCCATACGTAGTGCAAATAGCAGTTATTTCAATGATAACTTTCGTATTTCATAACAGCAAAAGATGTTGGATTACTTCATAAATAAAATTTAGTGATCGAAATAAATTTTTTTTTAATATTATTGAAAGGAAATCGATTAAACGAAACTAGGGATCCAAGGATAGTGCAAAGTTTTCATGCCCTGCAGTTTAGTCTCTTTTCTTCGTCAAACAACTGTGACTACATTCACTACATTTATATGATGGCAACAATTTATCGTCATTTCATAAGAATAGCCAAAATAGTTGCGTTGTAAATAATGTAAATAAACCGCGGTGCATATTATGTCTATGATGTGGATACTTCGACGCGTAGCTAAATCGATACAAAACAATATACATATAATCAATACTGTATACCGCCAAAATGATTTGATTACTGCACAAAATGTCCGTTTTGTATAGTATCATTTATGTACTGTATGCAGAATACCAGGTATCGACTTGCTATATATCGACATAATATATATTCGTCATTCGTGTAAGAGATCTATCAATACATAAACAACACAGCGTCGTTTCTTCCTAACCTATTAGCTCTATTTATGGAATAAACCTTCCAAATTATATTTGTGTTGAATTGAATGCTCGTAATTCATAACATAAGTTGATAAATTGCGTAGATTCTCAAAGAATTGCACGATTTAAACGCTCGGAATGTTTTGAAGCAATGCTCGTCGCTCCTCGTTTCTTTACATCGTGAATAATGTTGAAGGCTCGACGGCACATGCGCAGTTGCGACGTATAGGAAAAAATCGGGTGTTCCGGGGGTAAATCTGCGCAAATCCCTTTGAAACAAAACCCAAACCGCGGAAAAGCAATGCTTTAAAATTTACAGTAACCGTCAAAATTCCTCAATATTTTGGTGAACTTAGCAAAAGGGATGTAGAGAATTAATAAATAAAGCAAGTTAAACTGATTTAAAAACTTTAAATTACTGATTATATACAAAAAGCTACTATACGCATAAAAACACTCCGCCCCCCGGAGTTTACACTATGACTGACTGACTGTCTGATGTGAATTTTCGCCACTCACCACAATACTGCAAAGTTTCACAGAAACTTTGCACTAAAAAACTGAACTTGTTATGAGCTCGATGCGATCATGCGACAATAGGATTGCCCATTCAACACCTAGTGGTGGAAGTCGTTGAACTCGATATATATGTATTAGCGCATGCCCCCCCCCCCGTGTCTCTGCTATATAGACCTTACCTTTTCTAGTAAATAATTATTTATATGCCCCCCTACAGGGTCGCCTTTGAAATCAAAATTAATATCCATGTATTTGCCGAATCTACTAGAGTTGTCATTTCGATTCGTCTTCGCATTACCAAAAGCCTCCAACAGAGGGTTTGATTGGAGCAATAAATTGGTCACCCTGAAATCAATTGGAAATGTACATTTAATATATATAATTACATGCCGCGTCCGGGGGGTGGAACAACGGACTAAGCATGATGCCATGATGCAGGGGACGAGGGTATAGGACGGGGCAAAGAAGGACACACAGGGCAGGACAAGAGGATGGTGCAGGGGACAAAACAAAAAACGGAGCAAAGAGGAAAGAGTGGTCAGCGGAGAGAAGGAATAGGGGTCCGGAAAGAGATTAGGAGGTGCTTAGGACGGCATAAGGCGTCATCAACCAGTTAGAGCTCAATTCATATAGAAATATGGCATTGAAATGAATATTAAAATGAAAAGTGTAAAATTTAATTAGATTTATGAACGCCTTGGGCGATAAAATCTTACCTTTCAACTTCTTGTTGTTTGGAGACATTGGTAACAGCTGTGATGTATCTCATAATGATCTTTGAAGCCTCGGTTTTACCTGAACCACTTTCCCCTTGGGTAAAAAAAAACTTCATCACCAAACAGTGTAATGCTAGCACGTTTTCTAATTCATTTTTCTAAACGTAATCGATCTCCTTAGTTTCTCTAGTGCTAGCAAAAACATTGAACATTGTGATGAACATATATGAAAATAAAGATGTTTAAAACTCGTGTGTCGAAATTTAAAGACTTAGTAGAAAGGGGAAAAACTGGTTAGAATAGCATGTTTATAACGAGTTATCGTTCTCGACCGACGGTGAGCATTGGTAATGTAAGAATTCACTAGTTGCTCCCGATGAGACGAGGTCATGAACAACATCGTTATCCGATGACCTACTGTATACGTTGTTCAATTAACTACCTGTTTGAACTAAGACTGAATTGATATTGAAGGTTTTCGGAAATCATCGGTATTTCTATAAAAATTGGCCGTGATGTAGAGACTGCAAATGGTCAAGAATTGTTCTTCGCAGAGGCAATAATAGGAACAGAATTAGGGTATGGCGGTAATATGCGGATAGTAAGGGATATTTATAGCAAGCGACTTAGGATTAGCCAAACTAAGAATATCCTAGATTAGTCATCTTTAAAGCATAACTCGATCAATATGCTCATGAAATCTCAGCCACAATGGAATTTTAAAATTTACGACAAATCCCCCACCATTTTGCAAAAATGTTATCGTAAGCAGGAAAAAAACTAGGAAACATTTTACACCTTTGTTCCCGAAAATAGTACGTTTTTCGAATTTAAGCCAACTCCAATTTGAGATTTGCTGGAGGTATGAATGTGGAGCCGGAAAGTATAATGATGTTAATAATTTTCTTGTATGATTGCATGGCGACTTTAGTAATACTAAATAATAATAATCATATGTTAATAATAATAATAATAAAATAATAATAATAATAATAATAATAATAATAATCATAATAATAATAATAATAATAATAATAATAATAATAATCATAATAATAATAATAATAATAGTCATATGTTTAGTAATACTTTACTTTAAGTGACGCGCAAACGTGTATTCAAGTAATTGCACTGATGAAGGTCCGGGTTAACGGACCGAAAGCTTTGCAGTATTTAATACTTACGTGGTGTACCTACAAGTTATTATAATTATAATGATGTTGCATGAAAAATTGGATGAGGTTCTTAGTTATCCGGAATTATTACATGCATTAAAGTGTTTTCAGAGAACGAAGAATAATATCCCACTTATAAAGATCTTGAAAGGTCTACAAGGATATCATAGAAGTCTGATTAAGCAGTAACTCCAAAGAATTGCTTACATTGCACGATTTTTTCTCTTTATTCTTGACATTTAAGTTATAACGTGCGTTTGATAAAAATTCGTCAACAAAGTTGGAGTAAATTTCAGCCTTCTCCCAGTGAAGCAAAGGTAATGAATACCGATCAGTGAATACCTTGAATAAATAGCAAATTCATAGAACATTCTCTGATGTATGCAAACACAACGTCACTCGTTCTGCATGACAAGTATAATAGCTACTTTCAGCATATTTGGCTAACGGTATAATGACTGCACAAAGAATATTTTTACAGGTGGGTTTAATTGTTTCCTACTTATCTTAATTTCCCACTGAGACATTGCAATTGTCTCTACTTTCTCCTTATCTGAGTTCACAATATCACCCACCAGTCCACCACTTTGATGGAAATTCATTTATAGAATAACGTGTCCATGCATGTGTGGACGCCACGATCTAAACTATACCCCCTTCCCGGGCCTTCCCTTTCTATTATTGCATCTGTTTGTTCATGAATAAACCAATCAATGGTTCAAACGTATAGTGGCACACAGACTGGGCGTAGTGAGACTCTTGAAAAAAACACATTACAGGTATATAAAGATTAAAGAATGGGTTTTGAGAATATAAAAATGACATTATTCCCCATAAATTTTTCCAGGGTACGATTTGTTTTGCCAAATTTTAATGTTACAAACAAAAGGGTCTAGAAAAAAATGAAGCTATATGAGAAAATGTTTGGTAATCTGTTGGACTGGTGTACATTTTACAATATTGCATACTGTACGTAAAACTACATAAAACTTCATACAAAGAATTAAATTGCAGCTGGAGTTATTAAACATTGAAACCATGCTTTTATATTATATATATGATTACTTAATTATTATGTCACTTAAGCATCAATTAAGAGAGTTCAATTAAGAAAATATGAGATGGATTGTTACTACAGTTGGTTCAGCTGTTTATAAACAGATGGAAATGGTACGATTATAGAATACCGGGCCAATAGCTAGAATAGTAGAATAATAGAACTGAGAAATGATAAACAGGTTGTGCTCTGGGGGAATTTGGGGGCCTGGCTGCACAATTAACCGAAAATAAGTTCATTATGTTAAATATCTGTTAGAGAATTAACTGCCCCGTTCTTTAAAAATAGTGCTTATTTTTGTTCTGTGAAAGTCCAATTCATGCATAAAGTAACATAAAACAAGGTAGTCCTATATGGCATTCACTGTTAAGACTTGGGTTGGCCACTATAGCTGCTTCATGGAAATGAAAACAGACATTTCCTCTTGTTGAAATAAACTTAGGTTAATGAGGATTGCTAGCCTGTTCAAATAAAGACTATAGTCAAAAGAAAGACCTGTCTATGTATGCCACTTAATCCTTTAGGCGTTTTTTTTTTCAAAATGCATTTACAAAATACAGGGGTTAAATTTCATTAAAAAGGTCGGCCTATATTTCCCTTTAATGCCATTTTGATGTGATATGTTTATTTATCAGTATGACGTACTGCAAATATGAGTATCAGATTAATTAACCATCTAGAGTAAGTTGAATATTAGCTAAAATTTTATATTCCAAATTGTGTTTTGTTCTGCACTTTTATGAATGTAAATAATATTTTGTATCATATAGGACTTTGTCAATATTTTGACATTCCTTATTGGTAAAAACTCAACTTAACCTCTGGCACTACATGAGCCTACCTCAACAGAATTTAATTCTGTTTATGAGTTGAACTCTTTTTCAAAAGAAATAAGGATTTCAGACGAAGGTATATTCATGTGAAGTTTGTATATTGTATTACCTACTAACTTTGACCAACCCTGGGCAATTGTTATATCTCTTTCAGATAGTTTCAATGTGAAATTTGAGCACATTCAAGTAAAACACTAAAAAAACAATAATGCAATTTCTATTTTGGTACTTCATCTGCCTGATTGTTGATCAACAATCTGTATCATAATCAAGCCATAATCTTAATAGCTAGTGGTTTTCTCTACCCTTGAACCCAAGTTTGATAACCCACAGCTGTGGCAGTTTACACTGTAACATTCTATTTTCAGATGTGACATGATTGCACAATTGATCAAATATCTATGAATTATTAAGAAATGAATGTGAGATAGTCAACATGTGGGTTTTACTAACCTCCCATAAATATCATTATATTTCAGATACCTTGGGCTAATTTTGTTTTAAGTGTGAACAAAACAATTGTACTTATGCAGTTCTGGTATGAAGGAATTCTTCTTCTTTTATGTATGCATATCTAATTAGCCACTGTAGTTTGATATCAATCATGTACACAACCTATGTGGCCATAATTGGATCTCAGCCCATGCAGTGTAAAATTATGTTACAAATTTTGGGCAAACATGACTGGCAAAAAGGAAATGAATTTGTCAATTTGCCCAGTACAAGCATAAACATGTTAATTTTAATGTTTACATTTTGCTGTAATTAATTTTCAAAATGCAATTTCTCCTATAATTTAGTACTAAAAATTATCCCTTTACATCAAAGTATATCAATACATATGGTAAGAACATTGGCCAGTCAAATTATTAAAGAACAAGGGACCACAAGAATCTCAAGTAAATTAACTATAGAACAAAAACATGTGAAATTCATTTCTGCTTTTAGACCTTTGAAGCTGATCATCACTCAAATACATATTATGTTTCTGTCATCAAATCAAAATAACAATCAAGAGAGCATTTATATCTAATTACACACAAGTCTGCATTTACACGTTATGCTGAAAGGAACAGAATAAAGGGAGAAAACTGCATATTTTAGGGAACGTCAAAAAGATATTTGGGAATTTACGACCGTGTAACAAAATCTGAAACATATATTCAGGAGTATGCATGCTGATATTCTCCTGACCCCTAAATAGCATCACGGAATCATTGTGTATCATTTTCGTGCACTGTTATAATTTTAGGCAAATTATCCACACAGCTCTTTTAATACCGAAGTAATTATTATAAACGATGTACTTTAAACTGTATCAAACAATAATGTGAAAGCAAAACACAGAGGCAGATATTCCATAAAGGTGTGTCAGCATGTAAGTATTCTGTCAATATATTACCCATATTCATGTTTGTGGGTTTCGTATAATTTCGTGAAATTATCAGCCTTGCATTAACGGAATTTTAACCAACAACCTAATGACGTTTTACTGCGCGTTGAAGGGAAAACATCAACACTTTTAATGTACGAATCGATACACGATAACTTTATAAGTTACTTGCTTGGACCGCATAAACCATTGGCCAAAAATTAAATCAGTATCTATATGCATTCTTACTTTGTTAAAATTACAAACCACAAAATCGACATACAAACTGTAATATATATTTCATTGTTCTCTGTATATTATGTGTGATTGGTTTTGATGGATCAAATTATTCCAACATTGAATGCCTATCGTGCTGTCAAATTTTGTTTCACTTGACAAAGCTTAGCAACCGCGGATTGCAGTGTAAATATTATATTTTAAAGTCACTCATATCTTACACTGCTCCCATGAATTATAAACTAATGAGCTTGTTGAGCGGATTAGGAGAACTAATTCGCTATAATTTTGACTTCAAATATTGAGATATTTACTTCAAACTCTGGGGATTTAAACATATTACATATGCACTGATTCAGCATTAATATTGTATTATTTGTTCAGCACGACAATTATCTCTGCTATTTTGTTAATTACAACTTACCCGAAATCACGATGCACGTATCTCTGCTCTTTCGTTTCATACTGATGTATGCTGCATCGGCAATGGCAAATATATGCGGCGGTCTCTCATAAAGTTCCCTGCCAGAGTAATCGGCGATTTTATCCTTGTCATAAATGTTCAATGTTTTATACGGATTCATTGACACCAACACTTCACCGATATAAGTATATATTCTTTCCTTCTTGTAACGCAGTTCTAAGTTGGCCATAAACGCTTCCAATGAGATTTCATCGAGAAGGACGAAATCTTCCTTGCCATACATCGCTCCTTCGTGGAAGGACGCCGCCATTTTGAGACACGAAGTATCAAAGTTATCCGAAGAAGTCTGAAATAAAGCCGTCAGCCCAGCAGCAGCGACTGACCCAGTGACCTGGTATCGCGAAGGGAGACCCAGCCTAACTATATATAATCCTCTACGATTGGTTGGAATATTGTAACACTGTTTCCGACCAAAATTGGTGGGGGTGCAGAAATAGCAATCTGTTGTACTAATATAATGCGAGTGGGTGGGTGATGTAGGCGGAAGTATTTCATTCTTTGAATGCATAATCTGAATTTTTGGCCACCAAAACAGCAATGAAACTGCGCATATTGCGCATATCGGTTTCTAAGTGGTACACTTATGACTTTTGTCAAACTTTTAAGTGGCTCAGAATGATATATGCTCAGTAAGTACAGCGTGATATGTGAATACCTGCGGCACTGCCGCACTGAGTTGTCTTGCATGTTATTATGTTGGCTATAACAATATGTCTTTCAACCGAGGTCACTTTTAAATGTGTTCGCAGTTTGGTCACGCCTGGTTAATGTTCCAATTAAGCTGTTTAGTCGTGTCTACGGTTATGGTTGAAAAAATAAATATATAAGTAAACTCTAGCCGTTTCTATGCAGTTCGAAAGTGATTCACAATATAACCTAAAGAGAAATACTGTAGTGCTTGCTGTTGCACTATTGTCCCGCATGGACTATTAAAGGTGGTCGTCATGTACGATAGTAGACTTACTGAATTTCTTTTTTGTGCCAAGACGGCAAATTATGACGATTTTACGAGAGCATTAATTGAATCATAGTTTAGATTATTATTAATAGTTCAAAAGCGACCACATGCCAGAAATATAATTCATACCGGTGTCCGAAATTTTGTTGCGCTATGCCTGAAAAGGTGCGACCCAAACGTGGTTCCTGTTTCCTGACAAATCAGCAAAAAATAATATTAATTTGATGGCCAGTGATGCCCTAGCTAGGATGTGAGCAGCAGGGCCAGTGGCAATGATAAGTTGTAGTTAATTCTAGTGAAGGGCAAGCCACTGGCATGAGAGCGACCCCCAAGAGGTAAAGGTAGGTATATCATATGGCACGATATGAATTGGCTACCAAACTAGTGTAGATATGGAAAGAGGCCCTCGAAGTAGATTTTGTGCTCCCGGCCACAAAATCTCCCCGAAAGGCCCTACTAATATACAAAACATGGCCGGAGTGAGAACACGTGAAAAGGGAGATCGCAAATATCAAACACTTCCGTTTCCCATTTATCCGACCAAGAAAATTCGTGAAAGCATGGCAATTCGTTTTAGCGCCCTGCATGGCCGTGTGAACCAGGATATTGATTCGATCGCGATCGAACCATGTATGGACAATACTATGGCATGGCCTCTCGAATCTTGATTCTTTGTTTGGACGAACTCTCAAAAAACCTTTATGCTCTGGTCTATGACGTAGGCCATGCATCTATATACATTTCGACATGTTTGCTTTTCGGCAGTTTGTTTCATGATTCGTACGTTTTAGACGGATAAAGTTATATTTTATCTTTTAACTTGTCAGTCAGCGCAGCAGACTCATTTGACTTTGAGACATCGCACATGCAATTATAAGCATTAACATTTCAATATTCAAATTTCTTATTCCAACCCATTTTCGGTTAGGAAGAAACGGAAAGTTAACTGTAAAACAAGTTTTTTTTAATAATTCAAGTACTTTCAATTGGTGTAATCGCTCAATATAAGACAGAATTGGTCATGAGTTTAGTTAAAACTCCAAAACAGGAAAATTGTGAGATTATAATTGCGCGTGTCGACAAAGAAGAAAAACAAAGAAGGAAAGGACCAAGTTTCTTTAGCTTAAGAAGGACACCAATCAACTTAAATGTGTGGACGGTTATAAAAGCTCAAAAATGCGTCATTTATGCGTGGAGATGGAGTTTTCAGTCTAGAGATACAAACTGTATCATTCTTATGGTGAGTGAAACTACTGTAAGATTGAAGTTCGTAGTCCATTTTTGAAAATTCTAGCTACATGAAATATTTGCCGACGTTGAGGTATAGTACATGATTACCTCCGCTTTAGAAAACGCGCTCATCTACAGTCGCAGAGCAGATATAGCCGTTGCATACTTCAGAACCTCTTATTTTATTGAATTCGTCTGCCCTAATTTGGCAAATTGATATTCCGTCGATTAAAAAAAACCTAACAGATTGGAAGAAAATATATCCAATGAACCGATATATAACGTGTAGAATGTGTTGTATGATATACGATGCTCTTCGATGCCTCGCGTTCTCAGGGGCTGCACGAATTTCTTATATAATCTTACTGAAACGATAATCAGAATACTTCACTCCCTTCATGACGCGTGGTCTGAGGGGTATAATTATTCAAAATCAGATCAAATTCAAAATTTTGCTGAAATTTACAACCGTAGAATAAGCGAACAATATCAAGAAAGGCTCAAGAGAGGCTATTTCTTACAGAGAAGATAAAGTATTTACTTGATTGTCTTCAATTTTTATACTTCATTATTTTGTTTTCGTGTTAGGTATCTACCAATATGCACCTCATGCGTATACTGATTTAATTCAGGCAATCACTCATGCCGGCATTGCATGTTTTAAATGACGGACGAGAAACATATTCGTGCAGACAACATTTGAGTGATATAACCTGTATGCATGTGCATTTCTTATAGTGAACTGACATGACAAACATGAAGACGAGACCAGTGGTACTAGGTATGTTTCAAGAATTCAAGGAAAATCATCCACACGAAAGGATCGGACAAGAAAACTTTTGTGCTGCATGCATATGTTTTTGCACTGTCAACCCAAGATTGCCATGTGAAAAAGTGTGGGTGCTGTTGTAGAAATTAAATATGACTATAATGTCAATGTTACCATGAGTATAAATTGAATATCAAATATACAGCGGACCAAATAACAATTGATGCATGAATTACCATCACCAGTCAAGAGTCATATCACCCTTGCTCCAAACATACTTTCCACCGCGTTTAAAAAACATTTGTTCATCAAAACCACTATCGTTTAGAGCATCTTGCACTCCAACATCGAGAATCGATTTTGAAGGTTTCTTGGTCCCGTTGGTATTATCAAGAAATCGCATCTAGAAAATAAAAAACCTTTTTAGATAATTATATATAGAACTTGCAAACTACATCGTTGAGTTACAGACTATAAACTATTCTCTGCAAGCTAGTACATTCTGACAAGCGTGGGTAGAGTTTGTGAGAATGTTAAAACTATATATCACCATGCATGGTAGCGCAGTGAACTGGTAGCCATGTAGATCAGCCCACACAATGAATCCTGCTTTGATTCAATTCATTGTGATGTAAGAAAACGCGCGAGAACCTGGCAACCATGCGAAATCAACATGCATGCATAACCTATAAAAGCGTTTGTATATATATGATCGTATACGCTGTTAATGATCAAAGCATGCAGGTTTGCTTATCCGGCAAACAAATGATGTAAACTTTTTGCACAGTTAAAAATGTCAACCATTTATACACTTTATACATACACTAGTACACTTGTGGGTCCCAACAGGATGCTTATGGCATTCAAACTCCAGCTATTACATTGTTAATTATGGCTGATTTCAATTGTTTTGGTATTTTTTGGGACACCCTGTACCGCCACCTACCGTGTTGCATCACGGACAGAACAGTATGATGTTTTAAGAAACGATTATTTATATTCGGTAAACTAAGGCTGATATTTCACTTACATATTCATCAAGGATCAAATATGAATTGCGCATCTACAAAATTAAGGTATATAACATATTATCTCTATTAACATGTGGATATCGCGTATTTTAACTCGCCATCAGGTCACTATGGGCATGGCAACCAGGACCCCAGAGGCCGGTTGTTCAAGAACCGGTTAGCTTAACCCTGCATGGGTTAAAGCAAATCTTTACATCAATTGTTTAAATAAAAATCGCTTGTTTACAAAGTTGAAAATCTCTTTCCATACTCCCGGACCGATAGAAGTCCTATTTTGTAAAAGTTTTAAAATCAAGAGCGGTTCAGAAGCACATAAACCAAAACATCGGATTGAAATTTAACCCAGGGTTAGAGCTAACATAGTTTTGAACTAACTGCATGGCCCCAGGTCCACCACCTGCCAATATGACGGCCATCCACACTTGTAAAAACGTGAAAGAACTTCAAAATCATTCTCAGACCTCTTGCTCGCTCGGACACGGCGTCACGCACCCGGTTTTACAGGAATAATTTTACATATAGTAATAATTAGCCGGCATGCAGTAATAATTATGAGAATCCGTTTCAAAGCACAAGTATCTTCTCCCTACTGCTTGAATTCCTCGCAAAGATAATTTGCAATAAATGTTGCGCATGTAGTGCTCATATTTACATATTTACTGATACGTTGCAACTGCCACAAGTCATCAAATTACAATCCAAATATTTTGAATGACATACCTTTTCATTCGATTCTGGAACGAGACATTTAACATTTGCGTGACGCGATATAAACGACTGGAATTCCTCATCAGAAATGACAAATTCTTTTGCATTTTTTAACGCTTCCTCTCCGACATTTTCTCCCCCAATTAACAGACACTGGAAAACCTATGAGTAACAGACAATAAATATAGCGCTAGACACTTTGGACTGAAAAACGTTTGCAGTTTGCTTTTCCAAAATTAAACGTTTAATTTTTGTTCTGTTGCGTTCAGCAGGAGTTCTTATGTGATCGCGCTTCTAATGAAATTAAACTATATATATTTAAAAAATAGAAAACATTTCCCGTGTTTCTATACAGTTACAGAAACACGCGCGAGACATAATCAGTGGAGTGGGAAAACGATCCTGTAGGGCGAGTTTTTTCACGTTATTTCGAATTCTTCCAAACTCCCACACAACTGTATAGAAACATATGAAAAAATGTTTTCTAGTTCTTATATATATTATATATTATATATTATAAAATATATATATATATATATTTAAAATTGGTTACCTCAGACTCATCATACATGAATTCATTTAACCAAATTTTTCGTTTATACCAAATGGAATTGAACAAAACGAGATGATTCTGAGACAGCCAATTTGAAATGATTTGTTAAAAAATTTGTTTTTACAGCGTATATATTGCATTCAAATTTCAAAAGATTGGAACAAACTTACTTTCCATCTAATAGGGTTAAAATCTTGAATTGCTTCGGACATATCTTCGTTCTTGTTGTATACATTCACAACGGTGTTGATCTTAAATGCCACGTGATATTTATTGCACCAATCTCGAACTCGTCTCACGATATCCAAATGTCTTTCTTTGTTATGATGGCGACCTATCATCATATTGACCTCCTCATCAAAACTGTCGCAGGATATTGCCAGAATGTCTAGGTACATGCCTTGAAAGCAAAATTGAGATACAAATTCATTGATCAATGAATACAAATTGAGATACTTCAGTTAGGCCAAAAAAAACGGTACAGACTGACTGAGCTAGTCGAAATGTATATATTTGAATTTCTGTTTGTCTCGCGCACGTAAATTGGTCTTTACTGATCGCAAAGCTTTGTGCATGCAGGATAAGATTACATGAAAACATCGATATTTTATATGACATATATCAGTTTCTATCGTTACAATGCATTGGCATTTATTCTTGGTTTGTGTAGATCATGATGTAATTGATGTTTAAATTACGGGCTCAAGTGCATATGGCACTGCAGGCTCGCTATAGCTAAATATTATATAGGTAGTCACTGTAATGCAATTGGGATTGTCATTAAAGAACACACATTGAAGTCAGAGTGTGGTTTAAAATCGACAGTTTGCATATGATATCATTGATATGACGTCATAGTCAGTCCCCTCGGCGCCATCTTGGTTGACTCTAAAAAGTTTACTTCTGCTTTTCAAGAAAACAAACTGCGTTGATTTAATTTACTTTATCCTTGTTTATTTTGTAACTGCTTATCATCTCTGTCCTTGGGCGGGTATTAAAATACAGCAACGACGAAAAAATTATTTGTGCACATGTTTTGAAAAATCAACCAAGATGGCGGCAATTGCAAAAAACCTATAAACGCTATTTGACTATTCCTCTGATTCTTTTTCACATCCTTTTCCAAAAATTACTCAGAATTATAACAGAATGATAATATGTAAAATTCAGACATTCTGAAGACAACAGCAAACAAATAAATTTCTAAAAGTATATGGTTTCTATGGGTGGGTAATTTGAAATAAAGCGCTATCGTTAGTTGTTATTCTGGGGTCTTTAGCCCAAATACTTGCAGAGATATTCAATTTCGATTGAGTTCAGAGTCGGGCCAAAAACACATTTATACCCGCGAACATCAGCTCTATTGTTATATTATTCCTGTTTGCAGATGTTTTACCGAAAAACAGCTCATATTTTGTTACTAGAAATATTTCCTAGAAAGCGTACCGTAATTCTTAAACCATTCCTCTCTGATTAGGCTTCCATTTGAAACAATGCTAACACTCAGTCCAAGTTCTTCTTTACAATATCTGACAATTTCACCAACAAATTTTCCGTGTCGACCTTCGATAAACGGTTCACCGCCGGAAAAGTTAATTTTCTCCATCCCTAAAAATACGTGTTGCTAGCTTATCTTATCAGAAAACAACAGTGTACAACCAGTTATGACATACAATTTGCTTTAGTCATGAAAAATATATTTCATGCGCCATGTATATGGGGGATTTGTGAGAAACTATTTACCGCTAGTGCATGAAGTCAAATAAAATGAAATATAGGTAATTAATTAGTTTAAGATTAAAAATATAGGAATATATTTCATAGAGAATTCCTTTGCATAAAAAGAAACAAAGTTGTTCCATATTTTGTTCATTATATAAGAAGTGAATGATTATGATAACACAAATTTCCAAAGCAAGAAATTTAAACGTCAAGTCTGGTTTCCATCTATTACTGAGATTTCCAATTCAGCGTGGAATTGCGAAAGTTTGTTTGTTTACTTTTGTAGTTTCAAAGCAATTTCTGTGACGTCCTCTAATAATGTTGCCAGGGGACGCTGACCAAGTTGTCAAGAAAAAATGTCAAGTTTTTGACTAACGGCTAGAAATAGATGCTGTGAACAGGGCCGTAGCTAGACCGCTAAATTGGGGGGTGGTGTATATTCATATACTTATGTTTGCCGTATACCGTAGGAACAATAGCATACAAAAGAAATCATTCGGGCATAAGACGAATATATGAATATGCACCCCCCCCCCCAATTAAGCTTCTAGCTACGGCCCTGACTGTGAAAATAGCGGCTATTACTCGTTATACAGATCTTCAATTTATAGTCACAAAATTGACAGTTTCCCTTGACAACTTTGTGAGCGTCCCCGAACAACATTATTAGATGACGTCACAAACATTGCTCTAAAACTACAAAACTTAACGAACAAACTTTTGCAATTCACGCTCAACTGGAAATTGCAGTAAATAAGTAATAACCGTAATTGCCGCGAACACGTCAAGGTGGTTGTGTATTCACGGAATGTTTCTCTATGTACCCCGGTATCCCCAGGCAATACTCAACATGACCGACTTGAACATAAAAAATAAAGTTGTCAATAATAATGCAATAGCGGAAATCACGCTAGCTTCACTCACGCTGGCTTTATAACCTACGCAAACAAATCTGAATAAATCATAATGTGAAAGTCTGTGACTGCATTGTAATTGCTCGGTAATTTTGGTGTTTACCTGCTTGTTTCAACAGCTGTAGTCCTTTTTTAGCATCTTCAATTGGCAGGACAAACGATGTCTTGGCAGTATGGAAACAAAACCCACATTTGTAGTTGCATTTTCTTGTAAAGTGATAATTGACGCTGGTTGGTTTACAACAGACGCTCTCATGCGTATCGGAGGACCAGTTGTCTTTGCTCGATTGTAAGATATCTAATACCAAACCTAGCAAATATATGAAACTTCTGTAAATAACCTCACAAAACTTATAGAAAGCCGTCAGATGTGATACGTCTGCTCTCATCTTCCTGTCCATTGAAGCCTGACTGCCTGGAGGCTTTTCCATACGGAATTTCTAGAAGTTGGCGTCTTTAATTAATTTGCTTCACCGATTTCCGGTGTGACATCACTCCATGGCATTCCTAGGAGCACACTAATCACTGCGTGCACACCGACGTGGACACTCGACAGAAAGTGAAAGGGATTCGAGGGTTTTTCTGCTTCGTTCAATTTTTAGAATTTAAAGTGGTTTTTTGTGCCTTTAAAGAATATTTCAGAATAATGGAAAGAAATCAGTTTGTTCATGTTACCTAGTTGCTTAAGCGGAATTGGCGATTAAATCGCCAAGTAATGCTTGACTCCATGCAGCTAACATAGTTTGAATAACAGAATAGGGTTGCCGTTACTATATATTTTGTAATAGGTATGTTTAAATACACTGTCCAATCAATACAAAAAAATATTAAAATCGAATGGCAATTAAGAGATTGCTTGTGCCAATTGCACGTTCGTTATCACTTATCAAGGCAGTTGCAATGTTGTTTGTATTAGATAACAACAGGTTTACACAAAAGTAGCCATGTATAGCTGAATTGGAGTTAAAATGAATTTCATTGAACCTACTTACATGACTTGGGGTGCTTAGAGTAATTAAACGTCTGTTTGAACTTTGAAGTTGCTGCACTTTACATCATTGTGCATTGTGATAAATTTAATCCATACAATTTTAGGCAGCACTTTTCTTGCGCTAGCAATTCTTTGCCACGTAGGCAATTATGCATATATACCACTGCATATATACCCACTTACGAAACATATCATATTGATATTATTTATACCCGGAACCAACAACAGGTTTCCTCTTACATATAATACAACAATACTTGCTGGTACATTGAGTGCATTAGTATGTCAACTCAAATCGCAACTCGAGTAAATATTATACTCCGAAATTGCCTTTACGGAATCAACCTGAACGAAAGGGTTTTGTACTTAGCGTCGCCTGTGACAAGAAATCAATTTAGTCTAGAATATTCCAATGAAGAAACTCACGAGAACGTCAAGCAGAACATGCTTGCGGATAATATTTTATATAAGTTGTGCGACTGGGTTGATCCCGAAGAAGACATCATTAAAGCAAGGATTAACGATCGTAACTTGGAAACATGTCTTAAAGAAAAGTGGGGTATGAGTGGGCATATTTGGAGCAGTTTCTTGTTAGTTAAGAATTCCAAGGCAGTGAAATCTTACAGAAGCTGCTTTGTTGTAACATTTAACGATGAAGATAAGACTAATACCCAACAGTATACAAAAGAGATAATCGGTTTTGCCAAGACGTTTGGTATGCCCACCGTATTAAAATTTGAACCAACCGTCGGCAAACCAGGGGCTGGGTATACCGTTGATGTTATATCATGCGAATCTCCAGCGGCTTTAGAGAAAATTGATCAATTCGTGGTCTTTCCAGTGAAATATCCCGGCCACCATCCATCGTTTGACTTCGGGCACTCGGTCTTCAAAAGTTTTGAAGAGACGCGAAATACACTCAAACTTGCCGAGGGCAATTCATCGCTTACTGACATGCAGAAATTGCAACATTTAGCTGAAACTTACGTAAATAAGAATTTCCCCCCGACAGATGCCTATCCAAATCCATTTATTGTTGTCGAAGGCCTGGATGGTGTTGGTAAGTTGCTATTTCAGGGTTGCCAGATCTGTCAATATTTGAAATTGCCAAAATGTCATTAGCACCGTGAAGAAAACAAAGAAAATAGAAGGCTAAGACAAAGAAAACAAAGAAGAATAAGTTGGCCTCCAAAATTCACAAATCTTGCAACCCTGCTAAGTTTGTATACGTGGCACATCATAAAAAATCAATATTCGTAATTCTCGATCTTTTGTGATTGATAGAAAGCGCCATATTCGTGAAGATTAAAGCCCCGTTTACACTACACTCAATTTATTGGCACGGCACGGCTAAAATGGGCACTCGTACCCATTTCATCTGTACTCTGCCTTTGTTTTGGTAGCCTGAACACTAATAAAATTGGGTACGGGTGCCCATTTTAGCCGTGCCGTGCCGATAAATTCGGTGTAGTGTAAACGGGGCTTTAGTGTTGCGTTTTTTTATACTCCTTGTATAATAATAGCCCCGTAATAGCGTGTATAATACGTAAATAGCCTAATAATAGCATGTTAATGATAAATAGACAGTTATGGGGTCCAATCGTATTTCAAGATTCAACGCCAATCGGAAGCTGTAATGTTGCGTCATATTTGCATAAATTTTACCATTCCCCTTCTTTTTGCACTGGGAAAAAATTGCAGAGAAATTATTTATGTGGTAAAAAGAGTGCACTAGAGCCGTTTTATGATAAAATTTTCCCTATTAGTTCGTCCCAACCCCGTATTTATACTAACAGACTACTGGCTACTGTCGAAAGAGTTTTCCTAGTTATTTTGCTTCGCAAAATCCAGTATTATGTCTGCACAGTTACAATCGAAAGCACTCAGACGAAAACCAAAAGTCCCCCTGTAAGCTGGTGCTCCCTCCCCCAATCTCTGGATGCTTCCTTTAATTAAGAACAAGTGATGCCATTCGATCCAGGTCAGCATGCATGTGTAACATGGGCGTCAATCGAACGTTAATTGAGGGGGACTATATTCATATATTCTATTATGCCAGGCTGATTTCTATTGAAAATGAAATTGTTTCAATAGGACTAGCCTGTTAGTCAGTGAACAATGAACAATCCAAAATCAATTTCGGAAAAAAGGAACGTATAGTTTATAAATTTTTTTTACCCGTATAGGAAAGTCAACCTTAGTGCAGAATCTGGCTAAAAGAATTAGTGCTGAAATATTCCATACTCCGCCAGAGATCATAGGTAATTACAGAGAAGCAATGGTGAAGCAATGTCAACCGGTCTGCCGGGCATTCTACTCCCTAGGAAATTACCTTATTGCCGAAGATATCAAGGATTTGTTGACTACAAAGCCAGTTGTTCTTGATAGGTAAGGTCAAAGAAACGAGTGATACATTTGTTATGAGCTTTTAAAATAAGTCGCTGAGGGCAGCACTTGAAATGAAGCCTCTGAAATGTGTAATGTATATCATGTTAATATGAACATTTCTTTTTTGGTTTGCCCGTCATTGTTCTATATTCAATATCTTATTACACAAAACAAACCTTGATTTATTTGAGATTTATGTAATTCAGATATATAATTCTCTTTAGTGCATGTGCGTTCCCATTCATGGTATATGTTGAATAATGTTCAATATTGTTAACCAAACCTTCGCTTCCACATCATCATTCATCATTGTTTAACATTTACTAGGTATTGGCACAGTTCAGCATCTTATGCGATTGCCTTGGAAGGGAAATGTGGCAGTGAAGAAAACATCCCAGCAAAAGGACACACCATATATCAGTGGCCTAGAGATCTACTAAAGCCTTCAGCCGTTATCTTTTTGGATTTGAACGAGAGTGAACGTGCTCAACGTATGAACAAAAGAGGAGAAGAAGAAACAAAAGAAGAATTACAGCTGAGATTTTGTCAGTTTTTGCGAAAAAGGCAAGTTCGTTTTGCGTTATATTGTCACTTTTGTAAAAAAATTCATTAGCCTAAAGACCGTGCGTAGTTCCTGCGACAGAAGAAAGACACTTCGTTTTATGTGAAAGGTTTGAGCGGTTAGCAGTTCCTATTTTGTGGTTTCAGCTCTGATCGACTCGTTTGACCGTGCACTGAGGGCAGGGCCGAAACTAGAACGGTAATTGGCGGGGGGGGGGGTTGGGTGTTATTATTCATATAGAGTATAGAGTTATTAAGTTTTAGTACATTTATAATTATTAAGCCACAATTCCGGGATGAGATTTTGTACAGAATTACTTATATTTCACTGCAGTATAGTCGGTTTAAGTAAAAGGAGGGCCGGAAATGGTTTTAGATATTTTTGAATGCATGAGTTTTCACTCGCTGTTAATATGATGGTAATATAATGTGAGCTAAATTCATATCCTGTTTTATTGTCTATGTCCCCAGATTGGTTCAAGCGTACAAGAACATGGAAAATCCTAACTGCATTATTATTGATGCATCAAAGAGTAGAGAGGAAGTCTGTGATGATGTTATCTCAGAATTGAAGAAACAACAGCTCTTGTCAGTTGATTAACCAGAAACTATAGAATAGTGTAGAATCATCTTCATCCCCATTATCATGCACACATTCATTTGCATGCAAAAATATCGCAGCTAAATTTCGCGCTGGTCCAAATTAGCTAAATTTCTCCCACTCGTGCAGGCTCATGTTGTCAGGGGAAAACTTACATAAAATTGAGAGCAGTGCGTAAACAAAAAGCTTTTAATTTTTTATGTGAAGATCGTTGGAAAACTGAGCCCTCTCTACAGGAGGAAATGTGCCGAATATGACCAACGTGTACCAAACGTATAACTAAAATGGTTAATTAGTTAGCTATATATATATATATATATATATATATATATATAATTATATATATATATATATATAAGCTGTACAAGAAGCTAATTAACATTGTCAGGCTGCCTAACCCCCAAGGCTTTGGTTGAAATTAGGCAAACTTTTCATTATTGAAGTTCATGCATCCTTAGCTTCAAGCAATAGTAACTTGCAGCTCATAAGATAAGATATCACTTGCAGGTAGGTATATTAGTATATATGCATTTCTGTGCATTGTAATGTATGATGTAAAAGTCTTCATAGTTTTGTGATGCATACTATTATCCCAGAATATTAAAATCTCTTAACAGTTGGATTCACAATTCCTAACCGACAATTCCAAAAGCAGAGACAGTGCGATGTAGACCAGTGGAATCTTTATCATAAGCCTTTGGATTCTTTGGAATGTTACCATCATTAATCATTGCTAGTAACTTTTTAATCTCATCATATCATTATCATATTCAACCTATATAAGTATTACAAAACATAACATCGTACCAAAATTAACATTTTGAAACTCAAAGTATAGATTGAAACAAAACCAGATAGATTTTGTAGCAATTTATTTTCAAATTCATCACTAAACTGACTTTTCTTGTTTTTGATTAAAAATATTTTATTGAAAATAAATCCAATAAAATAATCATAAATATAATCTTTTCTTATTTAGCTAATATGCCATTTTTACTAATTTTTGTACTTTTCAAAAGCACGTATTAAAAGTGAAACGCCGATATCTCTGGGAATACTGTATCAAAATACACATGGTATATAACAAATTTTAATTTAGACATTTACGAATCTAACGAAAGTTATTTCAGTGTAACAGACGTCTTAGTTTTGAAGTTATACTCAATTAAACAGGTTAACTCTTTTAATAATTTAACTTTATTTTAATAATGGCATAATAAAATTGCTTAACTGACCGATTAACCTCCTCTAAAACCACTGATTAGAGTGAAGATGAAGGTAGATATTAACCTCCAGAAAACTAAAATGCTGTGCAGATTGATTCTTAGCTTCGCACAAAAGCTTCAAACTTTGACATACTTTTTGAACTAATAGTATAACTACCCGTCCTACTGTTATCTATATATGTTTTATACATCAAAGCGGACGAGACACTCAAATTAGACAGTTCTCCTGAGCGATCAAACTGTTTTCGGATATTCTTCTCATCTCTGTTGAAAAAATACATGATACACAATAACAATACAAAATCATTGTACAATAATTCATTAAAACCCAGAGTAGCTAATGGATGACGTTATATTGTGTGCGATTTTCTTCTTTTGATAGATATGAACGAGTGAATCAGTTACTGATGTTCAAATAAGAGCTCTTATTCATCAGAGCATTCGTAACTAATTACTCGTTCACATCTATCAAAAGAAGAAAATCGCGCACACAAAATCGCAGCAAAAATTGCCTTAACGTGTAAACGAGCCTGAACGCTCAACGTACCGCTCCATCCAAGAAATGTGCACGTGGTTTGTCGCTCCTTCAGACTTATTTGCATAACGGTTTACAGCTACAAAACTGAAAATATTCCACTTGAACGCATTTTAAAAATTAAAATTTGACGTCTCCATGTCAACCGACAGAAGAAAATTGTCTCCGAAAAAGGTCATATAAATCTCCGAAAAAGGTTACATAAATAGGTCACAATTTGCAAGTTATTACGTACTTTATAGAGTTTTTTGTTTAAATGTTTAGAAATCGATTACTTTAGTTGTTTGAGGAATACAGGGTATGCCAGTTTAGTATTTGGCACAAAATGGAGGCCATTATAATGTAAATAAACTGTAAGGTTTTCTGTGATAAATACCTCTGATAAATCTGTTCTGACATTTTGCTTGGTTCGAGAATCGCAACTCCGTAGTAATCTTTCATATTGGGAAGAGCAGCCTGAAAAGATACACACAGAAGTGAAACCCAGAAATCCAGAAAAAAATCGTTCAGCTGATTTGCACCTCGAGTAAAACGCCCGAGGCCGAAGGTTCTCCTCGGTTTTTGAGACCGAGGGAAATACTTCCCCACACGAAACGACTAAACTGGTAAATAATAGATTTATTATTTTAATTACCCGCCCTAATATATGCGGCCTTGTCTCAAACTCCTTGTTAGAATACGAAACTTTCTTGCAACTAGGTGAAGTATCTGAATCTGAACTTGACGTTGAATCAGAGTCCGAACTCATCTCTTCACTATGTGGACTCGTTGCCCGCTGTAGAGACGGACGTTTCGCTTCATGCTGGTTGCCAGAGCCACCTCCGGTTGCACGTACTACGAAAGGACTTGGGTCGTTTTTAGTTGCTGGGGAAAACAGCCTGTTGAAAGGAATGAAGGCGTAAAAGAATCATCTATGTATCAATTAATGTAGTTTAACGCGCTCAACACAAATTTAAACCATCTTTTAATTCGTATTTTAAGGGAAGCCCCAAAGAAAGCCAGAGAGGCCTGTGCAGGAGGCTAAACTCCATCTATGTTCATAAAACAAAAATCATAAACAGCAGGTTATGATGTGCTTTACCTGTACGACGATGGTAAATGGAATGAAAACAAGAACTTAAATCCAGACAATTCCTCGGGTTGATAGTAGTCATAAAATAAATCAGAATTACTCTTGTTTAATGCAACACTTTCTTCAAAAATGTTAATGGATGTCTGATTTGACACTAAAAAGCAAAGGGCAAAAAGTTAATATAATTTCCAATTATACTCATGCAATACCACGCACTAAAGACATGAGACATTTTTTTCCAATAGACAGTGCGATACAAGAAACCAATGGAACTATTAACCTTGTTGGCAAGGCAACGGTAAAGAAGCAACAACTTCATCATCAAACCATTTCGTGTAACTAAATAGAAAATAAAAGTTCGGTAAAATGAAGCGGATAAAACCTAACTCCAAAATCACAATCGGAAGTATTTACTGTAAAGGGCAGTTTACATTTGCAATTTCGGCTGCGATTTTCCGTGCGGTTTTCTTCTTTTGACAGATGGAAACGAGCAAAAAGTTATGATTGCTCTGATGCATATAAGTGTCCTTATTTGTACAGCCGTAATTAATCTCGGACGTCACTATACTTACCCGTGTGGACGGTTAGGTGCGGACGTGGCCGCGACCCTAACACTATCATTTACTTGGATTCAGGTCCGCATGACGTGAGCATGCTTAGTCCGGACCTGATCACCCGAGGTCTGCACCTTATCACACTGAACCAACTGTTCAGTGGAGGTAACCTAACCGTTCTTTGTGTTTGAAGGGTGGGTGTATCGTGACCCGGAAAAAAATTTTCTAACTCGCCGACTACATCTCTTGCAGGCGTTAACTACACTAATCGATTCTTTGCATGCGTGCTCATTCCTCGCTATATCCGCTCCTTTCCAGAGTCGTGAGCCTCTTCCCAGGCCCTTCGCTGCAATTGTGCCCAGTCCGCGCGCGGTTCCTACGATATTAACCTTGGTTACTGCATAACCTCATTATATTCACAGACATCATTCATTTGCATCTATCGAAAGGAGTAAAAACGGCAAATAAAATCGCAGCAAAAATTGCAAGTGTAAACGGGCCTTAAATCGTCGTTTAAAAAGGAGCATCATACACACATAAGACATCAACAGACAGTTTTTTATATTTTTTTCAGCTCGTGCGTTTATTATTCCGTGCTATATATCAGTATACCTTTTCCCATTTTCATTCGACCAGCTATCATGTTGAATTGGTATGTGATGAAGATAATAATCAGTTGGATGGTCCCACAATGGAAGACAATTCTCGCTAGGAATAAACTTTCCAAGAAAAAGATTTATCGCTTGCTGTTTTTCGGTATCTAAAAAGAAGACGTTAAACGCCTTTTCGTCCACGGCAACAAGGTAATAATTCTCTTGATATATGATATAAAAGTTTTAAAAATTTCTCTTAATAACTCTTTTAATATATGATATAATAACTTTTAAATACTTTACGATCTTAATATATGATATACCAATTTTTATAGATATAAGATATGATAGGATGATTTTTAACTGCAATACTTAGCTTATAGTATGTTTGTAATATGCATCGCAATTTAGCATAATATTGTAATATGCATCGCAATTTAGCTTTTTAGAATAGCTATTTGATGTGTAATTTTTCAATAATAATAATAATAATAATAATAATAATAATAAGGTACGTACGTAATACGAGACACGATTCAAAATTGTTAGTTCTATACTGTACCCAGCAGCAGCCAGTCATTAACGAAGAAAAGTAGTAATACTTACCAGTAAAAGCTCCACTATAGTACCTCCGTACTGTTTGATAAATATCACGAGAATATGACTTCCATGGCGCAGATTTCAGATATGTGTCAATTCTGGAAAGCAACAATGGTTAGGCCAGACAGTGTTTCAGACGTCAAATTTTTAATGTGCCAAGCCTAATGTTAATTGAGCTAAAGTCATTGTTACACATGAAACGTTCGACGTCTGATACGGGCCTTAGAGACTGAATTGCTACATATTTAAGCAGGTGCAACCACATTTAATCATCATGATCTCTGTAGTACAATGCCTTACTATAAGGTCATGCGCTATGACGCATAGTTTTCGGATAATGCAGGTTCCTGATTGATCACATGCTTCGTCCAAAACTATGTCATGACACAGAATCTTTATTTACGATTTTCCAGTTGTGATACTGTGATATATTGCATGCATTAATGCAGTAAAACTTGATGGACATTTATCGTGTACATTGTTACCTATGAACTAGCTGGGAACCTCCATATTGAAAAGCTAATGTATCGCCATGATCTTCGTACAGATCCTCTAACAATCTAGCGGTGAAGATAACAAAATAATACACAACCACGGCAAGCAGACAATTTCAGAAAATACAAAATAAAACAGATTCCGAAGATAGACATCTTGTGTTCTTAATATTCGAGCTAAAACAAGAGTGTAAATACAGAGACTTAAGGGCAGTTTTCCACCAGGCGGAATTTTTCGACCGAACGAAATTTTTCGTCTGATGTTCTTTTCAATTGCGAGAATTCAACCATAGCGGATTCCCTTCACCGGTCACAATTGAAAAGAAAATCGAGCGAAAAATCAGTTTGATCGAAACACTTTACCTAGTGGAAAACATAGTAGAGACATATTGTGTTCTTGATATTCACGCTAAAAGTGTATAAGCCATGCACAATAATTATGTCTATCTTCGGAATCTGCTGTTTTGTATTTTCTGAAACAATACATAGGTCTTAAACAAAATATGTAAGATATACCCTAACGGATAAAAACATATTTGAGACCATGAATAATACCTGACGGCGTCACAATCAAAATTTACAACGGGTTTATCAATAATACCCAACGCGTACAGCTAGGAAGAAACAAATGTTCGTCAAATTACCGTTTAAATTGAAACTTACAATATATCTAGACGGTACTGGCAGCGCCTAGATGACTAAAAGCATAACTATAATATCTATCAGTTGCTTTAAGAAACACAGTTTCCTGATAATTTGAGATAAATCAGTCAAAGATAAGCATCTAAGAATACACTACCTATATGTGTAGTACGATATTGTCAACAAACCTGAAATCCAAGAACTTGCTTTCCGATGACGAACTGGGCGATATTGGTTCGATCCAAGCAATCAACGCAATTTACCCGAATAACACCTGTCTATATTACAGAGACGAAAATATACATCAATGATAAGCCGAGAAACGTTAAAATGATATATTTCCGGAAGAGGTGGCTTGAAAATCTCTGTCTCTTTACCTGTTGTCGGCCAGACGTTTCTATATTTCGATATCCACCAACCTTTAACCACCTTAATATTCATGAATATTAAGTTAAAAATTTGTCACTTGTCAGGACTAGGTAAAACCCGTTCAAATTACAAAAATTGTGCCCCAGGTCAGGTCCAAGCCTGGTTCAGGCCACCTTCTGCTGTTGGCCTGGATTTTGTGGCCTAGACCAAGTCTACGTAGGTTCAGTCTAGGTCAGATAAACTGCGTTCACACCTAGCTCTAGGCCTGGTCCAGCTAGTCCAAGGTCAAAGCACGTAGTTTAAACGCGGCTTGTGTCTGTATAAAATGTTATTACAATAATAGACATACATGCAACCACAAAAAAATTATCATTGCGCGCTTATATAATTAAAAGTTAAATATATAACGTGAAGAAGTTGTGAGTTTTAAATCATGTTGTCATTACTTATCATCAGACCGAATCTCATTCGCATAAAGATCCTGGCCACTGTGGAAAAATCCCACGGATTCCACAAACTAAAAAAGAAAAGAAAACCTGCTGACAGGCAGACCTTGGACGAATTTCAGGCTGCTACTACTATAGGCCACTGTATTTGTTCAAGTGAGCTTATACATGCAAACTTTCAGTTTTACAACTATCTAGACATGCATTTATAACATTAAATATGATCAAACATCAAACCGTACTAAACTATTTAACTTTTCCTATCATTCCTTATTAAATTAAAAGAGGGCATTCATGTATCTGTGGTAATAAAGTTGATTCACACCTTTTTGGCATATCGCTGTAATCTTTTCACAACCCTGAAATCCTTACTAAATAAAAAGAAGCAATAACTAAGTGTACAGTCATATGTAACTACATTGCAGTCGCAATACGTTTGGATTAACTTCCGATGCAAACAAGAAGAACAAAATAACACTCAATTTCACATAATAATGCAACACGCGAATGGGACCAAAACAAAAGCGTTGACATGCAAAAGCATAGTTATTAAATACGATTCAAGGAAAGCAAGGCATAAAAGAAAGTATTGTGGATGTAAAATACAACAGATACAACAGATTATTACATAGTTGTAAGGGCTGGTTTCCAGTCAGGAAAATTATTTTTCGGACCGAATCGGACAGCGTGGTCTCTTTTGTGCTTAAGACAATTAGCTTTTGGTTAAAAAAGTAGCTTACTTAAGCTTTTTCGAACTTCTGGCGATATCAAACCAGATATATTTGATTTTGTGTTGAGGTGGGAGAAATTGGTTTAAATATTCAACAATTCCTTTGAACTCTTCTCCCAAAATTTGTTCATGTCTTTTTCTTTCTTTTTTCTGAAAATCATAAACATACATTACCACAAAAGAAATGTGTATTACCACAGAACTTGAGAATAACTGGTCTTAATCATTCTTAGCAAAAAACCAAAACCTCTGACAATAGTATTTCATTACCCAAAATGTTAAAGATTTTTTTTTAATTTCAGAAAAACTTCTCGCCTCAGCATCATGCAGTTTGCACTTTCAGGGTCTGGTGCTGTTCCCGGGGGGAGAAACTCTTGGACAACCTAATATCTACCCCAAAATGTTTAAAATCTTCGGAACCAATATTTTTCGTTTGTTTCATGTATAAAACTGACGAGAAAATTACATAAGAGGAGCTGCGAAACTGAACCAAGGGCGCTATTTTAATTACAAAATGTTTTTATGACATTTTATAGAACAATAAAAATGTATATAAAATATTTGAAACACTCACCTTGACAAGATTAAAGACAATAATCGGTGATCCAAACCTTCCTAGTACACTGTTGAAATGTTGGGAAGCAGAGGCAGCATACGGATCTGATCTATCAACTGGAGTGATGAAAGCATTTTGAAAATAGAATCTATTGTCGACACAGCCACTATCTCAATGAACTTTGCGTTTCACAATGACATAGGGCTATGTTCTATTAGTTGGAATTAAACATTCTTCAAAGTCAACACGGTCAATTATAGAATACCATATAAAGCGCAAAGCCTCGCTGTTTTTGCAGATCCAGAGTTGAATGAAAATAAATCTACAACTACATGCATGGGCTTCTTAATCGTCGATCGTCCTCGCCGACAAAGCAAGCACTGGTCTTAGTACCAGAAGTATACAGACGCCCTGTAAACACTCAAAGAACCCATCTATATATCGACAGTTCTGTAAAATCAAGGGTAGCCTAAAGGAGGCCTACCTTGTATTTGAGGCTTTGGTACAACACCGTGCTGTAATTCCTGACAAATAAAAAGTTAAAAAAAAATTTACAAGAATTGGTGACAAAGAATATCTTATTAAAATTTATTTATTAAACTGTATACCTGAGACCAAAATAGCGGAACTGAGCCACGGATCTGTACAAAGGAAGTGTATCGACCGCTTTTGAAAGACAATGTTGAAGCGTCGTGAAGAATTTGTTCCGTTTCAACATCATTTGCTACATACCCCTGAATGCAATAATACACTGGGTTTAATTTTAAAATAAGTCCACCACAGGCTCTACTCAACCACAGGCGCCACCATTCTCGTTCCCAGGTTTTTCACGTATTGGCACAATATCTTTTTGGCAATAACAAAAGGCACAATAACCTTTTAGCACACGCAGCACGCGAAAACCTGGAAACGAGGACGAGGCTCTACTCCACCACAGACCCTACAGGACCACAGAATGAACATTATTTCTGCATACCGAATCATTGGAGCCTCTCTTCAAGAATCTTGTTCCAGCATACTCATTTGACCTTCTTCCTATTAACGTCAAATATAATGGCCGACCGTAGACACTGATATCTAGAAGCTACATTAAGGAAAACAGCAGCGTCCAAACACTGAATGTAAAGACCCACTGCATAGAAAACATATAATCCCTAAGAGTTGTCCTCCAGAAGCTATATATCTTGTCTAAAAAAAATTATTATGTGAGCGGTAAAGGTTCATGTGGCTGACGAAAACAATGCACGAAGTAAAGTCTTCTTGTGTTTTGATTTGCGAAATTTATGCTACTTTAATTTGTCCAGATGCCCTCTTTCATGTCTTGTGCAAAGGTCCTATGATAGTGTCGACAATAATTGGATACAATTTGCAAGAACAATTACATCGCTTTAAAAAAGATACTACATTGTCCAATGTAACCATGTGTAATATATAACATCCAATCAGAATGCAAGATTTTGTCAACGTCTTTCAACATGTGTTTGTTCCAGACAAATTTCATGCAAGGTTTTCCACGACCTGATACAGTATAATGATGTAAGACACGTTTTCGCGCACACTCGTGGCATGATTTGTCCCTTTTGGTCTGGAACTCTTGCGTCTCCACAGTGTCATCCCCGCCGTGTTTTGTTGAAAAGTCTTCGTTAATATAATTTGACGTCCTTCTCGCCTTCATATCACTTCCATTTGTGATGTTTACAGACTCTTCCTCACTTTTAACTTGTGTCAAATCAGGAGCTGTGAAAGAATGCTGTTTACATTCGCTTTTCGATGCGAAATTAGTGTCTGTCTTTTTAGCATGTCCCGTATCTCCTTCCAGATTACATTGACATTCACACGACGGACATTTGAAATACGAACGTTTAAGAAGAGACATATTGTATTGAAGACTTTGTGTAAGATCATACGTATAACTAAAAGAAAACACGGTATTAGCCTGCGACAAAGTTTTACTTACTCACCGGCTTTAGAATCGGAATTTCATTATTAATAAAATTATTTAACAAAATTAAGTGTCCTGGTTACACGGTGGAATTTTTCCTCCAATTCTTGCAGTTCAATTCTACTTTCAAGAGATGTACATTAGTGAAGAGTCTTCAAAATGCAAGTGTAGAAACGTCCATGGAGTGTATAATAAAAAAAGTTTTGTACTTGCCAAGTTTACACATCACAAAAGTAGAATTGCGGTGCAAGGCGTGCAAGAAAAAGTGCACCGTGTAACAGGGCCTTAGCGTTGTATTTTGTTGCTGAGATACAAGAAATTGAATTTCAAAGTTTTGAGTTTGAAGTCGAGGAGTTTAGGTTTGATTAATTGAAAAATATGTACTCATTGTTATAAGAAATGAAAAACTGGTGTAAAATAGAGTTTAAAGGCGTGCTTTTTTACTGACTTTGATATTCTATATTCATTAAAGTCATTGTACTTCAAGCCCCGTTTGCAATCCGCTCAAGTTATCGATCGGCACGGTATGGCTAAACTGGGTACCCGTGTCCATTTCGTCCGTGCCCAGCCTTTGTAATGGTAGTCTGAGAACTATAATAAAATTAGGTACGGGTAGTCGGATACCCATTTTAGCCGTGCCGCACCAGTAAATTGACTGTGCATGGTGTAAACGGGGCATTAGTGTACCAAATTTGCGTTTTCATTGGCAAACTGAATTGCCTCTTGCTGCGATTTTATGTGCGATTTTCTTCTTTTGATAGATGTGAATGAGTTATGAATGCTCTGACGTGCTCTTATTTGAACACCCGTAACTAATTCACTCGTTCATATCTATTAAAAGACGAAAATCGCACATAAAATCGCAACAAAATTGCGAACAGGCCCATAGGCTACATATTCACTACATACCTAAAATAGAAATTGCTAGACAGATCAACATTCTGAAAGGCTTTCAGGTATCTAGAATTGAAAACACACTAAAATTTGTAGCATATATATATGCAAACTATTCGATTCCCGGGTGGAAGAAGCGTTTTTGTAGCAGTAATCTTAAACACATGATTATAAGTTTATCCAAGTAAATTATGGATTTATGGTATAAAAAATATACCATAATAACTCCTTTTTGGGGGGATGCAAAATTAAATTGTTGAGTTCAATATTTTTAAATTGATGCATTACAGCATATTACAGCATATTAATTAAGGAGGCAATTTCCTTTTTCAGACACGCTGCATTATCAAAAAATGTTAATACATGACCAGGTACGACCATTATGTGGTCTTCCCTGAGGTAGCTTTGGCATCATGACCCGGGCATGATGGCAAACTAGCTAGTTTCAACAGGGGCAACAATTCCGTTCAGAAACCTTCAGTCCATTTTATGAACATTTTCAGTTTGTTCATTTGCATTTTTCATGTATTGTTTATGTTTTCACCAGTTTTTATTATTATATTATATTACAATTTCTTTTTGATACATATGTGGAAGCAACAGATGTTGCTAGCACAATTCTACAATTCACAGAAAAGAAAAATTTTAAGCTTACTTGGATTCCCCATCATGGTGATATTTTGCTCGCACAGTTGCATTCGGTATTGGAAACATGCAAGTATCTGTAATTTTATAAATAGTATTTCCACCAATTTGAGCCACCCTAAATATAAAATGATCTAGACATTAACTGTGACATTGCAGATGATGTTTTGGCTATGGAATCAATACTATTTTTTTAATCAATATTAGAAAATAACAGTATAAATGATCTCTTCTCAAAACATGTACATTTTATATATTACCTATAATTATTTAAAACTTACTTTTCCCTTTTGGATATCAGAATGATATAATATCCTTCAAGAAATCTAATAAACCCTATAAAAATGGTAAAAATACAACATTATAAGCTGTACAAGAGGCTATAATTAACATTGTTAGGCTGCCTAACCTCCAAGGCTTTGGTTGAAATTAAGCATAACTTTTTATTATTGAAGTTCATGCATCCTTAGCTTCAAGCAATAGTAACTTGCAGCTCATAAGATATCACTTGCAGGTAGGTATATTAGTATATATGCATTTCTGTCCATTGTAATATGTATGATGTAAAAGTCTCCATAGTTTTGTGACACATACTATTATCCCAGAATATTAAAATCACTTAATAGTTGGATTCACAATTCCTAACCTACAATTCCAAAAGCAGAGACAGTGCGATGTAGACCAGTGGAATCTTTATCGTAAGCCTTTGGATTCTTTGGAATGTTACCATCATTAATCATTGCTAGTAACTGTTTAATCTCATCATTATCATATTCAACCTATATATAAGTATTACAAAACATAACATTGTACCAAAATTAACATCTTGAAACTCAAAGTAGAGATTGAAACAAAACCAGATAGATTTTGTAGCAATTTATTTTAAATTCATCACTAAACTGACTTGTCTTGTTTTTGGTTATATTTGGCACCCCCACCAGGAGGCTGGGGAAGTCCCCCTCAAACTTCTAGGGTTGGCGCTGCCCCGGGCTTATGCAGTATCTATCTGTACAGAATCAGGCCAAAATATCAAGAGTTCAGTGGCATCCCCAGCTTGATAAGTGGGGGACTTATTCATATATTCATGTTTTACATTATTCATTTCTTTTTAAATTGATTGTTTTAACAGTCTGTGAACATATATGAATATGTCCATCCCACTTATTGATGCTGGGGACGCAACTGCAAGAATTGTCTTTCTATTCTAGAGTTACTCCAAGAGTAAATATCAGCAACATAATTATTACCTGTATGTAAGACAAATGTACCATATGCCTATTAAAGTAGGCCAAACTTTATAAAGTATTAAGTATGGCTTTTATTCGGGATTTTGCAATTCGCCTATTTTATAGTTTGGACAAATAATAAAGGATATTAAATTAATCTTCCACAATAAGAACTTCAATCTGTAAGAGTTGCGATACTAACCTGACAAGTAACAACCTGTATTAAACCACTACTCACCTTATCGTCAATTATTGAAAGATATGGCACAGTTCTGTCAATTTTCAGTACACGAAATTTTGTTTGCGAAACATTTGAGCCCACGAGGTAATAGCGCTAAACAACAAACAAAACATTATCGCACTAGGCTTACAAATCGATGTTCAATAGTCAACACTAACCGCTTTTGTTTCGTACAGGACGATTTTCTGAATAGAACAAATGGGAATAATTTCTGCAGCCATCTTCACTTTGTGTTACGTCACTGTCACTGAGTTTAACCCAGTGGTTTAACCCGGCCACTGAGCTTATAAAATAGGGCTTTCCGCTTTACCACTTCCACTTACCAGTTGAGCGACAAAACATGACAAATATATGTTTTCTAAATCGTGAAAATTTCAGAAAAATCAGTAAAGGCGTTCTTTGGTTAGTGGCAAAACCATAATCCGGTATATTCCACCTTCACTAATTATTTTATTACTGCAAAGTCGAGTATACCATATACACTGGTATATTCGATCTTAACTATTTTTTACTACCAACGTCGAGTATACCAAATGGCCACAGATATATAGCTCATCTGTGACTTTACATAAATTTATCACAAGGCATGTCACCATAGCTGACGCTGACTTTGTGTGACCACTGCCGTGCTGGTATGTCCAAGTTATGCCGGAAGGTGCACATACTGTTATTAGTACTAATGGCAATTCTCGTGAAATTAAATTTGATTTTCAAGAGTAATAACAAAAATGTTATTTGATTTTAATCTTTTTTTCAAGGTCATAATAAATTGCCAGTTGCGAGACCATTGTAGTGATCGACCCCTAGACTATTCGCACTTGGGATGATGGAAGGTTTTTTTTTCTTTTACTTAAATCTTTCTTTCAACGTCACAGGATTCCCAGGATTCATCATCGGCTTAAAACGTATGAGAGAGCGTTCAGTTGAATAGATGATGAAAGCTTGGTCAGTTTTGGATGCCCTGTTGTACTTCCGGGGGTGAAATATTGTAGCTGAGAATATTTCGTTTCATCATTTCCCTGACAACATCTTCACAGACTTCATCTTCACTCTTTGATGCATCTATAACAATACAGCTAGGATTGGCCATGTTTTTGTATGCTTTCATTAACCTACAAAAATACAATATGTTTTTCAGATTATTGCATCTTCGAATTCCGGCATCAGTATCCGTAGCGTAGCCAACCTGACGATTTGTCCCGCTATGCCATATTGTGGTGTGTTCACTGATTGTGAAAACAATAAATTTCATGCTGGCTACGCCAATTTTTAGTTTGCTTTAAAAAACTTTATTTAGCTGTGGATGGCACTTTTTGTTGTATTCAATCCAACGTTATGTTGAGGCAAGCCATTTCCACTAATTAAAACTCTGAGAGAGAATCTATATTGCGTACGAATTTATCCAGTTTCACCTTTCTCGTATCTATACATATATACCCATGCATTATTTCTAACAATATTCTATATTAAATTATTTCTTTTAATGATAAAATTTGCATGCCTTCTTTGCAATAACGGACAACTTCTCAGTTGGGATTCCTCCTCCGTTTCATTTCCTCCTCGTCCTGTCAGCCGCTTCTGACGCTCGTCTTCACTCAGTTCTAAGAAAAAGACGGCTGTGGGTTTTAGAAGATTGCTAGGCCACTGGTACACGGAATTTCCAGCAGGTGGAATTGCTTTTTCGTCACCACATTTTGCTTCTATTGCGATAGCATAAGCCGCTGTACTGTGCCAAAATCTAGTAAATGGACGGAGAATCAGTTTGCTAACGAAATGCATTGACGATTTGATTGTAAAAAAAAACACGAGTTTCCTCTGTCACTTTTTTCTCCACATCATTATCCCCGCATCTATCGTTATAATGTAGAACAATGAACACGATTGCTTTTATTTTCTTACCTATCAAGAACAACTGGACTTTTCTTCAAAGAATCTTTAATCTTCTCAGCCACCAGGTAATTCCCCAGAGAGAAGAAAGCTCTGCACAAAGGTTGACACTGTTTCGTCATGTTTTCTCTATACTGAGATATTGCCTCAGGGGGATTTTTAATTTCTGGAGCCTTAAGTCGTATGCTCAGGTTCCTTACCAAAGTAGTTTTACCTGTAAAAGATCACGACGAAAAACAATTAAGCATATATAGCATATTTCCACCTCTAAATAATAATATAGCAGCATTCGTAATGTAAAATACAATGATTTTTCTTATTTGGACCATTTCTACTTACCAACACCATCCAGCCCTTCAATAACAATGAATGGATGACGATAAGTGTTCGTCGAGTAATTTTCCGCAACGCGTAGCAATTCTTTCATTTCAGGTAACTTTGAACCAATTGAATTTAAATGGAGATTTGCTAACTTGAGAATTTCCCATGTCTCATTGAAGCTCTTGAATATCGAATTTTTAAAGTCGAATAAAGGATGGTGGCGGGAGTATTTCACAGGAAAAACCTCAAATACATCAGCTTCAAGGAGTTGAGAATCGTTGAGTTTCAATACGCGAAGCAAATGTTTCCGGTCGCCATCTGCGTCAACGGTTAAAACGAGCTTCATCATGGAGTATGGTATCTCAAGTGATTCGGCCTTCAACGTGGATAGTATTTCGGAGAACGTCGCTTCTTCAGAACCATTTTCATCATCACTGCTAAACGTTGCTACGAGACCAGGAAAGAAATTCTTTGCCTTTGATTCCTCGTTCTCATACAACAGAAAACTGCTTGAAATTATAATGTCCTCATTCCATCTTCCTTTAAGACATCTTTTCATTTTCTCATCCATGTCTCTGGATCTTATAATATCATCGTTTGGTGAAATCTCATAGCACAGATTATATGCAGGTCTTTTCCGTAATTCCACCGAGCCAGAAATGGTCTCGTCAATGGCAATGTAGTCAGATTTCTCGTTAATAGCAGCTTTTGTTGCATAGTACAAAGATCCTTCCTTTTTGTCGATTCCAAATATGCAATTTAGAGTAGACATCTCCCATGCATGAACAAAATTTCAACTAATGCTTCATATAGGCTATTACTCATATATAGATATATGGGAAAGCTTTAATATATAATCATGTAAACATAGATGTTTACGCGTCGATGAACGCGCATCAATAACAGCACAATAAATAATCCATATGGCGAAAAACGAAAAAACCATCATCATGAGGTTCTGCATATGTTATAATAACATAATTGTTTTCTATCACGGCTTTGATTTTAAACATCGTCATCGAGCTGTTTTGATAAATAAAAGGAGTTTTCAACAAGTTCTATGAACCTTATTGCACGCTTGAATATATTTCCTATTTTTAATATTAGACGGTTACCGCGTATGACAGGTGTTTAAACGGGTATCTCGAGACGCTCGAAAGCTTACTCCAATGAGCGTCAGGTTTTAATTCTTATACTATACCCATGTTCCAGAAGCCTTGGATGTAAAAAATTTAAATAAATAGCATTTGAAGCATTTATAGCGAGACTGCTTCCAGTGTTTGCCCAAAACATAAATGTCACCTCGGGCTGCTTTCCACTGTCGCGTTTTTTGTACGTACACACACACACGTGACACGTAAAACTTTATAATATTTTAAATGATACTTATGAAATCGATGATTGAATATAGATGCATAGGGTTGCAATCTGTTGATGATTTGACGTGTTTTCTCTGGCATTAAATGAATTATACAACAACTCAGAAGGTTTTATAAGCTTTTACGTGCAGTGTGCGTACGTGCAAAAAACGCGACACTGGAAAACGCGAAAGTTTATTTTATTGGATTTATTTTCAATAACGTATTTTTCAGCGTATTTCGCTTTTAAGCAACTATCCCCTCCAATGTGACACTCGGACTCTATCGCCCGCCAGTGCACAAATGCACACGAGTTCTATATTGGATAAACAAATCACTCGTTTGAGCGATCCAGAAATCGATACGCGTGCATTGTGAAATACTATTACCTAAAGTCAGAATGTTATTCTTTGCTTGTGCAACTGTTTGCGTAACCCTAGCAGTGCTGCATGCCAACTGTTTGAACAAAATATTCCCGTGTGAGCAGTGGTGGAATTTGAGTAGGCAAATAATATGTGACCACTTCACCGATCGCGATCACAAGTTTAGAGCGTAACAAATAACCAAACTTGTAATCATATAGTTAATCATCGATATGACTTGGGGTGAAATGTCTGAAATACTCCGAATTGGAAAACCAGTAAACTGGATTCAGTGGAAATGCTGTGCGTGATTGTCAAATCTGGATTCTCGCCAACTGGGTGCGTTCTCAACTCACGGTCGGCCATGTTGGTGTTTTATCATATGACATAAAAAAGAATATTGTGTAAACATCAGGAGACGTGAGAAAGCAGCATTCTCTGATGTCAATGGGTGTGGGAGTGGCCCGATGGCCTGCTTTTAATTAGTTGGGAGTTTAGATGCTGATATAGTATGCAGCGGAGTTAGATAAAGCTATAACTGTGAACGATCGATCAGTAGAGAGCTGAGGTGATGTTCTGAATATTCTTTGTTTATTCATACATCCACCCATGCTGTTTCTCTCGCGCATCAATCGTGACTGTTTCCTGCTGTGCACTCCGTGCGAACACAGGTGAGACCTCGTGTTTCATTACTTTTCACACAATTTCCTCCTGGGAAAGAAGGGTGACGGAGCGAAAAATAGAGCAGAAGCAATATGAAGGTACGTCTTATTTATTGCCGCGAATTAATTCCCACAGGCAAGTTTGTAACGCATTTTCAACAGTTGTAAAATGTAAATCCATTTATTCACAAGAAAGCCAGGCGCGCAATTCATATATGGGAGTCCATAGACCATATTCGGTATGTATACGGGTCACCGTTTTTACACGCAGGCAGAAAGGGTCTCGTAGCAATGAAGATGGAAAAAAAACTAGGAAACGCAGAGAGAAAACTTTAGCGACACTCATTTGGATTATCCACTTGACAGTTGACGCGCAACACTACAACTTGAAATGTTGGCCCTTTTGGCGCTTTGTATCAAAACAAGAATGGTTGCGATAGCGTAGAAAGACCGGCAAATAGGTTTCAAAAGATCAGTATGTAGTGAGGAAAGCGTTGTGCTAAAATATATTTGAAAACCGAGATGCACGAGCATGACAAACATCGTCCCTACCAATAGTCATTTGTGTTTGATGATGAGAAACAATTAAATATTCATTATTCTCGTTTACCGTTCTCCGCTCGGACGGGCAGAAAGTGTGTCAGTTCGGACGCACGGGCAGAATGATTTGTCTGTAACTGCTCTATACCGGGCAACACAATTGAAAAAGAATAAAAGATCCTCAGGAATCGCCATTGAAAAGTTAGACAGCACCGTTGGTGACTTGGCACGCCGCCGAATTGTCAACAATACTTGGCTTCCGCTGTCACTTTCAAACGCACTATTTTTTAACTGTTTTGTGTTCTATAATATACCGCAAAGAACTGACTGTTTTCGCGTCTTTTGCGCGAACACTTTTTCGGGTTTTTTAACGAGATTGCGGATCTTATGCTAATCCGTTACATGATGTTGCATTGCGTGATCAACTGTGTATTTTCGAAGTTATAACATCAATTTTCAATTTTTGAAATAAAATAAAACCCGCTTATTACTTGTAGACATTTATGTTAGGCTAATAATTGTAACTAATATTAGAGTAATTAGAAACGGTTCCTTGAAAATCAGATATAACTGAAGGACTACCGTTTTCAAATAATTGTATAATAATAATAATAATAATAATAAATTTAATCAAGCAAGAGAATCAAGGTCTAACTTTAATATAGCTGCAGTTATTTTTCCTCTGCGACTGCGCTGTTTTTTGCCCATCACCTCGTCATTCAACTATCAATTGAATAAAAACCATGTTACTGGGGAATTCCATTTCACTTCTGTGGCATTTTTTTATTGTGTGTAGGGCATTTTTATTCTCGCAGCGAGTTTTATTCTAATGGATTGCAATGATGCTCAAAGTCCTGCGAAAAAGCCCACAGTAAGTCAATAACAAATTCCGTTATTATAGATAAAAAGGGGTCAAGGGGAATACCATGGTGAAAGACACCTGACACCTGCAAAATTGACTCTTGCCTCTTGGTTGTCTTGTCTCAACATTCACGAAATTCACTTAAATACCATATATGTAAGACCAGTCATTCAGTACATTGTAACAAAAATTTGAGGGATGATAGAATCTTTTCTGATATACTCTTACAGATGACAAACAAAACTAAACTCGCTTGGCAAGTTGAACTGGCCATAGCAAAATTTTCTTGGATTAAAAAAAATATATATTAGGCTAAATATATATTAGGCTAAATGGCTTAATTACAGATGTTATGCACTTTATAGCACGACCAATATCTGGCAAGATACGGCTACATGGCGAGCTATGATGGAACACCCCCACCGAATAAAAAGAAAACTGCGATCGAGGAATTTCAGACCTATGCCAAACTGCCTGTGACCGGTGTGATGGACGAAGCGACAATCGCAAAGCTCACTGGTCCGCGGTGTGGAGATCGCGACACAAAAAATACTCCTCCTCGTTTGAAGCGTTATGTAACGCAGGGTAGCAAATGGAAAAAACTGGTAATGTTGCTGTAGTCTAATCAGAGCGTATTAAGCTGGAGGGAAGTTAGAAATTGCTATCTGGTAGTCCATTTTTTAGAACGGGTACAAGAAGAAAAACGACAAAAATGCTTCCTGTTCCCTGCATGCTAAACGGCTATACCCTTGGCCTGGAAGTATGATGTATGAGCAAGGACGTAATAACTATACGTAATTAAAACCGATTTTCTTCTTTTGATAGATGTGAACTATAGTGTGACTATAGTTACGAATGCTCTGATGTATAAGAGCTCCTATTTGAACACCCGTAACTAATTCACTCGCTCACATCTAACTAAAGAAGAAAATCGCACATAAAAAAGTGAAATAAACGGGCCTTGTCATTTCATTTGAAGGATTTGACTTGGAGTGTGCATGGCTCTCCTCAGCCGCGCGCGAAGATTTCGGCGTCAACAGTGAGAGTGACCATGGAAAAGTCATTCAGGATGTGGAAGGATGCCAGTAAATTGTCATTTCGACGTTTGGCTGACAACGATAATAGCGCCGACATAATCGTCAAATTTGGAGTTGGTAACCATGGTGATTTTTATCCATTCGATGGCAGAAGCGGCACTTTGGCACATGCATTTTATCCTGGCAGTAATACTGGTAAATATAAATATGACTTGTAAAATACATTTTCAAATACCGAGAATGCGAGTTCAAATTCCGTTAGTGTACTCATGCGCTCACCTCACAGCCATTTTTATTGGTAGCGTCATCGACAAGAAAGTTCATAAGGAAATTCTTCGAGCTAGGCAGTGCATCCCTATAGAAAAGATCTCAGTCAATGACATTTGTAACTTAATTTTTGCCAGCAGAGGAATGGCCTGAAATTACGACACAATTACAGTCAGAATTTCCATGAAGTCGCTGATATCACAATGAAGATATTTCCTAATTCCTAGCAAACGCATGTCGTCATAACTAACAATCACATTTTGCTTCCCCCTCGCTCTTTAATATTGGTTTTAAGAAGTATTGTTCGACCATAACACATTCGTTAAATGTTGCCTTTTGAATCAGAAAGATTGAAAAGTTTTTTAATTGCTATGAGAAACAGATATTTCTTTACAAATTAATGAACTTTCAAGCCAAAATTGCATTCATCACTCATTCACAACTCACAACTACTTTTGAAATGACTAAAGTTAGTCCTATACTCATATGACATGGGTTGTCCGCCCTATTATTTCCTATATAGGAATATCTGGTGATATACATTTTGATGACGACGAAATCTGGACTATCAACGGCGAACAAGGAACTACGGACTATACATGGACCGCCTTACATGAAATTGGACATGCTTTGGGATTACGTCATTCTCGTGAGGAAAGTGCTATAATGTGGCCATGGTTCACAGGATATAAACCAAATACAAGATTAACACGGGATGATATTAATGGCATCCAGGCTATTTATGGTAAGCCAATACAGTTTTCATGTATAATTGTAATGCAACAGTTTCGAAGACAAAGAATCGTGTTGCAAGTTGCGTCTATAATACTCCCAGTTTGTAACTTGCAATCTTATAGTTGCATTGCAAGCTTCATGGAAGTTGAGCGGATTTCCTGCAGTGCTTCGCACGCGAGACACTTCGCAGCATCAACACAACAAACTGCTTTCACATGCAATCATCGATTTGTTAACAAATGCATGCAAGCTATAGTATACAGCGTAACACATGGATTGATGGATTTCATACTTGATCGATGATTTGATGGATTCACTTAAAATGACGAGTATTGTGAAGCATATACTTACAATGATCATGGCTTATTTCGGTCATGCTGCTCGTTCAATATTTAATATTATACAAGCCACTTATACATGACACATCAATCGACAATAACTGCATGATTAGATGATGGTAGCAGAGATATGCAAGGCCGGAAACGATGCTCTTTCACCTCTTCCATGAGACGTTTACTCGATGCATTACAGGATCGCTGATGAATATCAAATGATCCTGTTTCAGTCGTTTATTTCTTAAAGCATCGCAATTATTAAAGATATTTCCACTGGAAAGCTTCAAGCGTGCACCTTTGAAATCAAGCTTTTTTTTTAATGAATGTCTCGTTTTTACTCAATATTACAAACCCAAATTTGTAAGTGATTTGTTCAGCATTATATACATACATTCAAATGTCAATAAAACCACCTTCATTTCAAAATTTTTAAAACTCTTTTGTCGGCTTCTGATTGAATATAGAAATTCACGTCACGTGGGCAATCGGCGTCGTATGTGAACCATAACAGTCAATACACTCCTTAACTGCCTACGTTACGTTATCATCATTGATTCGTTAACTTCCCTTAATTTGTGACTTGTGAGTAACGTATTTCTTTCATTTTGTTTCATTCCAGGTAGACCTACTACTGGAACCGTCACGACACGACCCCCGAAATCGGAAGTTTGCGATTTCCGGAAATTTGACGCCATTTTCTACGAAAGTCGTACACAAAACACCTATTTCCTCAAAGGAGAATACGTATGGACCGTCGATAAAAGCAAGAAAATCGCAAGTAAACAATTGATCAGTACGAAATGGCCGGGATTAGAGTCAAATTTGGACTCCGCTTATGAGAGAGTTTCAGATGGAGATACTATCTTCTTTAAAGGAAACAAGTAGGTGTTTAGACCATACTGGTAAACTTGTTAGTATCATGTATGTATTGCGATGACATATTGCGACGCATGTCCCTTCGTCGGAACTCATCACTTTCTCAACACATGCAAAGTATAAAGAAAGTAATATAAAGAAAAGTATATAAAGAAAGTTTGAGGAGTTTCTTTCCACAATTGTGAATATACATGTAGTGTTTTTCGTGAAAACCTTTTTTTAATATTTTCCTTGAAGACTTCTTAATTGCTATTGATTCTAACTATGTTTCAACAGAACGCGGCCATTCACAGTTGAACTAAAATAAACTGCCCATAGCTAGCTATATATAGTTTATTTGAATTGTATTTATATATCACGAGCAATGAATGGCGCACTCGTTGCCTTCGCATTCGGTTTTTTTGTCAGAGAGAATACTTTTCAACAGATAATATTTCATGTTTTCGACCAACTGTGATTTTTGTAAGAAAGCATTTTGATTTCCTGTCCTCTCTTTCCTGTCGATATGTTTTCAGAACATTTTTTCGCTGCGTTGCAATTTACCCTGAATTCTGAGCGCATTGAAAAAAACAAGCGACATATGCGCCCATAAACACACAACAACGTTGTCAGCGGATTTCGCTCCAAACAGTCAGTTTGCAGAGTTAATACCATACTCCATATTGCTTTTACGTTTCTTGCTTTCGTTAGAAGCTCATTTATTAATTATGTTCATACTTCATGCGCATATAACAAAATGTATTATGTTGCGCCAATGCTATTACTTTAGTATAAACTCACTATCATTTTGAGAGTTGGAATGCCTATTTTATACGTAAAATATCTCATGTCGCTTTTCTTTTCGCCACTATACTTATGTTTTCCGACACGATATTTCGTAATTGTATATCGTAATCCGTATATGTACGTCAGTAATCCTTAAAATGTAATTTTAGAGTTTGCCCTTCAGGCTTTTAAGAGCGCGTAGCTTCAACAATCTAGGATGGTATATTACTCATTCACATTCGTTTCTATATAACCTGTAAGTTCGGCCGCATTCAAAATCATGCCGTTCCAAAATGGCGGATTATTATTTTTCTGTCAGATTTTGGCGGTACCGTAATACGAGGAGAGTTGAGGGACCAAGCGTGTTATCGAGGTACATAAAAAATCACCGCAAAGTACAACTACGCAAAATTGATGCAGTTATGATATGGAAAGGCTCAAATAATCCTCTGGTGTATTTCTTCACTGGCAATTCCTTCTGGAGATATGGCGAGGCAAATAGAAAGATCCTCAAATCGAGCCCACGATACCCGAAGGGGGCCAGCAAATTTTGGCATAACATTCCTTTTCCCGTTGACGGTATCTTTACATGGAGAAAAGACGTCACATATTTCTTCAAGAACGGAAGATATCACAAATACCGTGCATATTCTCTGGGCAGATACAGGGGATATCCCGTGAAGAAACATTTTATCAGAAGCTGCCGAGGATAAGAGCATTTTATATATACTTAAAAATGTTATTAAGAATTACGACGTGCAATTTCATGGCAATAAATGCCAGCCAAATTATATATAGTCATAGTGTATGGGAAACGATATATGACAGTTTGTTTACACTGCAACGGCTTATAAAACCACGGCAGTATAATAGTTATTAGACTTGGTCACCTTTATCAACGTCAATAAATGAATTTGGTGTGTAAATTTAAGTTAGCGTAATTATGTCCTAAACTCTTGTTTTGCATGAAATCATGCAGGTAACATTCCGACGCAGTATAGTCCGTTTTGACTATAGTTTAGACATAGAGTATACTACTATAGCCATAGATATATCAATTTAAATTTCAAATAGCTAAGGCAAGCGCTTAAAACTGGGAGAGTTTTGAAGATTTACATTATACGTCACCCGTTAAGGGTGATTTGAATAAGGTTGTTAATCAGATTGCTTTCACTGCCCCGGAAAATTACATTTACGATTTTATGCTGCAAATGCACATAAAACGGGTTTCGAGTCGATTCGATATTTTCCAAACCTAAGAATACAGCAAAATTATAATTAACGTTATAACCTAACCTGCGAATAGGGCTGTTACTGATAGCGTGGCGTTAAGGGCGTCACAGTGAGGAAACGTGCTTAGTGTTTTTTCTTATCCTTCATTTAAAAAGATGATGCAACGAATAAACAACCACTATAGCTTTTCCCCTTTGCCTCGCAATGAGAATCCATTGAGGTAGACTGGAAGGCACGCGTGTCTGTAGAAATTTTGGTATTTTTTTCTTAGATTTTGGCGGTACCGGGAGAACATAAAACTTGACGGTCCAAGCGAACTATCCAGGTACATCACCAACCATCGTAGTTCGTCGCTACAATACGTCGGAGCTGTGATGGTTTGGAAATCTACGGGACAGACTTATATGTTCACAGATAACATATATTGGCGCTACAACGAGGACAAAATGGCGGTGGAAAGTTCAGGATATCCGCGTTATTCGACCAGTATTTGGCAAGGCGTTCCGTTTCCTGTAGACGATGTGATTACGTGGAGGTACGGCAAAACATTCTTCTTCGTCGATGGAAAGACATTTAGATATCTTTACAATAAAAATACAAAATACTTTGAGGGAAAACTACGAAGAGATCATTTTATTCGTGATTGTCGTGAGTGAGAGTTCGTGAGTGATTGCCGGATTGAGTGATTCGAGTTAAAACGCACAAATCGTTAGAGTATTCTTTTCTGATTCGCATGCGCATTGCACTGACTGGAATAAAAGTTGGTGGCAGATTATTTAATCGTTAAATATAAAAACAGGCACGCAAAGCATACATAAGTTCCGTTTACACTACTGTCAATTTATAAAATGGGTACCCGAACCAATTTAATCAGCGCTCGGCCTTTGCAATGGTAGGATAAACACTAATGAACTGGGCACGGGTGCCGTGCAGCCTCGTTCCCAGGCGCTTTAATAGCAAAATATATTAAGTTGCATTCAGTTATTGTATAGTGGTCAGTTAAATAAAGGCGAGCGCGCGGGGGTGCTTGGGACGTTATATATTTTACTATTAAAGCGCCTGGGTACGAGGTTGGGTGCCGTGCCAATAAATTGACTCTAGTGTTAAAAGGGGCATCGTTTAGTTATAAAAATCACATTTAATCATCACATTTGAAACATTACACTCTAGCAATTATCTATACCTGTGTATTATATAAATAAAATCAAGTCTCACTATCTCCGCACTCAACTGTTGTCATTGTAGTAATATTTTAAAATCAATAGAGTTTCCCATTAAGGATGTCACTCAACAGCTATAACCGACAGTAAGTTAATTACAAATTATGGCCAGTAGATAGGAGGCATGTATGTCTTTAAATCTATCATTTGGACTATGCACTTTTTTATGTGTACTTTGAGATTGAAATTCTCAGTTTTCTGACTCATTTTCAGTTCTTAAACGTAACTTGGTAACCAGGCATCGTACCCGACACTAATATATGAAATTGACTTCAATATTTGAATATTTGAACTTGAATATTATTTAGTCAATATTTACCACTTTTTTAACTCGATATCTAGCAAAAATTTAAGCAAAACAAAATTGCCTAGTTAAAAACTTAGTGCGCTTGTTTAATTTTTGAATATAGCTGTTTTTCTGTTTGCTTTTTTTTGTCACGGTTACTTGGTTTGAGCTACATAGCCTATACGTGGCTTACGCTCTATATTATAGACGTCGCTGGAAGTCATCCAAAAAAATGCTGTAAAAATTGCGAAATATATAGCAGACAAAATGTCGAGTAGAGCCGCCGCTGTCTAAATATGAACACTTCGGAAACAACGACATGTACACCGGTGTCGAGAGCAACCCACGCATTTCTGCAGGTGTCGCATGTCAGGTTGACTCAGCTCGTTTAATGCTCTAATGTGTTATGTTTTCTTTCATTTCGGAAAAGATTATAACTATATAATTTCTTATGCAGTTATGCCTTTAAATGCCTCCAAGGGCAATTTATATAGGTATATATAAAGGATCTAAAATGTAACAATATTTTATTAAAAAAACCCGGAAAAGCAGAAAGCCTTCAGTCACATCCCGGCTTCTGTTCATGAAACTAATGCATTTATATATATGTTGTTTGAACGTGACCTTTTCACTGTTAGCAATGGTTCGGGTTAACTAATTGAAAGGTAAATTGTTAAATTAATTCATAACACATTTTCCAAAAAAATTGTTTATAAATTCTTGTCTCTATTGCCCACGCGCGTTCAATGGAAATATATACTTTCAGCGTTTGTAAAAACCAATACGCCGAGCCTTATTCGTTCTAAAATGACTATCTGAATAATCTTTGTTACCAACTGATCACATATAACAAGGCCATTTTGGCAAAATTTCCTCATATTCTCATGCAGCTGAGGTAATCATATAATTGTATGACATTGACGACTTTGACACATTGAAGCATGTAAGTGCCTGTTTTCATGCAGTTTTCCCAAATTTGCATGCAATAACTACTAATGTTTAATATGTTTACAATCTTGTGAAGGCCGTATGCATATGCAAATGAAAAATGTCAAATGTCACCTTTGTTTTAATGTATTGTGAAGCGGTTGATTAGAATTATAGAACACTTTCATCGCTTTCGGGCTCTCGCAAATTTGGAGTTTTTGTGTATACTTGTTGAAAGACCGGCTCGAGGCTGGATGGAAAAAGTTTGGTTAGGCAAACGATCTTACAACAACTAAGGGTAGTTAAAAGTAAATTACGCAAAGAATGGAGAATAATTTGACAATTCGTTCCCCCGAATGGCTTCCACACTGCGTTGCAATCAGTGAAAAAACCGTTGCAGTAAACACTTTTTGCGTGGTTCTCAATATCGTCGTTTCTCTCTTGGGAACCTTCGCAAACGGTCTCGTGATCACGGCATATTATCGTAACCCTCGTCTACGAACAATTCACAACAAGATGTTTCTACTTCTTGCCTTAACTGACATTGGCGTGACGGCTTTTATTCAACCAGCAACCGTGACAGCTGCGCTGAGGAATCAATTCGGAAAATGTGATTATGTACTGTGGAAGATCGTCGAGCAAGCAACCAGGTTGTTCGTTTATCTTTCTTTGATCACAATTTCTATTCTAAGTTTGCAGAGTTTTATCACCCTGGCCTATCCGTATCGATATCAAAATATCCTTACTGAGTGTCGTCTGAACATCGTTGTGATCGTCTCGTGGCTTTCCGTAACAATAGCAATTATAATCAACGGTGTCTTGACGGAAGGTTTTGAAGCTGATATTTATCTCGCACTTTGCATCACATGCACCACATTTGTCACCGTGGTTTTCTTCTGGTGTTGGACATACAAACTCATCGCTCGGCATCAAAGCTCTATTCAAAACATGCAAGTACCTCCGTCGCCGGAAATCGTTTCGAGAAACAAGATATTGAGGTCGACAGTCACCGCTCTAGCTGTTACTTTGAGTCTTTTGGGTTGCTATTTATTTCATATCTGCTTTAATATTTCATTTTTCATTGTTGATACAGTCATGATAAATGACGAAACTTATTTCATAATGTTGTCACTTTCAACCACTTTAATTTATATCAACTCTCTTCTCAACCCTTGTCTTGTATTCTGGCGTAGCGCCAAATTTCGAGAAACAGCAAAAGATATTCTCAATCGAAGAAGATCGACACTGCAACAAGAGATTTCATTAGACTTCCCAGGGACGAGGCATTAATATTTGAACTCCATGTAAAGAGGCTAGCAGAATAACTTCACAAAGAACAGTACCCTTTTTCACACTGGTAAACTTGTTCTATGCGTGTACTTGTTCTATGCGACAACTAAAAGTTATCGACAACTAAATAACGTAGTCTTTCGCGAAAGTTGTCGGCAACTAAACTCTAATTATTAGTTGTCAACAACTATAAGCACTTCCTGTTCGAAAAGGGAAACTGTGTAGTTGTCGACGGCCTCATTTTTTGGCGTCTTTATAGTGTGTAAAAACTTCTTCTTTAAGTCTGATAAAACTTCTTTTATCGGACTTATTTAGTTGTCGACCACAAATAGTTGTCGACAATAAATCCCTAGTCTGTGGAGGCCCTAAGTTGTTTCCTCAGCTAGCTCTGTCCCTTGAAATTTTCATTTGGCAGATCATATTAAAGCATGATTGCTATCATACTTTTGAGGTAAAACTCGCTTTAATAGAACTTCGAACAAATTTATGAAACCCATATTCTTAGTACAAGTGTGCAGCAGACTTTTTTGGATATCTCGTTGTTAAAGCTATGCATGCGCTCGCTTGCATGCAGCCAAGCAATTTTAATATAGACAACCCTAAATTTAACTTTCAGGTTTCATTGCTAGAACAGTAGAATGAACAAAAGTAGGTTAGTTTTAAAAAATGATACTGCAATGTTACGAATATTATTTATCGCAGTAATTATAGCTGTGCTCGGGATTGACGAAATTGATGAATAAAAGATATCAATACATATATACAATACATACAATATAAGTAATATTAATATGAATTTATATGATATCACTGTAAAATACATGATGAAGGCAGTATATTTATATTTATCATTCATACCGCTTTGCCTTTAGTACAAATGGTAATAAGTAATTCTCTTAATCTTCTGAACTTCGAAATATATGCATTGCATTTGAAATTATTTAGAACTATTTGTTCAGCATAAAGAATTAACTGAAGACCGTGCACTTTTGGTTTCATAAATGATAAATTTCTGATATGCAGCGCAATTGGCTGCAGTAACCTTTGGGCACTACAAATAATTAATATATGAAACAAATTTATCTGTGCATGCATCTGTTAAGGAGTCTAACGTATATGAAATAGAAAATTGTGGAAAAAATGGTCGATAAGATTTATTACAGTTTAGATAGAGCAAGACCTCTGTAACGAGATCACTCCACCCGAAACGGAAAAAAACATTCAGCAGAATTTCAAAAACAGAAAGACAACAGTACCTTATTATATAAGATACAGTAGTGAGTTTAAGATTCACCAAATCTACGACGCGGACGTGAAATAAAACTGCTCTAATTTCCACAGTTTCCGATGCAGGAATGAAAATTACATGCAGACTCTTTTTGATAAACGAAGTCAAAGCAGTATGGAAAACAAATTCAATACTGGTTTTCTAACACTAGTAGCAGTTTTCATGTCACGTTCGCGTCGTAGATTTGGTGCATCTTAGGAGCCGATTACGTGAGGCGAGTTGCCCCGGCTAGCCTAGGTGGGACATTTTCGCCGATACTGCGGCCTTATAACATTTCCTAGTAAAGTCCCCATTGCGATCAAAAGGAATACCGGTCAACTCACTTGGCCGAGACATCGGCTGTTGACAGCCGGGACAACTCGGCTAGGTTGGATGAAATTTACATCATTTGTCCATGTAATCGCAATTTGCTGAGTTGTTAAATTCTGCAGAAACGCATGCGCATTTGTCTACAATGATGTGCATCAGAAAACTTCGAAACTGTAGAAGCAAGAAAATAGACTGTTGTTGTAAAACTCTCATTGTTTTTGAAAGTCTTAACCCATAGCATTTACCCGCCAAAATTTCCCGCGTAAATTTCAAAGTTGTCCCATCGCACGGAAAAAAGTAACTAAAAAAACTCAAAAATCTAAACAACGCGGACGTGACATGAAATTAGCCGATACTCGATAGTGTTAGCAACCCAGTTTTAATTAGTTTTACATACAGCTCTGACCTGGTTTACCAAAAGGAGTCCATAATTTTATCCCACAGTTTATTCCAGTTGTGAAACAATTAATGAAGACAGCATATACGTCGTAGATTTGACCATTATTGCAACTGGTTGCAAAGCTACATGAGAAACGTACTGAAGTCGTGAAATTTTCTTGCTTGCGCTTGGCCTTATTGCTTGCATGGCTGAGGTCCTATCTTCACAAAGAAAAAGTATTCAGGTAAAATTATATATTATATGTAATCTCAATACTACAAGCACGATAATAATTTATATACAAATTTTTGAATAAAAAATGTATGTACAGTAGTCAGTAGTCAATTTATGCTGAAGACAGTCGTAAAGGTAGCCCGCCCATCAAGAGATTTATTGGACCAACAGGTATTTCAATATCTGAGTCGGAACTACTTTCACTTTCTTCACTTGATTCATCCTCGTTTTCCTCCTCATCTCCATCTTCGTCATCGTCTTCTCCATCTTCGTCATCCTCACTATCATCACTAGATTCGCCACTATCCTCGTCATCATCAGCTTCAGAATCACTTGATTCACTCCCATCATCTTCACTTTCATCACTCGAGGATTGCTCTGTAAAGAGTACATATCGTACAGGAACTTACAAAAACAGCACGCAAGTAAAATGAAAAATAACAATTTGGATTAGAAAATGCGCATAATCTAAAACCACACTAAAATAGTGTGAAAGCAGTAATAAATAATGGTAATAAAAAGACCTTGCATACCTTGCTTTAATTTTTCTGTAATTAAACTTTGATAATCAATCAATGTCTTATTTTCAGGATCAATTGCAAGCACTGAAATTAAGAGAAATGTCGAGGTTTTAGGAAATTGCATGCATGACACTCAGAAACTGTGTATGCAAGTATATATGTACTATATATAGTATGTGGATCAAATTGTTATGTGTTTGCATGAACTTGTATGTACTGTTAGAGAAAATAAGTTCTTTTTTGGGTTCACCAAAGGCTTATGGGTACTCTATTTTATACAAATAGCACAGAATGACAAACCATATACAGGCCATTGAAAAAATCCCCCTTAGATAGATTTTTTGTCTTTGGTATAGTAATTTAGGGTACTATGTGTATTCAGCTACAGAATATATCAAAAAAAATTTCAAACAGTATATATACTCCGTAATTCTGACAGTATCTGAAAAGTGCATGGATTGCTGTTGAGGTTCTTACTTTCATTACAACGATGTAGAGCTTTTTCATAGTTTTTTGACATCACGCAACTGAGGAACTTTAAAAAAACAGACAGCAATACTATCAGGACATTGTAAATAAATAGAAATTATTTACTGAGTTTATATTAAAATCCATAATTTGAATATCAGGTAAGAATAAAGAGTAAAACCTAACATCTTCTGTATGCACAAGAAATATATTTCATTCTATAATAATCCACTCTTTTGAACTAATTGAATTTTTAAAAAACCAAAATTATATGGCACAATACCTTTGCTTTTGACTCAAAGGTGAGCTTCTCGTTAATATTCAATTCATCCAGAGAAATCTTGATATTATCCACAGATTCAGTAGTTCCATTTAACATTTGCTGTGAAACATTTTCATCTGAGTTTCTTAGCGAAGGGTGATGCATCTTGAGCTCTTTTTGTATAGATTCATCCGTTTTGCTTTTGTTTGGAATGCCAGAAGGATGACGGTTCCTTTCTCCAATAAGAAAAAAATTTCTCAAATCCTCAATACTTTAAATATATCACATATTCATAAATATTTTGCAGAGTTTTAGAATTATACATATTGGTAACAGAAAAAATTACATACTCAAATTAATTATATTAAAAATAACATCTCAAAATTATTTAAGAAATAAACATTCACAAATTATATTATTCATAAAAAAAATTGTAATCACCATCATGGCGACAAAGTCTTTCACCGGCACTACTGCTTCTGGCAACAGAATGAAGTTTTGTTTGAACTCTATCAGCACTGCCAGTTCTTTTTTTTGACTGAGCTGCGACTGTCACATCTGAGTTAAATTGGATGTCTGCATTATCTAAAGTGAGTACCAGTAATTATAACCAAGGCTTAAACACTTTCACTGTGTCAAGTGCAAATCACAAGCCACAACAATGCCTTTACTAACCTGGCGGTAAAACTAGGAGTCCATTTGAGACAGGCTTGAAGATAGAAAGAAACAGTATAAAGTTCTGCATACATAGTTCCATATTTTAGCCTGGTTAACTGTGAAGCTCTTACTATAAGCATATTTTAATATCTTCACTTTGTAAAAAGTTGTATATTTTAATTGTGTAAGATGATTTTTGCCACAAAATTATTTATACATCCATACCCCTCTAATCACACTTCTGCATGGTGGAGTTATTGGTCTACAAAAATGCAATGAAATTTTATTGCTTATATCTGACTTTAATAGTACCTACTTTAATACTTACCTGGCAAGCACAGCATGGCTGTGGTATATTTGAGGAGATATGGAGAAAAACTTGGCCACCTTTTTAGACTTGAGTATGCATGGTATCATTTAATTTCCATGGTATGAATTTGTTACTATACCATGCCTGCCATTGGCTGAAGATTTGTCATGTTTTTATACTCAATAATAACCAGTTGTTGAAATCAATCCCAAGTGGTTTACTAGAGGGAGTTTCAGGTGGGGAGGGGTCTCAGGTAGGGGGAGGGGTGCGCTGAAGTAGTTAATATATCTATGGATGGCTAGTATAATAAATCATTATCCTGTTTATATACCAATATAATTTGCAGATTTTTTCTGACCTTGTTTCAAGTACATTTCCTTCATGTGTCAACGAAGCTCCATACCAGGTCTTTGCTGCCATTGATGCAATAATATTCAATGCAACCAATATAATGCAAGCTTACTGAATCTTGTGGTAACCAAGTGAAAATATTGCATCCAGATTATCGGTTAGCAACAACATAATCCACACGTGTTTTATATATATGGACACTTCTTATAACGTTTGGAAATTCAGTTTATTTCGTGAGAAAAAAAGAGCAAATCATCTTCTTGTTCAGAAGCGTACAGTATTAAATGAAAATATATAATTTGAAGTCAATCTTCGACACTATTTTAACATACCACCAAAAATATACACCGTATACATATCCCACAACGCATTTGAGGAGAGCATTGGAGGAAATTTATGGAAGTTCATGGTGATAAAGAATGGCACAACCACAATGAAAAAGAATAAATATTTTTCAAATTTCAATTTTTGTTGTTGAGAAACAACACAAAAATATTTCAAAATGCATCGTCGTTCGCTATTGTGGAAGGATGTAATTTATCGATGAATGAATCTATATAAATTCGTGTATTCCGTATTTTTAAATTCTCTTGGAGTATGGGGGAATTTTATTGATGAATCCCCTAGTGGAAACATCGCAGAGGAATTCAAAGGAATATAATTTTTTTTGTGTAAATTAATTCAAATTAGTTAAGTTGTTCACGTAAAACGACCTGGAAATTATGAGTTAACGAAAGAAATTTGAAGAAATTAGTGGTCATTGTGGTATATCGATGAAGTATCAGTAAAAGTGACGTCAAAAATGATAAAAAACAGCAGCTAAATCAAGACTGTTGGACGATAATTAATGAAGCATGTGACAAAATCTTGTATTAACAAAGTTCTTTGAAATTTCTTCTGTGTCTGTGGGAACAATTTGAATCCAATGGCGACGTCCCAACTATGTTCTTGTTTTGGCCAGCTTCGGCCAAAATATAAACGAAAGGTGGACCAAATTTTTCCAAGGGACGCTAGAGATGGATTAGTGAAATCAAACATGGATAAATTAATATTTTATGCCCTTTCTTCCCCAGAGAAGTTGGATCGAATAGGGGCGTATTTAAATAGGAAGCTGGAAAGTCATATCTACTGGAGACGGTATGGGTTTGTTCTAATCACAATGGAAGCTATGGAGCAACTATTGTCTGCATGTCATGCACCTGATATTAACTTATTTGTAGCTAGCTTTCTTAAGATGGTGCAAAAATTGTTGGAAAGTTCTGAGACAGATCTTCAAATCAGGGGGACTGAGTCATTTGTTATTTTTGCCAACATTGAAGAAGACACACCATCATATCATCGAGAGTATGATTTCTTTGTATCAAAGTTCAGTGAGATGTGCTATCATGACTGTGGAACCTTGGAAGAGGATAAGAAGATAAAGATTGCAGGCTTGAGTGGACTTCAAGGCATCTTCCGTAAGACTGTATCTGATGATCTTCAAGTTAATATTTGGGACCAGGAATTCATGGGGAAGATCATTCCATCATTGTTGCATGTCCTGGAACATGGTCAATCCAATCAGGAAGCCCCAATAAATTCAGAAAATGAGCCCTGCAGTTTTGCAGAAGCCATCTTGCACGAGATAGTGAGTCAAGCCAGCTTTGGCAATGTTCGTGCAGGAATTGAGCCTGTGCTCCTCCACCTAGATTCTGCAAAATTATGGTTTCCAAGCGAGTTTGCTATTCATTGCTTCAAAATAATTCTATATTCAGTGCAGAATCAATATTCATATCTGGTTATTCAAATGCTTCTTAACCATTTGAACAAACATGTAAACAGCTCGCTTGAAATGAAAACAAATGTTGTTGAAGTGATTTCAACATCTGTGGCTATCGCAAGTGCCGAGTCAATAGGAGCATCAGTCCTAGAAGTCTTCAACACACTTCTGCATCATTTACGGCTATCGGTCGATGCTCGAGGTGAGAATAGCCAATCCCAGGAAGCATTTGAGCAGGCTATTATCAAAACTGTTGGTATATTTGCTCAAGTATTGCCGGACTATCAGAAGTCTGAAATCATGATGTTCATTATGGGAAAGCTGCCAGTGAATACAAAAAACATTTCCCAAAAGTACTCTTACCAAAGAAGCCAATCAATCGAGAGTGATGATCATGAAAACAACCAACAAGAGGCTCTACAAGAAATGTATTTGCTTTGTATTCTAAAAGTTGCTGTTGTTTACAAATCCGAAAAACTGTCAACAACCTTCCCAGACACACTACTTGATTCCCTTTTGAAAGTATCCATTTCCAGAAATATCCGTATCAGTAAGCTTGCGCATGAGATCCTTCAAACTCTATTGGATAGACAAGCTAATCTCCCAAAGCTCACAATTGATGGTTTAACAAAGACTATTGAGCAGAATGGTATAGTCATTAAGAAATGTACTAAAGCAGATATTGTCTTTTTCCAAAAGAAGAAGGACGAGTTATTTTGGCATATTTACCAAAGTGCATCCAACCGTTTGAATCGGTCAGAAAACATTTTTTCCATTTACAAGTCATTAATCTTGCTTTCTGTTGAAATAAATGACAGTGGTGTTTTGATTGAAATGATTCGCTTTGTACTCAGTTTACAATTGGTCAATGGAGAAAACACTTTGACCAGGGCTAAAGTAGCCATCCATGCTACAGTTTGTGCATGTCTGAATTTCATTGCAGAATTAATGGGTATTACAAGGCTTAGGCGATACATTGCTTCATGTATAAAGATGCGACAGAATTACGAGTACCTCTCACCATCCAATGCATTCACTGAAGAAGAGGATCTTTCCCAAACAGAGTTCCCTGGAGGGTTGTTTATATCCCTTGAGGATGTCAGCAAAGCTCTGGAAGAAGGAGGGTTTGAGACGAAGATGCTGTCTTCACCATATGTTCCAGAACCAGTATCAGAATTGCACAATGGACAACAAGATGAGAAGTCACAATCGCTTCGTTCAGAGACTGGTTCGCTTTCCTCTGCCGAGGGAGTGCATTTCACCATCGCAGAGGAAGTCACATTCGACACTCTTAAAGACGTGTTGTATAGGAACGCCAGTCAATCCATGGATGGCCATTTGGATTTGTACAATGCGACGTTCAACGACATAGCGGCAGTTGCTGATGGCCGGGCACGCGAGTTTAATGTGAAGATTGATGATGTTCTTGAAGCGTCCGACTTGATTGTTGAGATGAATACGATGAAAGAAACACCCAGTATGTCATCATTACCTGGGGAAGATAACTACGAAATGAGATTTTTAGACAAATATGTCTATTAAATTAAAGCAGAATAATTAGGAAATTTAACTTTATTATATATACTAGGTATGATTATTGTCTTGGTAATAGCTGATTGTCACTTACTGTAAGTCAAAATGAGAAACAAGAAATGGACTATAGAATTACGAGAAAGCTGAATAATCAGGTCAATATGAAAAAGAAATGATGGAGCAATGTCACAAATTGAAATTAAAATTGAAACACTCAGTATATAATTTCAATTTTTTCAATGCATGTTGTCACACAAAAGTTACAATTAACGAACACTTACTTCGAGCTCTGGTTCGTTAAAACGGATCAACCCTCGAGAGAAAATGCACCACTACGATCATCCTTCTGCAGTCAGGGCCAAATATAACGGTCAATGTGGAGATAATAATTCCATGTTCAGTAAATCCTAAATACCCAAATTTAATCCTCAAGGTTAAGATTAGGTCTTAGATTATGTTTATAGTTGATTATAGGTAACTTTAAACCTAAATTGAACCCCAATCCTGACCTAATCTCACAAGGAAAAATTCGTGCATTTAGGTAAATTACGTGAACATGGAATTATTACAAATGTGGACGAAACAGCGAGTAATGGTTGGAATAAAGGTTTTTGTGAGACAGTTTTTTAAAAACGACCTACTATTTACATACATTTATATACAGAGAACAAATTTATTGTCTTGACGGGCTCTAATTAGGACAATTAGCAGTTCTTTGATTGCCCAGTAATTCCTTTTCCTTCGTCAATTATTCTACCTAATCCAAACTTATGATTTCATTGGAAATTGTCTACCCCGTTAGGCCATTTAACCCATGCTTTCAACAGCTCGGCGGGTGGAGTGTTGCCTCGTACCCAGGCGCTTTGTGCCATGTTCTGCGTTACGTGAGAACGCGCCCCACGCAAAGGAAACTAAGCACAAAGCGCCTGGGTAATGAGGCAGATGGAGAGATCGAGAGGCAGCAATGAAAAATCCAACATGGCAATTCTAACTATTTTTTTGATACAATACTTGAAAGAGGCAAGGCCTTGGGTTTCGTGTCATCAATTGTTCCAGGTAATATTCCGCTGCCATCACTGCCACGTACGAAGCGAATTATTTTTCTCTTCTTTTCACTGTTAATCAACGTGTCAAAGTAGTCTATCGCCTTTGTTAAGCATGTTTGCTGCTCTTCTTTCGTACTAACTACCACCTCCGGTTCAATGTCATTTTCATCGGCAGACGAATTGCCGCTTTCGTTTTCGCTTTCTGACTCGTCGTCTCCGAAAACATTCGACTTTTTTAAAGGGACGCGGCCTTTTACAAAACCCACCGACGTGGCGTTTTTTCCCAAACCGAAATTAAATTTGATAGCTCCTTTTTGAGAACCGCTAACTGTGGACGTTATGCCGTTTGTCTTGGAAAAAAACTTTGGTTTTGCAGAGTTTTTTAGAGAACTGTAGTTGCTACGATGTGGTGGGGGAACGGGTGCCGATGGCAAAGGAGGAGGGGGGTCGCAGGGCAAAGGTGGGGGAGGTGAATTAGGAAGCGGAGGTGCGTTAGAGAATGTGGACTTGGGTTTGATGTGTTCACTGGGTAAGGGGGGTGGGACAAGCGAAGAGGCGAATGTCGATTTAAATGCAGCTTGTGAAGATTTCTGATCAGTTCTTTCGGAACTAAACGTTTTCAATGATTAGATAGGTTTCAATGATGTTTTCATTTACTGTGGGGGGGGGGGGGAGAGGCTATATACAGAGGACATGAACTTAAGATTTCATTAAATAGGTATTTCGTTGAGGAAAACCAATAGCGGTTATACCAAAATTATAATTGCATGTACCTAAGACTGTTTGTTTACTGCCGCGTACTTAAAGATGGGGAGGGAAAGTTTGAGGTATGAGGAGTTTTTTTCTGGCTAGAATAGATTTAGATAGAATACAAATTTTCTTTTGAGAATCTCCTACAAATTGATGCACGCAGAGTTTCATAGAAGACTGTTTAAACTCAGCCAGTGGTATTTCAGTATACCCAAAAATACGCTTTTACAGGCATCCCCGACCCAGGCGCTAAATTTGTAAAACAAACATGAAGCGCAGTTGCTCTTCTCGGCACTGATCTCTATTCTCTATATAGCAGCTGAATGCAAACTTACCTTAGTGTAGCGGCTGAAAGTTTTCGCGCGTCGCTTCCAGTTTGCCGTTCTTTTCTTTTTCGAGAATCTAACATAGCAAAAAAAAGGTACGCTTACAGCCAAGCGAAGTGCAGTGAAGATGCAGGGGAGGTTCAAATTTGGCGCTGACTGCATCGGATATCTTCATACTGACTACTTCGAATAATTATACCTGTATAATAATGATACTTCGAATAATGATACAGACCGGTCTTGTGAGAAAAAACTCTCTTACTTATGTGCGTGAGAAAAAAGTCCAAGTTAAATATTGCGCTGTCATACTCACGTGTATTTCTGGCAAACTCTCTTTCTTTCAAATCTTTTAGTCTCTTCAGAGAAAAAACAAACAAACAGCATGTGAAATGGGAGAAAGCATTGATAAAGAGATTACAAAAGTTATGACTTCCATAGTTACGAGATATTTTCAAAAAGAAGCTGCATTTGATAGAATATTTCATCTTTTTTTCTTCGTAAAATTTCATGTAAATCTCTTATCACACGGGAGAAATCCTATTTATGTATCTGCACAATAAGCAAGAGTCCATCGTACTAAAACCCATTTCATTGGTATACTTGTCTAATCTGTAATTATTATTTAAACCAACCTGTCTGTGAGCGTGGTCGTAGGAATTAATGTGGTTATCGTATTCTTTATATTTGATGTATTGCTTGTCGCAGAGTTCACAGTAATAGCTCTCTTTTAAATTTTTTAAACTTTCTTCGATCGCTTTTTCCTTGTCTTGTGTAGTCTAGAAGAGAAACATTTCGCTAAAATACTTGTATTTTCGCTTAATTAAAGAATAGAGGCTAGAACTGCCATGCATAAATGAGGAGAGTCGGAGATGGATGAATCGGAGCATTCAAAACTATTCACTCTTTAACATCTATCAAAAGAAGAAAAGATCTGGCCTTAAAAATTATACGACGTGTAACTGCGGGTATGAAAAGATATCAAGATCTGCATGGTAAGAAGTTAAAATTATTTTTTCATGCAACCATTCTTCGTTTGCTTTTATTTGAATTGATTTGAATGTTGAGTCTTTCAAATATCAATTATCTTTCAAATTCAAATATCTTAGATAACTAAATTTAAAACTGAGACCTTGCTCATTTACCTGGTATTTCTGTTTCAGCTCGTCTGTCTCTTCTTTTTCCACCTCTAAAGTCCGCCTCTTGTTTGACGCTTCATTCGCATGATCGAGCTAGAATTTATGGGACATGAAAGGGTATGAAGAGGTAGTTAGCGTATGTTAAAGTCACAGAATAATCCTACACTATTATAAAGCCTAATCAGGTTGGTTATATTGCCTAATGGCAGTAATGTAAAGAAGAGCCAATTTTGAAACTTTCTGCTGTTTTTCACAATACAGTAATGCACTTAAAAACTGAGAAAGAGACATACTGAATTTTTATAGAACAGTACCTAAGCTCATTAAAATTCAAAGAATTAATAATGCAATGCATGAAATACTATCACTAAGCAAAGCAGCAGTCTAATAAAAAATAACCTTATATGCATTAGAAGTTGGCAATTAAACCTTGTTTAGTGTTGTAGCATTTAGTAGTTTTAGGTATAAATACAGCTACAAATTCTGGAAGAACATTTTAATTGTGGCATGGGATTTAAAATCACCTCCATTGACATTCGTCCAAGACATAAGAAGTCTTCTTTAATCACCATTGGAACAGGAATTAACCTGCCTGTTGGAAAGGAATGTCTGTGAATATTCTGAATATTCTAACCAAGACAAAATATACATACTACCTACATCCAACAATCAATTTGCCAATATTAGAATTCAGTCAACCAAAACAAATAGTATTATTATTCACTGTATAAACAATCTCTGTTTTGATTTGTTCGCCAGATACAAATATTCAGCTTACAGCTTTGGCAGATATAACACAAAACCTCTGCTTTAATACTTGTAATTCTCAAATCACGTTAAACCTCATCCAATAATTATTTATTACCTGTATAGTGATATAGTGGTAGTTAAGTAAGTATGTAAGGGTTTATTACTCTATTTTCATGTAGTGCATTTGTGTAGCCGGTATGTTATAGCCTCTGAACCCAAGGGTAAGTTGACCATGGAATAACTTGCACTACTTACATGTTGTGCACTAAACAGACAAACAATATTTGAGAATAGTTTGTGTAGAATCTTTAAGTGGACCTTAAACTGTTAAACATTAACTATAAAAGTAATATAATGTACTGTGAAAACACCTCTTATTAAATAAGTATACTACACTACCTTGCTTATGTCTACCAAGTCCTGTACCAGATTTCCAGCCAAGCTTTAAGGCAAGCTGATATCCAATATTTTCCTACACAGAGGGATGACAGACATTTCGGGCAGTACTAGCCAAGACAAGGCCAAGAAAATGAGAACAATCAATGATAGAATTAAAATACAAAAAAGCACTTGATCTATATATTTCTCCCAAGCTGACAACATTTTATGGTTATAAAAATAATTTATTGCTTGTGATTTTCATCATATTGCAATAATGCAGTTAGTACACTGGTCTATAATGTTAGGGTAGGTTACAGTAAATATTTCAAAATACCTAAGTAGGATTAAGCCCTGTTTGAATTATTTCCACTGGGTTTTTGTCTTAATTGTCTTAACTATGCAAACATGCATGGCCAGTAATACATTCTGTATTATGTAACCAAGATATCAGGCCTAATTTTCAGATGTCGGATTATTAGTTTTTTGAAATCCCAGTGTGAAATTTACATGCGTCATATTAACATAAGCATAAAATAAGGTATTGCAGTGTAATAACTAATAATATGAAATATGCTTGAATTAAAGAGCCCCTCTTGACTGCATTAAAATACCTCCGAAATATGTTCATCCAGGGAAGATTTTTTATCCATATCCAAGTCATGAGTTGTATCGAACTCTGCTGGGACATTTGCAACCTGTTGAAAATAAAACTCAACTCAACTAAAGGGTCTGTTCACACTATCTAATTTGGTAGGTCTAATTGGCTTCTGAGTTCTGATGTATGGAATGTGGTCTTTTACAGCTACGCAATACTGCAATGGGTTGAATAGCTAATTTACTGTCTATATACACAGTTTGTTGCAAGTCAACAGCTATAAAACAAACAATAGAAGCTTGAATTCGATTCAGCAAAATTGGATTGTGTAAGCACTATGCAGACCCGAACTAGTCTCCACATACTCCACACAATATATACACAAAACATAAAAACACACAAATAAACAAAACATTCACACAGAAACATAACGTTATTAACGTATACACCTATTATTAAAATGTTCTGGACGTAGTTAGTGTTCAATGACTTCAATCTATAAAAACTGTTTCAATATGATATACAAATATACACACACCTCGTAAGGGCGATCTTCATTGTATCTTGAAAAAGTAGCCATTTTCCTGACTTTGTTGTTAAATTCAAAAATTGGATATTGTGATTTTTGAGTGCACCATAAGTCACAACTTGAATTTTTAGATTTTACGTTTTTAGTGTTTCAAAAAATTGAAATACGTCATGTTATTCACTTAACATGGTATAAATCTCTGCCCCCTCTGCGCAAGACAGGATCAGTGGACAGGACCCGCGGACTCAGAATCAGAGAGTGGGGGGGGGGGAATCCTAAATAGAACCCACCAAAAAAATATAATTTTCCTTATTTAGACTACACGATAAGTTGTGTGCAATTATCATTCTGACGAATGCAGGAACCCACAACATTTAAAACGTTTGGGGGGGAACAATCACTTTTGACTTCTAACTTTCAACAAGCACTTTCGAGTTTCGACTGAGATCGATGGTTACGACTACTCACACAATCTGGTGGGTGCTTGCGTCATTCGAGGTAACGATTGGTTATCGGAGTTAGATACCAAATAACCATGAGGTACTTGCAAAGGCTATAAATTACTTTGTTAAACTATTGACTATTCTTGACAATAATAGAGGTTTGCGGTGCATGCTTTAAGTGGCTATCTGAAGTACTTGATCTACACAATTCCAAAGCATTCACAGCCGGGGGTCTAGGCTACGATTTTTATTATGTCGAATAATGACACGCATGTAGAGCATTTGCCCGACACAATATTTCAGCGAAGTTTACGAACATTGATATATTACTTGTTGGTACAATTCGGTGGTTCATTCCTTCACTTGGGAAATGTTCGTAGATAAGTGGTTTACTTTTCATGCATCCATGATTGCAATTGTCTGTTCTATTCATGTTTACGCCGATGAAGTAAAGAAATGTTACTGCTCAAATAAGGTAAGGAAATAGATTAATTTCAATTTTTCATCGTTGCTGCCAGTCAGGGGAAGTTTGGAACCAACGCCCAACGCTGCCTGGTATTAGTCGTAATACGGAACCCTGTCTATCGTGTACTACATGCATTCATTATAAATTTGTTATATTATGATATAGTATGGCATCACAATGAAATCACCTGGTCATTCATGTGAGGAAATTTTGCAACACCATGCCAAACGCAGCGAGAGTCGCTCAAATGGAATATACTGGATATCCCTTGAGGAACGAGACAGCAGTAAGCCATTCATGGTCGATTAAAAATTTAGCCGTGACTATTTATAATAGGTACCGACGATTTTTTTCTTTCGATAGATGCGAATGAATATTCTGATAAGAACACCTACATAATATTCCTTTGTTTGCATCTATTAAGAGACAAATATCGCACGGAAACCAGCAGAACTAAGAACGTGAAGGTGATAGACTAGTCTAATAGGCCTTTCGCTGTTTATCACTTTTGTAGGAAATATTGAAAACGCTTTCCCGGTGTTTTGCGATATGCAAGCTGGAGGTTCGTATTATAAATGATTATCGTTTTGCCCAGTGCCGTAGCTATAGCTGCCGGCATGAGGATTAAAAACCCGTTCACTCCACCAGGCGAATTTATGCTGAAATGAAAGCCCCGTTTACACTACACTCGATAGTCTCAATTTTTTGGCATGGTACGGCTAAAATTGGCCCTCGTGCCCCTTTATTTACATACATGCATGGTTCTTTTTTAAGTGTATTGCTAATTTTAAGTCATACTGATTCAGGGCAACACTCGTTCTTCAATATATTCAACATTCGACTTGTATAACGGTCAATATGAAGTCGTTATGTTATGTAGATGCATGTGAAACCATGCAGCCAATAAATTTCTTTGTAGAATTTGAATTGAATACTGATTATTCTTAGCCGCCAAAAGTGAGTCAGGAAAGCTTAGTAAAATATTTAAATATTTGACAAAACCAACTCTAACTTGAGAAGAATTTTGAACCAATTGGAAAACGCAAGATTAGTCCCATGGCCAAGATACAAAGCACCCATTTCAGGATATCAAATTACAACGCACGGCAAAGCATGGCAATGATGACAGTAAAAATCACCAGCTAGAGTACATGAACATATGTCACAACCGCATTTGATTTTTCTCGGAGACAAATGACTTTCAAAGCACAATAATATGGCTACAACAAATGTTTTTTCGGAGAGAACCCGACTAAGGGTTAGGCGTGTTGTTTTTTGTTAATTTAGGGTGGACTTTGGTATTTAAAACGGTATCTGGAAATCCTCTAAGAAGAATTGCGTCAATTTGGAAAGGGACGATTTTTTCGCAAGAATTTTCCCCGGCAGCCTTGAATAAAAACGCTGATTTCAAAAAAGACTATAAAAACAGAATTGTAAATTTAAAAAATTGGCATACTTTTGGCCCAAAAGAGGTGAATATTATAGCTCATCTATCAGTGAAGCGAATGCGCTAGAGTTTGCTAAAGTCCAGGTATACATCAACGGTATATGAGATTTTATACCCCACCAGTGTGATACCACACATTTCACATTTCCTATTAAAAATGCACATTTTTTTCGTTTTGGGAAAGGCACGAGTGGTGTTGTATAAGAATGGTAAAGAACAACTGGTTTTACGATTCAACGCTGTTTCAAGTACCTATTTGGACTGGTTTTCTCACCCAAGACTTCTCGAATCACCATGGAATGACCTAGCTGGTTCAACGTTTAATCACTTTGAAATCGAGGGCCCCTGTTGGAATAAAGAGTGCAGAGATTTTCATATCAATTTCTCCTATGCACTATTTTGCACTATCGATTTAGGTTGGCTCTCGGTATCTTCAATGGGCATTACAGACGGCTGCGATTGGGAGAAAAGGTTTCCTGGGAATTCGTTCATATTTAGTAAGCTTCCCACGAAAGTCAATTACAACCAGCATAGTAAGTACAAGCATGCATTAGACTGATTTCTTATACCATGGGAGCAAGGAGAAATATAAATAAAAGATAGGAAAATTGGAAATCCCGGTCCAACGAACCTTAAAAAATAACAAACTTTTTCCGAGTACGAGATGTTCCGCAGAATCACCAATTTACATTATGGTTTATAGCAAAAATGCAGGCAAACTACGAAGTTGCTTCGCTCTCCTTAAGCCCCTCCTCTAGTGAATTTAGTTCTACAGCACTGCCACAGAATTTACATATGGAATGAAGGATTCAGAGCAGACACTCTGCAATTAATTGCACCCTGCACCTCATTCGACTGTTTTGATTTTCAGATGATGTCAGTGGCGACTCAGATGTGTTTGCTGTTTATGTGCGTTAAGTTTGGAAAATCAGAGGATTTGTTCAATTTTAATCATTAATTTTTAAGAACTGAATACTCGTCATATGTTCAATGATGAAGATAAACGTCGTTACAACGTTGTATGCTGGCTGCATGAATTTTGGTCTGTACTGTTGGATGCCAACGATCCAGTGTTTATATAAATAATATTATTTTACATATAGATAATTGCCTGACATTTTATCCCGGTGCATATAGTGTTCAACTATTGTATTACGGGGAACTTTATTAGCTCATCCCAGTCAAAATTATGTGGTGTACTGCATGTTGCCTAGTATATACAGGTGCAAGTCGAAGTTATTTATAGAATTTGCTAATGTATATGGTTTTCGAGGAAACTAATCACTTCGTAGAAAACTTCGCTCTCACTGAAGTCATTTTGTTGTCGGTTGAAGCCCATGGAACCAGCATTTTCACTTTGAAGAGCAATTTCAATCCATAAGCCAGTTATTACGAAAGGAAATTCCAGTAGTTCGAACTTCCACAATATTTTATGCACTAAGTTTAAAAGGTCATAGTCTTTCCAGCCTCTTTAACAGTTTAACCCCTCCCTGCAGGCGGCAGGCGTAAATGCGTAACTATGTTCCTCATGTGTTCAAATACATTCTATTTAGTTCTAAACAGTTTCAAAGTATTTAGCCGAATTTTGAAATTTCAAAAAATTGACAAAATGACCGAATTGCCTGAAATTTTATCAAAGTATGATTTCATGTGTTCAAATGGTTCATGCATAATATGTGAATTGTTCACCCTGACAACTGTCAACTGTTCTATAGGATTGTGATTGTCGAACCTTGTGAACTGATAGTGATAGTGACTGATGGTGCATGCTTCAAGGTCAAGAGGTGCAGGCTTCTTTGATCAGATTGCGTTACGTCATCACTAATTCGGATGCTACGTGACCAACATTGATATTATCATATTATCGCCTCTTGCCAGATGTACATCTCAGAATCAATGAACTTCCCTGGTTTAGCACTTTACCTAAAAGGCCCGTTTGCATTACACTCTGTAATGCCAATTTCTGGCACGGTACGTCGGTACGGCTAAACTAGGCATCAACTTAAGCGAGGCGCGCCAATAATTGACTGTAGTGTCAACAGGACTTCAATTTAATAGCGGAACGGCCCATTGAACCGGAACCCACAACATTTGAAAGGTTTGGGGGGGAGGGGGAAACAGGGAGGGGGAAACAATCACTTTTGACTTCTCACTTTCAACAATCACTTTCGACTGAGATTGTTACGACTACTCACACAATCTGGTGTGTGCTTGCATCATTCGAAACGATTGGTTATCGGACTTGGATACCAAATTACCATCAGGTACTTGCAGAGGCTATAAATTGCTTAGACTATTGACTATTCTCGGTACATGCTTAAACTGGCTCAGGTACTCGATCTACACAATTCCAAAGCATTCACAGCCTGGGGTCTAGGCTATGGCTGTTATTATGTGGAATAATGGCAGGCATGTAGACCACTTGCCCGACACAATATCTCGGCAAATTTACGAACATTGATATATTATTTGTTGGTACAATTCGGTGGTTCATTTCTTCACTAGGGAGATGTTCGTAGATAAGTGGTTTACTTTTCATGCATCCATGATTGCAATCGTCTGTTCGGTTCATGTTTACGCCGATGAAGTAAAGAAATGTTACTGCTCAAATAAGGTAAGGAAATAGATTAATTTCAAATTTTTATCGTTGTTGCCAGTCAGTGGAAGTTTGGAACCAACGCTCAACCCTGCCTAGTATTAGTCGTAATATGGAGCCCTGTCTATCGTGTGCTACATGCATGGTTCTGAAACATTTTGATATTATGATATAGTATGGCATCACAATGAGATCACCTGGTCATTCATGTGAGGAAATTTTGCAACACCATGCCAACCGCAGTGAGAGTCGCTCAAATGGAATATACTGGATATCTCTTGAGGAACGAGGCAGCAGTAAGCCATTCATTGTCGATTAAAAATTTAACCGTGACTATTTATAGGTACCGACGATTTTTTTCTTTCGATAGATGCGAATGAATATTCTGATAAGAACACCTACATAATATTCCTTTGTTTGCATGTATCAAGAGACAAAAATCGCTCGGAAAATCTCAGCAGAACGAACGTGAAGGTGATAGACTAGTCTAATACACCTTTCGCTGTTTATCACTTTTGTAGGAAATATTGAAAACGCTTTCCCAGTGTTTTGTGATATGCAAGCTGGAGGTTCGTATTATAAATGATTATGGTTTGCCCATGCATACAGTGCCTTAGCTATAGCTTACAGCATAAGGCTTAAAAGCCCGTTCTCCACTAGGCGAATTTATTCTGAAAAGATGAATTCTGATCGCGATGTGATTGGGTTTGTGAAAAATTTAACCACCAAAAACTAGAATCGCTTCCTACTTTTTATAAGCTCATATTTGTCTATATTACTTACATGGTTCTTTTTTGAAAAAATGTTGTATATTGCTACATAATTTTAAGTATTTATTCAGGGCATCTTCATACTAAGTATTCAACACTCTGTCTTCAACATATTCAACCGGCATTCGACATAAATGTCAACATATTAAGTCGGTATAGATGCATGCATGTGAAACCACGCAGTACAATAAACTTGTAGAATTTGAATTGAATACTGATTATTTCTTAGCCGCCAAAAGTGAGTCAGGAAAGCTTATAGTTTTGACAAAAACAACTCTAACTTGAGAAGAATTTTGAACCAATGGAAAAATGCACATGCAAAAGCAGCAAAACATAAACAATTAGTCCCATGGCCATGCACGCATAGACACAGAAGATACATGCATGCAAACACCCATTTCAGGATATCAAAACGCACTAAAACATGGAAATGATGACAGCGGTAAAATTACCAGCTAGAGCACATGGAACATATGTCACAACCGCATTTGATTTTTCTCAGAGACAAATGTGAGATGACTTTCAAGGCAAATAATATGTTACGACTAATGTCAGTTGGGAGAGAACTAAGGCGTGTTGTTTTTTGTTAATTTAGGGTGGACTTTGGTATTTAAAACGGTATCTGGAAATCCTCTAAGAAGAATTGCGTCAATTTGGAAAGGGACGATTTTTTCGCAAGAATTTTCCCCGGCAGCCTTGAATAAAAACGCTGATTTCAAAAAAGACTATAAAAACAGAATTGTAAATTCAAGTAATTGGCGTACTTTTGGCCCAAAAGAGGTGAATATTATGTCTCATCTATCAGTGAAGTGAGTGCGCTAGAGTTTGCTGAAGTCCTGGTATGAGATTTTACCCCATCAGAGTGAAACGTACCCCACCAGGCCACCACTGATGATTTCTTAAAAATTTAAGACCCTGGCTTTTAGGCAGTCTCGGAAAATCAGACTACGGCTGATCTTGCATGTTGAACTGTAGTTATATATCGATTTCTGGAAATCCTATTTTCCTTCTTGTTCCGGAATATCTTTGTAGAGAGCATTTCAATATCACCACTGGCACCGCACACTAAAAATTATATGGTCGGCCTGATGCATTTTTTCAATGCCAGTTTCTATTACATTCCGTTGCATTGTCACATTTCCTATTAATGATGCATATTTTTTTTCGTTTTCGGGAAAGGCACGAGTGGTGTTGTATAAGAATGGCAAAGAACAAATGTTTATGCGATTCAACGCTTCTTCGAGTACCTATTTGGACTGGTTTTCCCAGCAAAGGCTTCTTGAATCACCATGGAATGACCTAGCTAGTTCAACGTTTAACCACTTTGTTATTAACGGTCCTTGTATAAATTATGAGGAAAATGAATGCAGAGATTTTCATATCAATTTCTATTATAAAAATTGCTCTGTCGATGAAGGATGGCTCGTGTTGTCTTCACTGGGCACTGATGGAGGCTGCGAATGGGAAAAAAGATTTCCTGGAAATTCTTTTATATTTAGTAAGCTTGCAACGAAAGTCAATTACAACCATTATAGTAAGTACAAAATGTGGCATGCATTGGACTGAGCAAGGAGAGATATAGATAAAAAGTAGGAAAATTGGTAATCCCGGTCCAACGAACCTTTAAAAATGACAAACTTTTTTCTTAAAATGTACCAGATGTCCCGCAAAATCACCAATTTACATTATGGTTTATAGCAAAAATGCAAACAAACTACGAAGTTGCTTCGCCCTCCTTAAGCCCCTCCTCTAGTGAATTTAGTTCTACAGCACTACAATAGAATTTACATATGGAATGAAGGATTCAGAGCAGACACTCTGCATGCAATTAATTGCACCCTGCACCTCATTCGACTGTTTTGATTTTCAGATGATGTCAGCGGTGACTCAGATGTGTTTGCTGTCTATGTGCGTTAGTTTGGAAAATCAGAGGATTTGTTCAATTTTAATCATTAACTGAATACTCGTCATATGTTTAATTATGAAGAAAAACGTCGTTACAACGTTGTATGCTGGCTACATGAATGTTGGTCTGTACTGTTGGATGCCAACGATCCAGTATTTATATAAATAATATTATTTTACATATAGCTAATTGCCTGACATTTTATCCCGGTGCATATAGTGTTCAACTATTGTATTACGGGGAACTTTATTAGCTCATCCCAGTCAAAATTATGTGGTGTTCAAAGTATTTAGCCGAATTTTGAAATTTCAAAAAATTGACCAAAATTGACCGATTTGCCTGAAATTTTATCAAAGTATGATTTCATGTGTTCAAATGGTTCATGCATAATATGTGAATTGTTCACCCTGACAACTGTTCTATAGGATTGTGATTGTCGAAATTATGTGTTCTTGACTCGTACCCGTGCAAACCTTGTGAACTGATAGTGATAGTGACTGATGGTGCATGCTTCAAGGTCAAGAGGTGCAGGCTTCTTTGATCAGACTGCGTTATGTCACCACTAATTCGGATGCTACGTGACCAACATTGATATTATCATATTATCGCCTCTTGCCAGATGTACATCTCAGAATCAATGAACTTCCCTGGTTTAGCACTTTACCTAAAAGGCCCGTTTGCATTACACTCTGTAATGCCAATTTTTGGCACGGTACCGTCGGTACGGCTAAACTAGGCATCAACTTAAGCGAGGCGCGCCAATAATTGACTGTAGTGTCAACAGGACTTCAATTTAATAGCGGAACGGCCCATTGAACCGGAACCCACAACATTTGAAAGGTTTGGGGGGGAGGGGGAAACAGGGAGGGGGAAACAATCACTTTTGACTTCTCACTTTCAACAATCACTTTCGACTGAGATTGTTACGACTACTCACACAATCTGGTGTGTGCTTGCATCATTCGAAACGATTGGTTATCGGACTTGGATACCAAATTACCATCAGGTACTTGCAGAGGCTATAAATTGCTTAGACTATTGACTATTCTCGGTACATGCTTAAACTGGCTCAGGTACTCGATCTACACAATTCCAAAGCATTCACAGCCTGGGGTCTAGCCTATGACTGTTATTATGTGGAATAATGGCAGGAATGTAGACCATTTGCCCGACACAATATCTCGGCAAATTTACGAACATTGATATATTATTTGTTGGTACAATTCGGTGGTTCATTTCTTCACTAGGGAGATGTTCGTAGATAAGTGGTTTACTTTTCATGCATCCATGATTGCAATCGTCTGTTCTGTTCATGTTTACGCCGATGAAGTACAGAAATGTTACTGCTCAAATAAGGTAAGGAAATAGATTAATTTCAATTTTTCATCGTTGCTGCCAGTCAGGGGAAGTTTGGAACCAACGCCCAACGCTGCCTGGTATTAGTCGTAATACGGAACCCTGTCTATCGTGTACTACATGCATTCATTATAAATTTGTTATATTATGATATAGTATGGCATCACAATGAAATCACCTGGTCATTCATGTGAGGAAATTTTGCAACACTATGCCAAACGCAGCGAGAGTCGCTCAAATGGAATATACTGGATATCCCTTGAGGAACAAAGCGGCAGTAAGCCATTCATTGTCGATTAAAAATTTAACCGTGACTATTTATAGGTATCGAGGATTTTTTTCTTTCGATAGATGCGAATGAATATTCTGATAAGAACACCTACATAATATTCCTTTGTTTGCATCTATTAAGAGACAAATATCGCACGGAAACCAGCAGAACTAAGAACGTGAAGGTGATAGACTAGTCTAATAGGCCTTTCGCTGTTTATCACTTTTGTAGGAAATATTGAAAACGCTTTCCCGGTGTTTTGTGATATGCAAGCTGGAGGTTCGTATTATAAATGATTATCGTTTTGCCCAGTGCCGTAGCTATAGCTGCCGGCATGAGGATTAAAAACCCGTTCACTCCACCAGGCAAATTTATGCTGAAATGAAAGCCCCGTTTACACTACACTCGATAGTCTCGATTTTTTGGCATGGTACCATAGGCGGCCCAGAACTGATCTCACTGACCTCGCGCGACGCTTATGTTGTCTGAACAATCTTATATTATGACATCTTATATTATTATATTATATTATGAATCTTATATTATGTCATAATATAAGATTGTTCAGACAACATAAGCGTCGCGCGAGGTCAGTGAGATCAGTTCTGGGCCGCCTATGATGGTACGGCTAAAATTGGCCCCCGTGCCCCTTTATTTACATACATGCATGGTTCTTTTTTAAGTGTATTGCTAATTTTAGGTCATACTGATTCAGGGCAACACTCGTTCTTCAATATATTCAACATTCGACTTGTATAACGGTCAATATGAAGTCGTTATGTTATGTAGATGCATGTGAAACCATGCATCCAATAAATTTCTTTGTAGAATTTGAATTGAATACTGATTATTCTTAGCCGCCAAAAGTGAGTCAGGAAAGCTTAGTAAAATATTTAAATATTTGACAAAACCAACTCTAACTTGAGAAGAATTTTGAACCAATTGGAAAACGCAAGATTAGTCCCATGGCCAAGATACAAAGCACCCATTTCAGGATATCAAATTACAACGCACGTCAAAACATAGCAATGTTGACAGTAAAAATCACCAGCTAGAGTACATGGAACATATGTCACAACCGCATTTGATTTTTCTCGGAGACAAATTACTTTCAAAGCACAATAATATGGCTACAACAAATGTTTTTTCGGAGAGAACCCAACTAAGGGTTAGGCGTGTTGTTTTTTGTTAATTTAGGGTGGACTTTGGTATTTAAAACGGTATCTGGAAATGCTCTAAGAAGAATTGCGTCAATTTGGAAAGGGACGATTTTTTCGCAAGAATTTTCCCCGGCAGCCTTGAATAAAAACGCTGATTTCAAAAAAGACTATAAAAACAGAATTGTAAATTTAAAAAATTGGCATACTTTTGGCCCAAAAGAGGTGAATATTATAGCTCATCTATCAGTGAAGCGAATGCGCTAGAGTTTGCTAAAGTCCAGGTATACATCAACGGTATATGAGATTTTATACCCCACCAGTGTGATACCACACATTTCACATTTCCTATTAATAATGCATATTTTTTTCGTTTTGGGAAAGGCACGAGTGGTGTTGTATAAGAATGGTAAAGAACAACTGGTTTTACGATTCAACGCTGTTTCAAGTACCTATTTGGACTGGTTTTCTCACCCAAGACTTCTCGAATCACCATGGAATGACCTAGCTGGCTCAACGTTTAATCACTTTGAAATCGAGGGCCCCTGTTGGAATAAAGAGTGCAGAGATTTTCATATCAATTTCTCCTACGCACTATTTTGCACTATCGATTTAGGTTGGCTCTCGGTATCTTCAATGGGCATTACAGACGGCTGCGATTGGGAGAAAAGGTTTCCTGGGAATTCGTTCATATTTAGTAAGCTTCCCACGAAAGTCAATTACAACCAGCATAGTAAGTACAAGCATGCATTAGACTGATTTCTTATACCATGGGAGCAAGGAGAAATATAAATAAAAAATAGGAAAATTGGAAATCCCGGTCCAACGAACCTTAAAAAATAACAAACTTTTTCCGAGTACGAGATGTTCCACAGAATCACCAATTTACATTATAGTTTATAGCAAAAATGCAAGCAAACTACGAAGTTGCTTCGCCCTCATCAAGGGAGCCCCTCCTCTAGTGAATTTAGTTCTACAGCACTGCCAAAGAATTTACATATGGAATGAAGGATTCAGTACAGACACTCTGCATGCAATTAATTGCACCCTGCACCCTCATTCGACTGTTTTGATTTTCAGATGATGTCAGTGGCGACTCAGATGTGTTTGCTGTTTATGTGCGTTAAGTTTGGAAAATAAAGATTTGCTCAATTTTAATCATTAATTTTTAAGAACTGAATACTCGTCATATGTTCAATTATGAAGATAAACGTCGTTACAACGTTGTATGCTGGCTGCATGAATGTTGGTCTGTACTGTTGGATGCCAACGATCCAGTGTTTATATGAATAATATTATTTTACATATAGATAATTGCCTGACATTTTATCCCGGTGCATATAGTGTTCAACTATTGTATTACGGGGAACTTTATTAGCTCATCCCAGTCAAAATTATGCGGTGTACTGCATGTTGCTTAGTATATACAGGTGCAAGTCGAAGTTATTTATAGAATTTGCTAATGTATATGGTTTTCGAGGAAACTAATCACTTCGTAGAAAACTTCGCTCTCACTGAAGTCATTTTGTTGTCGGTTGAAGCCCATGGAACCAGCATTTTCACTTTGAAGAGCAATTTCAATCCATAAGCCAGTTATTACGAAAGGAACTTCCAGTAGTTCCAACTTCCACCATATTTTATGCACTAAGTTTAAAAGGTCATAGTCTTTCCAGCCTCTTTAACAGTTTAACCCCTCCTTGCAGGCGGCAGGCGTAAATGCGTAACTATGTTCCTCATGTGTTCAAATACATTCTATTTAGTTCTAAACAGTTTCAAAGTATTTAGCCGAATTTTGAAATTTCAAAAAATTGACCAAAACTGACCGAATTGCCTGAAATTTTATCAAAGTATGATTTCATGTGTTCAAATGGTTCATGCATAATATGTGAATTGTTCACCCTGACAACTGTTCTATAGGATTGTGATTGTCGAAATTATGTGTTCTTGACACGTGCCCGTGCAAACCTTGTGAACTGATAGTGATAGTGACTGATGGTGCATGCTTCAAGGTCAAGAGGTGCAGGCTTCCTTGATCAGATTGCGTTACGTCATCACTAATTCGGATGCTACGTGACCAACATTGATATTATCATATTATCGCCTCTTGCCAGATGTACATCTCAGAATCAATGAACTTCCCTGTTTTAGCACTTTACCTAAAAGGCCCGTTGCACTACACTCTGTAATGCCAATTTCTGGCACGGTACGGCTAAACTAGGCATCAACTTAAGCGAGGCGCGCCAATAAATCGACTGTAGTGTCAACAGGACTTCAATTTAATAGCGGAACGGCCCATTGAACCGGAACCCACAACATTTGAAAGGTTTGGGGGGGAGGGGGAAACAGGGAGGGGGAAACAATCACTTTTGACTTCTCACTTTCAACAATCACTTTCGACTGAGATTGTTACGACTACTCACACAATCTGGTGTGTGCTTGCATCATTCGAAACGATTGGTTATCGGACTTGGATACCAAATTACCATCAGGTACTTGCAGAGGCTATAAACTGCTTAGACTATTGACTATTCTCGGTACATGCTTAAACTGGCTCAGGTACTCGATCTACAAAATTCCAAAGCATTCACAGCCTGGGGTCTAGCCTATGACTGTTATTATGTGGAATAATGGCAGGAATGTAGACCATTTGCCCGACACAATATCTCGGCAAATTTACGAACATTGATATATTATTTGTTGGTACAATTCGGTGGTTCATTTCTTCACTAGGGAGATGTTCGTAGATAAGAGGTTTACTTTTCATGCATCCATGATTGCAATCGTCTGTTCTATTCATGTTTACGCCGATGAAGTAAAGAAATGCTACTGCTCAAATAAGGTAAGGAAATAGATTAATTTCAAATTTTTATCGTTGCTGCCAGTCAGTGGAAGTTTGGAACCAACGCTCAACCCTGCCTAGTATTAGTCGTAATAAGGAGCCCTGTCTATCGTGTGCTACATGCATCGTTCTGATTTCTGAAACTTTTTGATATTATGATATAGTATGGCATCACAATGAGATCACCTGGTCATTCATGTGAGGAAATTTTGCAACACCATGCCAAACGCAGCGAGAGTCGCTTAAATGGAATATACTGGATATCTCTTGAGGAACGAGGCAGCAGTAAGCCATTCATTGTCGATTAAAAATTTAACCGTGACTATTTATAGGTACCGACGATTTTTTTCTTTCGATAGATGCGAATGAATATTCTGATAAGAACACCTACATAATATTCCTTTGTTTGCATGTATCAAGAGACAAAAATCGCACGGAAAATCTCAGCAGAACGAACGTGAGGGTGATAGACTAGTCTAATACGCCTTTCGCTGTTTATCACTTTTATAGGAAATATTGAAAATGCTTTCCCAGTGTTTTGTGATATGCAAGCTGGAGGTTCGTATTATAAATGATTATGGTTAGCCCATGCATACAGTGCCTTAGCTATAGCTTACAGCATAAGGCTTAAAAGCCCGTTCTCCACTAGGCGAATTTATTCTGAAAAGATGAATTCTGATCGCGATGTGATTGGGTTTGTGAAAAATTTAACCACCAAAAACTAGAATCGCTTCCTACTTTTTATAAGCTCATATTTGTCTATATTACTTACATGGTTCTTTTTTGAAAAAATGTTGTATATTGCTACATAATTTTAAGTATTTATTCAGGGCATCTTCATACTAAGTATTCAACACTCTGTCTTCAACATATTCAACCGGCATTCGACATAAATGTCAACATATTAAGTCGGTATAGATGCATGCATGTGAAACCACGCAGTACAATAAACTTGTAGAATTTGAATTGAATACTGATTATTTCTTAGCCGCCAAAAGTGAGTCAGGAAAGCTTATAGTTTTGACAAAAACAACTCTAACTTGAGAAGAATTTTGAACCAATGGAAAAATGCACATGCAAAAGCAGCAAAACATAAACAATTAGTCCCATGGCCATGCACGCATAGACACAGAAGATACATGCATGCAAACACCCATTTCAGGATATCAAAACGCACTAAAACATGGAAATGATGACAGCGGTAAAATTACCAGCTAGAGCACATGGAACATATGTCACAACCGCATTTGATTTTTCTCAGAGACAAATGTGAAATGACTTTCAAGGCAAATAATATGTTACGACTAATGTCAGTTTGGAGAGAACTAAGGCGTGTTGTTTTTTGTTAATTTAGGGTGGACTTTGGTATTTAAAACGGTATCTGGAGAACCTCTAAGATACATTGCAGCAAATTGGAAAGGGGCAAATTTTCCCCAAGAATTTTCCCAGTCAGCCTTGAATAAAAACGCTGATTCAGTAGAAAAAGACTATAAAAACAGAATTGTAAATTCAAGTAATTGGCGTACTTTTGGCCCAAAAGAGGTGAATATTATGTCTCATCTATCAGTGAAGTGAGTGCGCTAGAGTTTGCTGAAGTCCTGGTATGAGATTTTACCCCATCAGAGTGAAACGTACCCCACCAGGCCACCACTGATGATTTCTTAAAAATTTAAGACCCTGGCTTTTAGGCAGTCTCGGAAAATCAGACTACGGCTGATCTTGCATGTTGAACTGTAGTTATATATCGATTTCTGGAAATCCTATTTTCCTTCTTGTTCCGGAATATCTTTGTAGAGAGCATTTCAATATCACCACTGGCACCGCACACTAAAAATTATATGGTCGGCCTGATGCATTTTTTCAATGCCAGTTTCTATTACATTCCGTTGCATTGTCACATTTCCTATTATTGATGCATATTTTTTTTCGTTTTCGGGAAAGGCACGAGTGGTGTTGTATAAGAATGGCAAAGAACAAATGGTTATGCGATTCAACGCTTCTTCGAGTACCTATTTGGACTGGTTTTCCCAGCAAAGGCTTCTTGAATCACCATGGAATGACCTAGCTAGTTCAACGTTAACACTTTGTATTAACGGTCCTTGTATAAATTATGAGGAAAATGAATGCAGAGATTTTCATATCAATTTCTATTATAAAAATTGCTCTGTCGATGAAGGATGGCTCGTGTTGTCTTCACTGGGCACTGATGGAGGCTGCGAATGGGAAAAAAGATTTCCTGGAAATTCTTTTATATTTAGTAAGCTTGCAACGAAAGTCAATTACAACCATTATAGTAAGTACAAAATGTGGCATGCATTGGACTGAGCAAGGAGAGATATAGATAAAAAGTAGGAAAATTGGTAATCCCGGTCCAACGAACCTTTAAAAATGACAAACTTTTTTCTTAAAATGTACCAGATGTCCCGCAAAATCACCAATTTACATTATGGTTTATAGCAAAAATGCAAACAAACTACGAAGTTGCTTCGCCCTCCTTAAGCCCCTCCTCTAGTGAATTTAGTTCTACAGCACTGCAATAGAATTTACATATGGAATGAAGGATTCAGAGCAGACACTCTGCATGCAATTAATTGCACCCTGCACCTCATTCGACTGTTTTGATTTTCAGATGATGTCAGCGGTGACTCAGATGTGTTTGCTGTCTATGTGCGTTAGTTTGGAAAATCAGAGGATTTGTTCAATTTTAATCATTAACTGAATACTCGTCATATGTTTAATTATGAAGAAAAACGTCGTTACAACGTTGTATGCTGGCTACATGAATGTTGGTCTGTACTGTTGGATGCCAACGATCCAGTATTTATATAAATAATATTATTTTACATATAGCTAATTGCCTGACATTTTATCCCGGTGCATATAGTGTTCAACTATTGTATTACGGGGAACTTTATTAGCTCATCCCAGTCAAAATTATGTGGTGTTCAAAGTATTTAGCCGAATTTTGAAATTTCAAAAAATTGACCAAAATTGACCGATTTGCCTGAAATTTTATCAAAGTATGATTTCATGTGTTCAAATGGTTCATGCATAATATGTGAATTGTTCACCCTGACAACTGTTCTATAGGATTGTGATTGTCGAAATTATGTGTTCTTGACTCGTACCCGTGCAAACCTTGTGAACTGATAGTGATAGTGACTGATGGTGCATGCTTCAAGGTCAAGAGGTGCAGGCTTCTTTGATCAGACTGCGTTATGTCACCACTAATTCGGATGCTACGTGACCAACATTGATATTATCATATTATCGCCTCTTGCCAGATGTACATCTCAGAATCAATGAACTTCCCTGGTTTAGCACTTTACCTAAAAGGCCCGTTTGCATTACACTCTGTAATGCCAATTTTTGGCACGGTACCGTCGGTACGGCTAAACTAGGCATCAACTTAAGCGAGGCGCGCCAATAATTGACTGTAGTGTCAACAGGACTTCAATTTAATAGCGGAACGGCCCATTGAACCGGAACCCACAACATTTGAAAGGTTTGGGGGGGAGGGGGAAACAGGGAGGGGGAAACAATCACTTTTGACTTCTCACTTTCAACAATCACTTTCGACTGAGATTGTTACGACTACTCACACAATCTGGTGTGTGCTTGCATCATTCGAAACGATTGGTTATCGGACTTGGATACCAAATTACCATCAGGTACTTGCAGAGGCTATAAATTGCTTAGACTATTGACTATTCTCGGTACATGCTTAAACTGGCTCAGGTACTCGATCTACACAATTCCAAAGCATTCACAGCCTGGGGTCTAGGCTATGGCTGTTATTATGTGGAATAATGGCAGGCATGTAGACCATTTGCCCGACACAATATCTCGGCAAATTTACGAACATTGATATATTATTTGTTGGTACAATTCGGTGGTTCATTCCTTCACTAGGAAGATGTTCGTAGATAAGTGGCTTACTTTTCATGCATCCATGATTGCAATTGTCTGTTCTGTTCATGTTTACGCCGATGAAGTAAAGAAATGTTACTGCTCAAATAAGGTAAGAAAATAGATTAATTTCAAATTGTTATCCTTGCTGCCAGTCAGTGGAAGTTTGGAACCAACGCCCAACACTGTCTTGTCGTAATAAGGAACCCTGTCTATCGTGTGCTACATGCATCGTTCTGAAACATTTTGATATTATGATATAGTATGGCATCACAATGAGATCACCTGGTCATTCATGTGAGGAAATTTTGCAACACCATGCCAAACGCAGCGAGAGTCGCTCAAATGGAATATACTGGATATCTCTTGAGGAACGAGGCAGCAGTAAGCCATTCATTGTTGATTAAAAATTTAGCCGTGGCTATTAATTTATAGGTACCGACGATTTTTTTCTTTCGATAGATGCGAATGAATATTCTGATAAGAACACATACATAATATTCCTTTGTTTGCATCTATTAAGAGACAAATATCGCACGGAAACCAGCAGAACTAAGAACGTGAAGGTGATAGACTAGTCTAATAGGCCTTCGCTGTTTATCACTTTTGTAGGAAATATTGAAAACGCTTTCCCAGTGTTTTGTGATATGCAAGTTGGAGGTTCGTATTTTAGATAATTATGGTTTTGCCCAGTACGGCACGACTAAAATTGGTACCCGTACACAAATTATTACTCCGGCGTCAGCGACGGAGTTGAAAATTCGCCCCGGTTTTGTTTTGTTTTTGTTTTTTTTTTTTTTATTTTTCGTCGTCGCAAGTCTGTAATGGCGCGAAATATACTAGTATTTAAAACGTGTATGTGACCGTATTTATCTACGTCCCAGTCTTATCTCCCAAGAGTTGTGGTGCACAGCTTTGGCTAATTTTCCAATGCGCGATTTGATTTCGCTCGCATGATACGGCAATTCCTCCAAGAGGAACAAATAAACCGTTCTTTTCATGCTGTTCGATTAAGTTTAGATTGAATTGGGGTAAGAATATATTTAATACATGTAGACCCGGTCCTATTTTAATAATATCGCTGCTATTTCGCCGTTTAACAAGATGATGTGGTCGTGTATGGGCGCGTTGACACGTCGCGTAGTTTGCACAGGATCGAAGATTTAATACAACTATATAAGCGCGAATTCCAAAGGCAAAGTGTAAGACGAAGCGAATGTATCATGCGGTTTATTTACATTTTTGAACAATTGAACTTCTATACTGCGATGTGCTTCTGAATTTCGCGATCGAACATTTAGGTTCGTAAGGCATCTAAATGCGAATATGTATGCGAAACAATACGCGAACTGTATTGTTTATGTCCAGAAGCTCTATATTGAAGACTGGCACGTGCGCCGGAGTTAATGCCAGAACGGCGTCTTGTTTTATTAAAATTCAGGAATCAGGCTACCAAAACAATGGCCGAGCACAGATAAAATGGGTACGGTATCTATTTTAAGCCGTGCCGTGCCAATAAATCGATTGTACAGGGTGTATCAAAAAAAAGGTAATCCAACTTTGGTGCGCTATTGTACGTGAACTACTCATTCTATTAACGAATTTTTTTTCACATTCCGAAAGGTTATGCTTTTAACTATCGAATGACATGTTTTTGATACCAAATGGTGAAAAAATGAGCAAATAGGAGGCTGATAAAAAGTGTTAGTCGAAATCGCATATTTTCACCTCTGAGAGTTGGGACTGAAACCATTGAAAATTAACTCTCTTTGGGACTTAATTGAAGAATTTTGCTTTTGAATAAACTACCCGCATATGCATATTAAGTAGGAATAAGGAGAACATTCCAAGCAATGCGGCATAAAACCGGTGCAAGCTGTGACATGTTCATGATTAATTGTTTTTTTCTTTTGTTATGCACTGCTTTAATTAGGCTCAAAGGTGAAAATATGCGATTGCGACTAACATTTTTTATCAGCCTCGTATGTGCTCACTTTTTCACCATTTGGTATTAAAAACATGTCACCCGATAGTTAAAAGCCTGATCTTTCTGAATATGAAAAAAATTCGCTCATACACTGAGTAGTTCACGTACAATAGCTTGTTGAAGTTGGATTACCTTTTTTTTGATACACCCTGTATAGTGTAAACGGGGCTAAATTAACGGGGCTGAAAAGTTGAAATCTGATCGATAAAAATTAGAATCGTTTCCTACTTTTTATCAGTTCATATTTGTCTTTATTTACATACATACATGATTCTTTTTTTAAAAAGCATATTGCTAATTTCAAATCATATATTCAGGGCATCTTCATACTAAGAATTCAATGCGACACACTCGTTCTTCAAAATATTCAATATTCGACTTATATATAACCGTCAATATATGAAGTCGTTATATACATTCATGTGAAACTATGCAGAAAATAAATTTCTTTATAGAATTTGAATTAAATACTGATTCTTTTTTAGTCGCCAAAAGCGAGTCAGGAAAGCTTAGTAAATTATTTAAATATTTGACAAAAAAAACTCTAACTTGAGAAGAATTTTAATTCAATTGGAAAACGCAAGATTAGTCCCATTGCCAAGATACAAATGCAGCCATTTCAGGATATCAAATTACAACGCACGGCAAAGCATGGCAATGTTGACAGTGCCCTGTCTACACTAGTGCGTTTTCGTTTGAAAACGCATACATTTCGATGCGTTTAGGCCTTCCGTTCACACTAATACGCTCGAATACGCTCAGCGTATTCACCGAAAACGCATCGATTTGAATACGCTGTTGAAAGTGAATACAAATGAAAACGCATACATATCGTATTAGTGTGAACACTTGAATACGATACTTTTGAAAACGATTACGTCACACGCATCGATTTCCACCAGTGATTGCCACTAATTTCCAGGTCTTAAGTCAGTTATCCGCGGCATAATTCCAACCAAACAAGGCGGACGAGCACGATATGAAGTTTCTCATGCTTCTAGCAAACATAATTGTTTGTTTGCAGTTAAATGTTGCGTTGTATAACGCCATGATGGCTTCACACCGAAGACAAATAGCTGTCTTACGAACATACATTTTATCTGGGCCTTCTACCATATGAACGCCTCCTGCTTGTTGTTATTAGCATTCTTTTTAGGTTTATTTTGCTGCGAAGAACTAGCCATAATCGACTAAACAAATGCTGAGCATGCGCAAATTACCGTTTTACGTCAGACTACGATTCGATCATCGTATTCAAGCGTTTTAGTGTGAACAGTCGAATACGCTACGAAAACGGTAGTGTGAACGCGAATCGATCGATGCGTTTTCGGTCTTGCGAAACCGCATACAAACGAAAACGCACTAGTGTAGACAGGCCCAAATCACCAGCTAAAGCATATGGAACATATGTCACAACCGCTTTTGATTTTTCTCGGAGACAAATGACTTTCAAAGCACAATACTGATATGCTACGACTAATGTTTTTTCGGAGAGAACCCGACTAAGACGTTTTGCTTTTTGTTAATAATTTAGGGTGGACTTTGGTATTTAAAACGGTATCTGGAGAACCTCTAAGAAGTATTACGTCAATTTGGAATGGGACAAATTTTCCTCAAGAATTTTCCACGGCAGCCTTGAATAAAAACGCTGATTTCAAAATAGACTATAAAAACAGAATTGCAAATTTTACTAATTGGCGTATTTTTGGCCCAAAAGAGGTGAATATTATTGCTCATCTATCAGTAAAGTGAGTGCGCTAGAGTTTGCGTCCACGGTATGAGATTTTAACCCACCAGTGTAATACTGACCACAGTGATACTCTACCAGAGTGATACCCTACCACGCCACCACTAATGATTTCTAAAAAATTTAAGAACCTGGCTTTTAGGTAGTTCCAGAAAATCAGACCACGGCCGATCTTGCATGTTGAAGTAGTTATATTTATTTCTGGAACTATTTTCCCGCTTGTTCAGAATATCTTTGCAGAGAGCATTTCAATATCACCACCGCCCACCGGCACCTGACTCTTCCACAGTCCCTTACTAAGCGATGAAAATTGATGACGCAAAGGAACATAGGAATACCCCGAAGCTATTTGCATGCTTTCCTTCCCTTCGTCTTTCAATCATTCAGCGCGCCCCATCATTAACCGCGCCTTAGGTAAACAACCGGGGACGAGTCAGCACTGGCACACTAAAAGTTATATGGTCGGCCTGATGCATTTTTTCAATGCCAGTTTCTATTACATTCCGTTGCATTATCACATTTCGCATCAATGATGTGTATATATTTTTCGTTTTCGGTGGGAAAGGCACGAGTGGTGTTGTATAAGAATGGCGAAGAACAAATGGTTATGCGATTCAACGCTTCTTCAAGTACCTATTTGGACTGGTTTTCCCAGCAAAGGCTTCTTGAATCACCATGGAATGACCTAGCTAGTTCAACGCCTAAACTCTTTGTTATTAACGGTCTTTGTATTGCGGAAAATGAATGCAGAGCTTTTCAAATCATTGATGACTATGAAACGTGCGAAGTCGTTGTAGGATGGCTTGTGTTGTCTTCACTGCGCAGTAGAGGCTGCGAATTGGAAAGAAGATTTCCTGGAAATTCTTTCATATTTAGTAAGCTTGCCACGAAAGTCAATTACACCCAGTATAGTAAGTACAAAATGTGTCATGCATTCGACTGATTTTTTACACTGGAGAAATATAGATAAAAAGTAGGAAAATCACGGAAATCCCGGTCCAACGAACCTTTAAAAATGACAAACTTTTTCCTAAAAATGTACGATATGTTCCGCTAAAGCACGAATTTGCATGATGGTTTATAGCAAAAATGCAAGCAAACGCCCCAATGGTAAAGTAAAACGAAATTGCGATTGATTAGTTCTACAGCACTGTCACAGGAATGAAGGATTCAGATTCGACTGTTTGATTTTCAGATGATGTCAGTGGTGACTCAGATGTGTTTGCCGTTTATGTGCGTTAGTTTCGAAATACTCGTCATATGTTCAATTATGAAGACAAGCGTCGTTACAACGTATGCTGGCTGAATGTTGGTCTGTAGAATGGCAATGGATCCAGCGTTTTTATAAATAATATTACTACATAGCTAATTGCCTCAACTATTGTGATTACAGGGAACTTTATTCAGCTCATCCCAGTCAAAATTATGTGGTGTACTGCATGTTGCTTAGTATATACAGGTGCAAGTCAAAGTTATTTATAGAATTTACTAATGTATAATCACTTCGTAGAAAACTTCGCTCTGAACTCATTTTGTTGTCGGTTGAAGCCCATGGAACCAGCATTTTCCCTTTGAAGAGCAATTTTAATCCATAAGCCAGTTATTACGAAGGGAACTTGCCGTAGTTCCAACTTCTACCATGTCATAAGCACTAAGTTTAAAAGGTCATTGTCTTTCCAGCCTCTTTAACTGTTTAACCCCTTCCAGCAAGCGGCAAGCGTAAGTGTGCAACTATGCAAATATATTGTTAAAGACCCTGGTATCAGCAACCTCGTACCCGGGGTGTGATATGGGTCATTAATGGGCTGGTTAACCCCGACCCGCGTTCTTTGCCCATCGATATTCGCTTGGCTTTATGTAAAACCACTACTAACCTTGCCGCAGAAGCCAATTATACCAGCCTTATTACTAGGTGATTTATTTCTAAAATGAGTAAAGTTGTTTCTAGTATAATGAGTTATTTAAAACAGAGTTTCGATATGGTTTCTTCTGTATAATAAAAAATACGAAGTGTCCAAATGATCACAAATTGACAAATTGTCATTGACAATTTCCTGGTTTTTTGCGGTAGCGACCGAAATCAAACGGAAAGTATCACGGAATGACGTCACTTTATACTTTTGATTTCCTTATACTCCTCTTGACTTTCGATCAGCATAAACAATAAATGAATGACACCCAAGTATGCTCACGTCTGGTTCATCACGGACTGGCAAGACTGTTATTATATAACAAGTTATTACATAACGTGATTAAAAAACCTTTCAGTTACATTCCGCTCCGTCTTTCGTTGAGGTGACTGGTTATCAAAGACAGCCGAATACACCGAACTGCATAAGGTACTTGTTATTGATTAGCATAATTCTAATTCTCAAGACCTGATCAAGACCTGTTTATACGTCTCTTACGTACGAATGTATTTATTAGAATTATAGAATATATTAAACAACAACAGTCAGTACTAAACTGTAGCGCGTTGACTGAATTATTTCAGTCAAATAGCATTGTTATGTGTAGAACTATAACATATACGCGCAGGCTTGACCGGATATTTCTTTCAGAACACAATTCTGATAATGTTCCGTTTGGAATACATTGTAACTGTGCAGAGATGATAAAACTGTATAGTTTCTGTCTTATCTTGTATGAATTGCGTTCGTCACGTGATAACAACGACGTTTAACCCGCATTCATTTTCAAAATATTAAAAAACGAGTCATTGTCAGTCAGAGCGCTTATATGCTAATATTCGAAAGAGTAACTATAGTCTATAGTCTGTACTATATCTAACTATTGCTCCCTGATGTTTAAGTTAAGTTAAGGTCAAAATAGAAAGCAAGTCTATCGTTTTATTCAAGAAGCAAACTAAATGTTTTTAACCTAAATACAAAGATACTGTTTACAACTACATATTCAGTGCATAATATTCAAGTTGACTCACTCAAGAGAGATGTAAGAGTGTTATTTAATTTTGACTTATCCACCGTTTAAGCTAAACGGGCTTGATACAACCGGCCCCTGATCTTTGGCATTGCCTTTAGTGTCATAGGTACTAGTCGGCACTTGATATTTGGAAAATTGGAAATTTGGAAAAACCATGATAGTCTTGGTGACAGTCTTACAAATGGTATATACTGGATATCTCTTGAGAAACCCGGTAAAAGTAAGCTGTTTTCCCATTCAGTTTCCTGCATGAATACAAAGTTGTCATTCAAATAGTATATAGCTATAGAGAATAGATGACTAATTTCATTTATTACTTTCCAAACTGGAAAAATTGCACACTTCTGTTACGTTTGTTAGGTGTATACTGATGTGAAGATGCGCTATTCATTTTTTTCAGGAAACGTTGAAAACTCCTTCCCCGTGTTTTGCGACATGCAAGCTGGAGGTTCGTGATGAAGAATTGCAGTTTTAATCCCCATTTACACTTCTGATACTCCACGATTACCCATTAACGAATTTTGGCAATTCTATGACTATGACTATTCTTGGTTTGCATATGACGCCAAAATTAGTCGTCAGGCGCCATGTTGGTTGACTCAACAAAGTTTACTTCTGCTTTTCAAGAGAACAAACTGCGTTGATTTACTTTTTCCATGTTCATTTTGTAACTGCTTATCATCTCTGTCGTATCATTGGGCAGGTATTAAAATACAGCAAGAATGAAAAAATTATTTGTGCACATGTTTTGAAAAGTCAACCAACTGATGGCGGCAATTGCAAACCACAAGAACTCTGGGTAGTTCCTAGCACAAGATGACAAGAATTAGGTGAACCTGGGGAGTGTCCGCTGTATTATTACTAGCGGTTATAATAGCGAAGATTTGACTAAGATGCGCGTGTTGTTTGTTTCAATTCAGGATGGACATTAGTATTCAAAACAGTATCTGGAAATCCACTAAGAAAGATCGCGCGATTTTGGAAAGGAAACGATTTTTCTCGTTTCTCCCCTGCAGCCTTGAATAAAAACCCTGGATTCAGAGAAGATTACAAAAACAGAATTGTACATTCTAGAAATTGGCGTACATTTGGTCCAAAAGAGGTGAATTTAATAGCTTATATATTTTTATAAATTGCAAATTGAGTTTTTTTTAAAAAAATGCCCGACTCAATTGTTTAAGATAATAGGTGATACATAAACCCAGACAATTTATGGTAAAATGAGGTATTTCATATTAAAAATAACCCCTAATATATCAAGTGTCAGCATGCGACGCAGGCTTGCTGCATGCAACTCGATTTATAACCGTGTATGGAAAGAGGGAACGCTGAATTTTGTTTTCTTTGTAGAAACATTTATCGTTTCTTTTTCTGTGAAGGCACGAGTGGTGTTGTATAAGAACGGCAAAGAACAGCTGGTTTTACGATTCAACGCTTCTTCGAGTACCTATATGAACTGGTTTTCCCACCCACGACTTCTTGAATCACCATGGAATGACCTAGCTGGTTCAACGTTTAACTACTTTAAAATCGAGGGCCCCTGTTGGAATGAAGAGTGCAGAGATTTTCATATCAATTTCTTCTATATAACGTGCGATTACGATGTAGGTTGGCTCGCGGTATCTTCAATGGGTATTACAGACGGCTGCGATTGGGAGAAAAGGTTTCCTGGGAATTCATTCATATTCAGTAAGATTGGGAAAAAAGTCAATTACAATCAGTATGGTAAGTTGTTGTGTCATTAAACTCATTTTCATATCATCGCATGTAAGGAGGAGTTTCGCTTTAGTTTAGGAACTGAAATAATAAATTTGTATAATTGTAAGCATTTTTGTTCTCATATATATATATATATATATTTCAAAAACGTACATATACAGTATGGGCAATGTTCAATCCGACTGTTTTATTTTAATCCTAGATGATGTTAGTGGCGACTCAGATGTGTTTGCTGTTTATGTGCGATAATTTGGAATTTCTTAACTGTACCATGCATAACACTACCATGCATACAGGGTGTCCCAAAAAAAACGCAACCACTTAAATATGCAAGAATATTTATATTGTTCGGGTTTGCACCATAGTTCAGCTAAAATGACTTTTAGCATTGTAAATGAAGGATTAAGAGTCATTTTCAATTCCCAGAGGTGCTTATCTATTGCGCTTTAGAGCTGTATTAATGTTCTGCATATTTAAGTGGTTGCTTTTTTTTTGGGACACCCTGTATATATGTTGGATGTCCACCGCTCGAGTGTGTTATGTATAGGTAGATAAATATCGGCCTGACATCAGTGACATGCATGCATCTATAAATGTTCAACTGCTTGTGAACTGTTGAATCTTAACATTTATACGAGTGTACATGTGTCAAGGAGAGAATTTTTATTAGTTTAGGTCACAATTATGTAGTATACTATGTCAGAAAGCCTAAAGATGGCTGCGAATGGGAGAGACGATCTCCTGGGAATGCGTTCGTATTCAGCAAAATTCGCACAAAAGCCAATTACAACCATGCAGTATATATAGTAAGTAAATGTACAATGATGCATGAGAATCATTTAGATAGCTACCATCAGGAATTTTGCTTTACTATAGGAAATTAAGTAATACACCAAATAAAAAAAAATTGTAAAAACCACGTTCAACCGACAATTTCAAGAAATAGAAAAAATTCCAAAAAAAGCCATACTGAAATCCAAGATATAAATCATAAGAAATTCAGTGTGACCGGCGACGACTATTCGACATACAAATGTACAGAACAGGCATCATGACACAGAACATACACGTGTGGGACGAGGGGATTCAAGATATGGACAATGTTGATTCTTCCAATTAGATTCAACTTCTATTGACTATTGTATATTGACGGTGTTTGAAACCGTTTCGGCATGAAAACGAAAATGCTCAAAAACGTTACCGTGTGCACATATAGATGGTCGCATATCTTCGCCTAACTGAAAGGGTTTTTTGGGGATCGAGTTTATCTTGGGTCCCTTACTCTGTGAATTATACATAAAAATGCGCCTTGCAGGTCATATTAAAACTATATGCATGCATGTCTTTTTTCCATGAAAGGAATTATTGCATGTGTTTGATCATATAAACTGGTCATATTTAGTCGTGAAAATTGTATATATATACATGTATTTATAACTAAAAAATTCAGTTAGTTAATCTGAGGCGTTAAGCACTTAAAAATTTTGCAATGAATCTGTAGTTACAGTATAATAACTTAGCAAGCTCGTCTTTTATATCCAGGTTCCTTTGATTTTTAAAAATTACGTATGATACAAGTCAACAACACGGTATGAACAATAAAATGTAACAAGAATACTCCATTTAATTATTTATCTCTGTCTACGATCGCAGCCGAATACGACCTAATAAAAGTTTTTCGAACTAAGCGCTTTAAGTAAATGTAGCTACTGTTGTATGATCGTTTTTAACCAAAGTGATCAATTTACAATACAGCGAAAAACTGTTCCTTGTCTTGATTGGATGATTCTGTGATATCCAATGAGACAAAACTGTGTGATGAATAGTGCATGTGTACATGAATACCATATTCAACGTATTTGTGTGTAAAAATGGCAGTAAATGGGTCATTAGTAGACTGATAATCACCGCAAGTAGTTGATGTATGAGAAGCTGATGAATATAATTACCAGGTGATTCATATCCAACATAGCAGTTTTGATATTGCTCCTTCTAATGAGAAATACGAAATGTCACCATTAACTTTCAAAATGACTGTTTATATGACTTCTCCGTTCATCTAAATCGCATGATCTGTCAAAAATTTTGTTACACATGGGGCACATTTCGTCAGAGACTGTAACCTGCTCCTTCTTCGACATGTCATTATCCGAAGCTCGATGATTCTGCCCAGCAAAATCACTATTAAAATGTGCCCATGTTTTTCTCCCACTGTCCATACCTGAGATGGACATCCCCTGAACTTGATGGTGTAATGACATGGGTTTCCTGTTCTTTGAAGTTCTGCCATCGGGCTGCAGTGACAAAAAAGGTGAGCGCGCATGTGATTGACCGCTGGCGCTGTTTGCATTATCAATTCGAGCTCCTTGAGCAACGGCCGAGCGTCGTTTGGAGTGCACAACTATGAATTCTCCAAACTCTTCGAGCTTTTCATTGTCCTCTATCTCACCTGATAAGAGCACGTCACCAGGATGCCCCGTTTGATGATCAGTTAAAATGACACTATTCCCAGAAGCAACTCCTGAGACATTATCAGGTGGTTTATCTTCAACTTTGTGTCCAGAATCCTTGGTTTTCTTCTTTGGCTTTTTTTTCTTGCCATTAGAAAAATTTTGTGCAGAGTTACTAGGGCGATTCACTGTATTTGAGCCTAGTACTTTGTTCTTAGGTAAGGAAGCATCAGAAACTGCGGCTTTGTTCGCATCTTCCTTAGACAGTTGAGATTTTCTATACTCGGTCAGTGCTTCAACAAGCATATCGATCCAAGAGTTCTGGTCGCAAATGGTTTTCTTCAAACCAACAACAAACTCGGACATTTCCGACAAGCCATACATTATACTTCGGAGAGTTTTTGTATGCACTGAGATAGTTCCTTCACCTTGTCCTGAAAAATAAGAATTTTTTTTACCAAAAAATTGTTTATATATTGAAGATTGATTTCGAAGATCTGACTCGATGCCCGTTAAATTGACGGTAAGATAGTCGACAGAGGCTACAGGTCATTGCTCGTATCCCACTATCGTGTATGAACAAGTTTTATTGATCGAACAAACTAAAATCTTTTTAGGACATACTTACTTTGTCTTTGACTTCCTTTTCTCAAGTTCACACATTCTTCCGTTCTTTTCTGGAGCATATCGTTTGTTCTTGTTAACTCTTCTTGCTGTTTTCCTGAAAACTCCCTGAGGGACAACAGTGTTTGTTGCAGGAAAGCATTGCCTTGTTCAAGGCTGGCTAATTTTTCATCTTTTGTAGTACTATTATCTAGAATATAAACGATAAAATATCCATTTCTGTTGCATTAAGTAAAGGTGTATCTGTTTGTCATGTACATTCTAAGGAATATATTCACAGAGACGAAGTCGAGGATGTAGGATTCAGAAATCAGAATGTAGGATTTGTTATATTCACTTGTGCAAAAATACTAATGTGTATTATTGAATCTTATTCAATCGCCAAACTGAAACAAACATTACTAACTTTTAACTCCTTTTCTCAAGTTCACACATTCTTCCGTTTTTTTCTGGAGCATATCATTTGTTCTTGTCAACTCTTCTTGCTGTTTTCCCGAAAAGTCCTTGAGGGATAACAGTGTTTGTTGCAGGTAAGCATTGGCTTGTTCAAGACTGGCTATTTTTTTGTCTTTTGCGGTACTATTAGGACCGCCATCATTATTATAACCAGGAAGTAGGTGTTGCAGCCTTTTGTGATCGAGCAACTTAACCTCCAATTGGTCATTCTCTGCAACAAGAGTTAAGCCAACATTCGCAAGAGAAGATTGTACAGCTTCTTCAAACATTTTTCTTTGGAAATTTACTTGATTTATTTGATCTTGTATGGACCCTGCCTTCATAAAAACAGAATATGGTACAAATACTTCGATCAAGCATGATAAATAAGGTTTTGCAGGTGATAATGTGTATTTCATGCACTAAACAAAGCTTAGTTATACTTGTGATTATGCAAAAATAATCGGCATATAATGTTTTAACTAGCAGTTAGTATGAGCATTGTGATAGCATTACAAATTGTTACAAAAATGTGTGCCTAATTCAAAACATTATCCATATGGTAAATCATATTGTAAAGTAAATTTGACAATTACAAAAATGTGAAAATCGATCTAGATCTACTTTCATAATAGTTGACCTAATTTCCAAGTATAATAATTAAATAAGTAATTTTGTGATGGTACTATAAATGAAGCCTAAAGTGTCACAAGCTAAATATAGGCTTTAACAGTATCTTTGCCATGAAAATAATAGTTCCAAACTTCCAAAGATGGCATGCATATGAAAGACACATTTTAATTTTTTTAATGCATTGACAAAATTAAGTAATAAAGTTGAAATCATTAGTTTCAGGCATTAATGAAAAACATAAAAGGGAATTTTGTGAATCTGAAGCATTAGGTTTTAATTGATACTAAATACCTTATTTTTGTTTTGCTCATTAATTTCTTCTAGATTCTTGTTGCACTGATCTAGCTGTTTCTCCAGTTCCTCGACTTTCATAAATTTTTCATTGTATGCATCATAACTTTTCTCTAAGTTTTCTACAAGTTTTGCTTGCTGCTCTTGAGATTGTATCTGCAAGTCTTCGTATGACTGGCGCAACAGCAAGTACTGTTCTTCCATTTCCAATTTTTGTTGCTCATTTCCAATAAAGAGCTTTTTAAGGTCCAAAAACTCTGTAACATACACAAATGTTATCAAAGTTAGTTAAGAAGATCATTATGTTACGCAAAGGTGCATCTTGGTATTTGTTGTTTGCGACATCTTCGAAAGGAACCACAGATTTCACAGGTGTGGCTGGGGCATCTTGAATGCTGACGTTCATTACTTCATTTGTAAAAGGTATTTCAACTGACATTCACTGCATGCATGTACCTAATTTATTTTTGGCAAGTGACAGAGTAGAAAGCACAGAAAGAGTAGAAGCACAGAAAGAGTAGAAAGCACAGCAATTCCATTTCTAATTCCTAATCTAAATGAAAGTCTATTCATTCTCTATTGCAGTTATTAGTCCCATGATGTATTGTAGGTTAAAGCACTAAACAGCAGACATTAGTATAATATTGCAACGTCACAAAGACGAACAAAATATTTAACATTTGTAAAACAGAGAGTATACTTGTACTTTGCTAAAGGTTTTACGAAATAGTAAAAATACCATACTATATTCATTAGACAAACTGCGATATCCTTACCTCGTTGCAAACCATTGTAAGCTTCCTGTAGCACAACAAAATGGTTGTATTCAAAGTTTGTTTTATCAGATTTACCCATTTCTGACTTTCCACCAGTCTGTCGTTTAGCCATCTTCAAATCAAATGGGAACAACGAATTACTCGACACCCGATCGATTCCAGTACAGCAGTATTCCTAAAACATTACCTACGGCATTGAAAATTCAAATTCAAACGGAATGGTATTTCCCAGAATCGAAAAGTCACAAGAAACATGACCTGTAAAAATATACGACCTAAAATGACCTACATTGTTCGAACGTAAACAGGAAGTAGGGACAGAGACGTTTCCCCACCGGGTATGATCCCCCCCCCGGGTATGTTTCCCGTCGTGTGTACTTCCATTAACGTGTCAATGAAAATTCGATTTTCATTTTCAAAATCCAAGAAACAAGTCAAAACAAAAATACATGAAACAAAATCACTGCAAGGAATTATCGTTTGTCACGCAAAGCTTGGTGAATTGTTTGGTCCAGCAAATGGTATCAAATAATTCGTGCATCAAAGTTTATAAAACCGGACGATATATAGAAAAAGCAAACAACGGTGGAGAAAATATTTATAAACAAAGCCAGGTAATATCGATTTCTGATGCACAATAGTAATAAAAGTTATTTATTAATAGTCGTGTATATTCAGAAATGTTTGTTGCTTGTTGTTATGCATGTATAATAATCATATAGGTAATATAAACAAACCTATAATTGAATCAGCGTTTATAGTAGCTGTTTATAGCAGAAATGGGAGGTACCTGGTGCAACCAGCTCATTCTACAAATATTTGCTTTCACTTTGCTTTCTTATAGCAAATATCTATATTAGTGGTTGTGGTTTTTAAGTTTCCTGAAGTTATTTGGCATAGGTTTTTGCACAAAATGACAAACAGAAGTCAACAGACTTAAATGGTTGTCTGACTTGGCAAATTAGCAATTAGAGGCCAGTCTTACAGTTAGGTTATTAGCTGTACAAAATTATATTTGAGAAATGTGCATGAGAAAATTGTTGATAGCATATAACAAATTGCAATTTAACTTTTGCCATATAATTTGACATATGACACTCTTAGGAGTAGAACAATGACCCTTCTTGATTTGACCTGTTTCCTTCCTTGCATTGTGTAATCATTTTTGGAAGTGGTTAAACATTTACACAATCATATTATTTCAGAAATATTAATATGGGTGATAAATCCTATATACAAAATCCTCATCTGTCAGGGATGACTGTTGATGAGCTTTATCATATTGGTCTAAATACAAATGATGACCTTAAAACAATATTTAGTGATGTTAAGGTAAGAGTAAAATAATAATATATCTATATGCACTTCTTTGTGGCTATATAACCTCACAACCCTTGCAGTTCCTAACCCATTATGCGGTATATACTATTACTATATTTAACATTTTTAGTTTGTTTGTCTTGGAGGCAGCAGTGGAAGAATGGAGAAATTTGCCAAATTGTTGCAGGATAGGTTAAGAGAAGAAGGTTTAAATTGTGGGTCAGAGATAAAAAATTTAAGCAAAACTGATCGCTATGTCATGTATAAAGCCGGACCTGTGCTCTCTGTAAATGTAAGTGTAATGCTATATAAATGTTTAAAGTTTACTTAGTCTTAGATCATTATCCATAGTACATTCTAACTATAACAATTGTAAGCCACCAAATGGCAGGATTGGCACATCCCCTGAAACCCCACAAGAGCATCTTGCTATACTTGATGTTGATGAATATATACCGTATATGAAAGTAGAGATAAAAATTAATTTGTAATTAAAAGTAATTTGATAGTGGTTTTATACTTCACCATCTATGAACTCAGTGCAAACTAAGAGAAGCTGTGGCAAAAATTTTTTTGCAGCATGGTATGGGCATTCCATCCATATCTATAATCCTGAACGAACTGATAAAATTACTTCACTATGCCAATGCGAGAGATGTTGTATTTTTTCGTCTTGGTACTTCAGGTGGACTTGGTAAGTAAAAGAATGGGACATTTGACTCGGAGAGTAGAGTCGTTGTGCTCTAGCTCGTATTTATCACAGGACGTGGTATCTGCATTCCGCTCGCCTTTGGCCGCTCGCAGCCTCGCCTCGTTGTGGGCGTGGATCGAGGGTGGCCAAACTCTGATTGTGTCATTCCACTGTGTTAGGAACAGAACCAGGTACAGTCGTCGTGACAAAAAATGCCGTGAATGAATTACTCAAGCCACAGTACGAACAGGTGAATTGAATGCTGACGTTTATTACTTCATTTGTAAATTATTTCTTAATAAGTTCCTTTCAAATGACATTGTCATTGCCATTGGCCTTAGAAAACAAGGTCTTCCTTCTTTTGATCGTGACAAAACGCGATGTAAGATATTCATTTGGTACGTTGTGTTAGATTATTCTGGGAAAACGAGTGAGTCACTCCAGTGAATTGGACAGTAAGCTGACAGCGGAATTGCTGGCATGTAATCGCGAGGATTTTGCGGTTGTGTCTGGTGACACGATGTGCACTTTGGATTTTTATGAAGGTGAATAACCTTGTTTTCTTAATCGGGGTTCGCGCCAGCTCCTGAATATCAGTAACCTTATAAAGCAATATATTACGTGGCGTTGGGTAGAAAAATAATCCGCACGGACAAAACAGGCTCACCCCCCACAAGCGGAGAAGTCGTATAATTAGTTAATTTGCCTCTCCCTACGGCACCACTGCATGTAAGGTGCTGGTTAATGTTACCAAATACTTTTCCACGTTCCATAGGTCAAGCGAGGTTGAACGGTGCTTTTTGCGATTACGAATCAGAGGATAAAATGTCATATCTACAAAAAGTTTACGAAGCTGGCGTGCGTAATATTGAAATGGAGTCGTTGTGTTTTGCTGCTATGTGCAGACGAGCCGGGATACCAGCGGCAGTCGTTTGCGTCGCTCTCTTAAACAGATTACGCGGGGATCAACTTAATCATAGTCCGGAAGATCGCCGGGATTATGAAAATAGACCGATGAAACTGATCATAAGTTATATCATTCAACAACTTACGAAGAACGGACAGAAATAGACTAATTATTTGTAAAATTAATATTATATAATTATTTCCACAATGTCATGCAATATTTTAATGCTACATATGTAGCTCAATTAATAACCAATGTTAATAATAACGTGAAACATGTCCCACAAGCATGTTAAAAGTTGAAACTTTTTAAAGCACATTTTTATTGCACCGAACAAACATTTAATGCTACAAAAAGGACTCGACATGGACAATCCATGTTCGTTATGAGACTATAATAGGAGCTCGAAAACATCTTGTTTGCTACTTTGCATTTCATAGAATTGCCTCTGAATATGCTCTGAAATGTCATTTTCTTGTTATGCACGTGCGATCATGTCATTAAAATATCTGAACCGTAGCCGTCTCTCTGCCTTGAGACAAGAAATCTCAGGAAACTAGGACGATACAATAGCCTTTCAATGTCGTTATCAAACGCGTTTGAACGTGGTGTTTTGTAAAGAATCTACGACAATATCTTGCAGTTTCTATAAATTTGATACAACATGTATCAAGAACTAAACGAACGACAAAGACTGGACCTTGTCCATGACAGAAAATGTAAAGAACTGGAGACGGTTGTTCGAAAGGTGGATAAAGTTATCCACTGAATAGTGATTATTTGAACGTTAAAAAATCCTCACCACCGAGATAATTTTGAAGTTAAAATACTTTTTAACGATTATAAATTTATGAAGTAGCTTTATCGTTTTTCAAAGCTTTTTTACGACGGTTGAAAAAGTCACTATCAAGTGGATAACTTTATCTACCTTTCCAACAACCGCCCTGTGAACTCTAGGGAACTTTAGTGACTTGCTAAAATTGTTGTTTTATCAATTCTATCATACTGTGAATTCAAAAAGGTCAATTTTCTCTCTAAAAGAGTATTTCTAAGGTTTTCTAAGGTTTCTACACCACAGTACTGCACTATACTTACACTAAATTAAACTGTAGTACTACAGTACAGTATTGGGTATATGCAATGAAAACGAAACGTAAATAAACATGTGTACCTGTGGCTTGCATTCCTCCTCCAGCCATTTGAATATTGTGGCGGAAAGCGTCGAAAAACTGGTCACTTGAGCAGCGGTGTTGAATGAACTAAACTGTGCTTCCATGATTCGTTTGAACTAATCAATAAAATATACAGTGAATATCAGTGAAAAGTGTATCAATAATTGCAAATACGGATGCATGCATGGAGTGAAATTCTAGGTGCCTCGTTAAAGGTCAGTGTAAATGACTTTTTGCCCTAAATAAAAAGACACAATAATAGATGTTCCTGTGAGGTGGCTAAACGTCTGTTTTCACAGGCCAAAAACGCCAACAATGTCACGGTTGTGAACATACCACATTAAACTTAGCTTGATCAGTCACAGCATTACCAGAAGATGATGATTCCTGAGGAAGAAAAATAACATTTTCCTTTCAAACTCAAAAAACGTCAAGAGTCTTGAACAATGAGTGCAGTGATGAAATATCATAAGAACCTGTGTTTCTGCAAAGTCTAAACTATAGATTTTCAGTTCAAACTATTGTAACCACTATAACCTGAGAGCTTGATGAAGAAGCGCTATTTCAGTAAAAACAGACACATGTAGCTACAGTGTAATGTATATGTAAACTTGCCTCATTGTAAGTTGAATTAGCAATTTGTTCGTAGTTCCTAAATATGACAATGATCATAACCACAATTAGAAACAGCAAATAGGATAAAATACCAGGAGCCAGTTGTATAAAAGGCTAGTTAACGTTTAACTGTAGTTTAGTACAGATTTGACCAACCATAGGGTTCAACTATGCAAAATGTAGTTAAAGAATTCTCTAGTTACAACTGCCCCAAGGCCATTTTAGAGATCGATGATATACTTTTTTTATGTCAATTATATAAAACAACATAGCTACTTACGCTTTCATAATTTGTAGTGCTAAAACCTCTTTCTTCAAGTTATCAATCTCATGTTCCTGTTGATCTTTCTCCTCCAGAATTGACCTTAAATAGTCAATCGCTAAAAAATATCGGGGTTGCATATATATAAGATTGAATGATTTGGATAAAATAATACTTCTTTTTTCGTACAACTTTCTTTTTTCATACTTTCTTTTTTTATACATTTTTATTTTAGACGTCACTTAACATAAAGAACGTCACTTAACAAACTATGTCTATGACCAGTTGGAAAATACAGTAACTATTTTTGCAGCGCAGTGATGCAATAATTTAGAATGAATGTCTTAATTATGACGTACGTACATTTCTGTAGAACCACTGCTTTACTGAGCTTTATGGGACTAACAGATGATGAATCCTCTCCCCGACACGATGGAACTATGCGCTGAAGATCTTCGTAGCCTTTCTAAAACAGCAAAAATGATCGATAAAACGCTAATAATTGAATACACACAGTAGGGCAAGATCATGCAGTTGTTCAACAAATGGATATGCTTTTCTAGACGGATCTTTATTATTTGACCGACTGTGTAGCCTACATTAAACTTAGGTTTTGTAACGTAGATACAATAGGTGGCGTTTGAGTTTCAGGCTTTGGGCCTTTGAGGTTAAAATCAATAAAATGTACCATAGAATATTTGATAAGTGTACGTATGTTGTAGATTATCACCAAAAAAACACGTTAAAAGCTCGTGCATGCAAAGGTATTACCGTATAGCTCAGCAACATCCGGAACACTTTTACAAACACAAATTACTAGAGACCTAGTGAACCAATAGTACACAAAAAACATATCGAACCCAGCTTTTCATAAAAAAAGGTTTTGTACTAATTCTTTACCTTGATGGCATCTCTTCTCTTCTGTTCAGCAACTGTATGAGCGGTGCGTCTTTTGTTGCTTTGTACACATTTCTTATTATCTTCATCTTCTAGATCTGGTGTAACAGGTGGAAGAAAAATAGTTTAAGCACTTACACGGTCACCACTAAAATGTCAAGAATATCCTTTTCATTATTTTTTTCATTTCTACATTATTGGGAACTTTTGGAAAAAATCAATCGTGAGTTTCCTAAGGCAAAGAAAAACTGGTCTTTGAAAAATTCCTCAGTTGTGCATGTTTTTTTCCAGAATTACCTTTGAAAACGTACTGCTGTATTATCTGCATTCTTTATACAGACACTATATCCTTGGGTGGTGATGAAGAAACTATTTAGAATTGGAATTTGAATAGCCTGTACTACAGCGTATTTTGTATCATGTTGAATTGTTCTCTTAGAACTTTTGTCAGCATTAAACTTTCTTTCAGGGGCTTAAAATATTTATACTTCATCCGTATGAGAGTCCTACTAAATGGATTTACTGATTAGAATTTAGAAACATTGATTCCAGATTTCCTTTTAATTCTTTCTACTTAGCAAGCTATAGATCTCAATTACAATTTAGGATGTAATTGAGCTTTTGTACCATAAAACTTACTAATATATTACTCTTCTCAAGAAGGCTTTCAAGTTGTGTTCCTGAGCCAGCTTGTTAAAGAAAATATTTGTCTTTCACTAGTCCTGTGCAGTTTTAATGTACATGAACATAGACTATTACCTGCATTGCAAAATTCAAGTTCACCATTTATGGGGCTTTTCGGCTCTTCTTTGACGTCTTCATTCATATCTTTGAAATACCATATATAATGGGCAATTTAAACCTTTAAAGTCTCAAAAATTTAAGATTTCCTATAATATTATTTAATGTCTGCCAGGGAAAATAAAAATGAGAAAAAATCAAGATTGGTATGCTCTTTTCAGTTTTCATAATATTGTACTATTGTTTGTTGATACATTACCAACATGCTTGCTTGCTGCTTGAGAAGTATCCTAGATAAAAATACAATTACCATTTTGCACACACAATGCAAGAAAGGATTTGATAGCCCTTCAATTGACTTTTTAAATTTAATGATTGTTACGCTCATCAAAAAATGTAAACAACAAAGGTGCTTGAGGCATTACAGTATGTAATATATACAATCTGTATTATATTACCTCCCTAAAGGCTTTTTTCCAATTTAACTATATCTTAGCAAAATTTTTTATTAATTATTCGTTTTAAAGTCCCAGGCTGATTGTCCCAAAAAACAATGATACATGCCATGCTTTACTATAAGGTTGATCATGACTAAAAACACTTTGTATTATATGGCTCCAATGTTACAAAATGACCAGTTAAAACCACACATTTCAGATTCTAGTCATCAATAATCACAGTATGTAAAGAGACAAGAAATTGATTTCTAGTCACTTAGCTAATACATTATGCTCCACTAGTAGTGGAGTGATTTCGTTGGTATTTTGAATCTTTCTGTTTTGTTAGTTTACCATGTCTGTGGACTACAGCAAATATTGTATTCACCAAACTGCTCTAGGGTAACCTCCCCCCAGGGACAAGGTCGCAATGTTACAACGTTTTAGTCAACCATTTTCACATAATTTTTATGACATATTGTCCAAATTTTAATCATTAACTGAGAATGCAGCTATGGTGTTTCCAACCAAAGGTTAAATAATCTGGCGGGTGCATGTGGAAACATTTGGAGGAATAACTAGGTGATAAATAGTTTATCCATGCTGATAGTAAAAACTCCGGACTCGATTATTATTATTAAATTTTTCCTGGTCTTTCTAGCCACAGAGAATTATGAACAAAACACTGGAAATTCACAGGAATTAAGCCTGGGATCTGTCACTAACTTCACTGGCCAGCTTATTAAACTATTAATACATATATGTTATACCTCTGTTGACGTGGCTCTTAACATATTTTTACTGATTCAATACATCACGAGAATCCTTAAAAACTTTACCAAATGACAATTTCAGGAGATTTTACGTCTTTTCGATGCTGTTAGGAGCCGAATACTTGTGTTGTGAACCAGTTGCATAGAATGTAAACGTGTGAATGGTGTGATTTTGTTTTTATTGGGCCCAGTCCCCGAATTTCGTTGCATGGGAAGAAGAAGGAGGAAGGGAAAATTCAGATTGGGTTGGGTTGGACCATAGGTTGGACATAGCCTACGTAACAT